CGCAGTGCAAGCAGTAGGGAAAGAGCTCGCAGTGTCAGTGGGACTGTGCTCACCAGGCAGGGCAGGTCATGCAGCTATGCAGAAAGGCGGCTCAGCGACCGGGCGGCTCGGGTGCACAGCGGCTCGGCTCCCGGGCGGCTCGGCGGCTGGGCGGCTCGGGCGCAGGGCGGCTCGGCTCCCGGGCGGCTCGGCGGCTGGGCGGCTCGGGTGCAGGGCGGCTCGGCTCCCGGGCGGCTCGGCGGCAGGGCGGCTCGGGTCCCGGGCGGCTCGGCTGCTGGGGCGGCTCGGCCGGGAGATGCAGGGGCGGGGCCGTCAGGTGCAGCGGTGGGTCGACAGGTGCAGCGGCGGGCCGGCAGGTGCAGCGGCGGGCCGGCAGGTGCAGGCGGCGGGCCGTAGGGTGCAGCGGCGGGCCGTACGGTGCAGCGGCGGGCCGGCAGGTGCAGCGGCGAGGCCGTCAGAGGCGGCGGGCTGCTGGGTGCAGCGGCGGGCCGGCAGGTGCAGCGCCGGGCCGGCAGGAGCAGCGGCGGGCCGGCAGGAGCAGCGGCGGGGCCGTCAGATGAGGTGGCGGGCCGGCAGGAGCAGCGGCGGGCCGTAGGGTGCAGCGGCGGGCCATAGAGTGCAGCGGCGGGGCCGTCAGAGGCGGCGGCGGGGCCGCGGCAGTAGAGGCGGGGCCGCGTCAGGGGAGGCGGCGTGGCCGCGTCAGGGGAGGCGGCGGGGCCGCGTCAAGGGAGGCGGCGGGGCCGCGTCAGGGGAGGCGGCGGAGCCGCGTCAGGGGAGGCGGCGGGGCCGCGTCAGGGGAGGCGGCGGGGCCGCGTCAAGGGAGGCGGCGGGGCCGCGTCAAGGGAGGCGGCGGGGCCGCGTCAAGGGAGGCGGCGGGGCCGCGTCAAGGGAGGCGGCGGGGTCGCGTCAGGGGAGGCGGCGGAGCCGCGTCAGGGGAGGCGGCGGGGCCGCGTCAAGCAGGCAGCGGGGCCGCGATCAGGAGAGGTGGCGGGGCCGCGTCTGAGGAACAGCGGGGCCGCGAGGGACAAGGCGACCCGAGGGGTCGCTAAAAAAAAAAGGGGCGCGCCTCGGGGCGCGCTTCGGTGGGCCCTAAAAAAAACGGTCCTAAGGCAGGACCCGCTCTATACCATGTGAAGCAAGGAAAACAGGAATGAATTGACTAAGGAAAGATTGGGTACAAATACAACCCTAGAAACCCTGTACCCCATATGTGCTACCCCACTATAGCCTACAGCAAATATGTCATATAAATCTGACACGGGCTAGTCCCGAAACGTAGGCCGACACGGCCGGGCCAGTAGTACGAGGTTTGGTGAAACAGCGCGCGCGAAGTTGGCGAAGCCCCGTTAACAGTAACGGGCGAACTACGGCTGCTGTTGTACGCGGTGGTGCCGGTCTCAGTAACGAACGTCGAAAAAAATTCTTACACTATCGTACAATTGTATGTGTATACATCCATCTGCATTATGTGTATAGTAGTATGATGTGATGAATGATGTGGGAAAAATATGCCACTCGTAATCAACAAGGGTCTCGATAATATGTTAGGTAAAAAAATAATGGGTACGGTCATTGCAAAGGGTGTTTGGTAAAACGTTTCACGGAATCAGTTATAATCAACTAGGAAAAAATAACGCCAATAGTAACAGATGGAACTCTCGCCCAAAAAAGATATTACCTAAAACAAACCTGGATGTATTTTTGGATGAATCACGCCTAAACACAACTCGCCATGTGTTTAGGGTTGATCCGTTCCCAAACCGCATCCGATTCCGATAGGGTTTTAATTTTATTAGAAGCTGGCTGATTGGCTGGGCGCAAGCGGGAATTTTGCAGAGTCTCAATAATTTTGGCGGGAGTTACATGTGTGACTATTTGCGTGATTTCTTACCTGTTGTTAGTGCCAGAATCCGTGACCCAACTTACCAAACCCGTCAGCAAACCCAATACCGTGTCCGTACGCGTTAATTGTTTACCATTCACGTTTTCGAGTCCCATGTTGGTTACTTGTGACATATTTTCCCAATGATGTGGTCGATGCTTTACTGGTGCTGACCTCTAGCATCAAGCCATGTGGCTGTGCTTGACTGTCTTGGCTTTACAGCTTGGCGAAGAAGCTAGCGAGTCGAGTAGAGATGTACTTGTGGAGGAAATGTGGAAGAAGCTCTTTGCTGCGCTGGCGCTTGTCGTCAAAGTTTGACGATATTCGCGACCGCTTCGCATAGCTGCTCCCCAAAGCGCGGCCTGAAGTGACTTATGGCATGACATACAATGGCCGTGGATGACATGCTTGGGCCTCCTTTGGCCCCTACACGAACGGCCAAGATTGGTCGTGTCAGGTTCAGGCGTTTTGGAACTGGAAGGCTTCATTCGGCCACGCGGTGCGCACGCGCACCACAACCGCACACGCTTTGCCCAGGGTAGGGGCAGTTGCTCGACGCACGCACACGATCTGGACTGCGGGGGGAGGAATGCAAGGGGGAAATGGGGAAAGAAGGCTTCACGCGGTGGTCCGGTCCGGAAGGGAACCCAACCAGCCAGGCTGGGATGGGGCGGAGGCGGAACGGAGATCCTCCCTGCGCGGCGTAGCTTGCTTTGGGGGGAGGCTTCTCCCGACCCGAGTCCTAGCCAACTCGGCTCGAGCGAGGGAGCACCATTGTAGCGATAACGTAATGAGTTTTGTATAAATTTTTGTTCCTCACACATTTTCAGAATCAGGGTGCAGATTCCATCCTCCCACCAATTCCATCCTCCCACCAGTACCGAACCATTCATTCTCCACTCGACTCTGCACCTGTGCTACCATTCATTCTTCACGCTACCTGAGCTTTCTCCGCCATGGCGTCTCGTAAGGTGCTCCTCTGCCTTGCGCTTGCACTTGCGGTGCTTGCATTGGTGGCGCCGCTCGCCTTCGGAGCTGACGCGAACGTCCTGGGAGGTGAGAAACGCACATTGTCTCAAATTTCCCGGTTACCATGGTTCACGTGCATCATCCGTCGTTTACAACACAATGCAGCCTCCCACCCGTTCGTTCGAACGAAATTTGTACTCACTGAAAACGAGCGATTTTCCGTTTTTTGCAGGCGGCAACTCGAAGCTCAAGGTGAGTCGCCGCGCGCTGTCCGACGACCACGACGACGACGGACACGACGACCACCACGACGACCATCACGACGACTCCGACGACGACCATCACGACGGCGACGACCACCACTACTACAAGTCGCCGTCCAAGTCGCCCAGCAAGTCGCACGACTCCGACGACTGGTACCACCGTTCGCCATCCAAATCCCCTTCCAAATCTCCGAGCAAGTCTCCGAGCAAGTCTCCCGGCAAGTGGCACGACTCCTCCGACGACGACAAGTGGCACCACTCGCCGTCGCCCAGGTCGCCGTCGCCCAAGTGGCCGTCTCCTAAGTCGCCGTCTGCTAAGTCGCCGTCGCCCAAGTCGCCTGGCAAGTGGAACTCGCCGAGCAAGTCGCCTGGGAGCAAGCACGACGACGACCACCCCTGGAAGTCGCCGTCCAAGTCGCCTGTGTGGGGCAAGTCGCCTGACAAGGACCACGATGATGACCACCACTGGGGCGGCAAGTCGCCGTCCAAGTCGCCGTCCAAGTCGCCGTCCAAGTCGCCGTCCAAGTCGCCCGGCAAGTACGACGACGACCACGATGACGACCACCACGACGATCAGCAGGAGCGCCACTACAGCGCCGGGAAGCCCAGGTGGCAGCACAGCTAGAGCGGAAATGCGCGAGAGAATCCATAACGGTCGGTGGGCTCTGTGGCCTTAAAGTTCTGTGACTGATTTCAGTGCTTCAGGGTCGTATTAGTAGCTTCTTCGCAGAAGGAACGGCTGATTTCTGTGTGTGGGGGCTTTGGTGTGTGGGCCTCTGCTTGCTTAGCGTGCGGGATGAGGTTGTAGTGGGGTTCTGCTTGCTTAGCGTGCGGGATGAGGTTGTAGTGAGAACTTGTTTGAGGGAATAATATTGATATGTTTTGTTTTTATTGTGGAACTGCTGGCCAAGGTTTGAGGGGCCTACTACGAATGTGCCACAAGATGGCGATGACAGTATGGTGTGCAACGCCTGCAGTGAAGTGCCATTTCATCTCAGAGTCAACTCAACTCAACTCTCAGTGAAGCGTCACCACTTTCAGGAAACGGTACCGTTCAATACGGCACTCCTGGGACGCAAGGGTACTATCACTCGCTTGGCTTGGCGGGTCAAATTGGATGCAATCTCTCATCACTGCAGCAACTCGGCACCAAGCTTTGGTGAAACTTTGGGGGTAGGGGGAGGATGGCTAAGGCAAACCACACCAAACCAGAGTGATACTTCATGCCGGCTGCTTAGCTCTTTGAGACTGCTGCTTCTACAAGGATCCTGAGAACGATAGTGCGATTTAGATCCTCCGCATAAAATCCTGGATCCTGCGTAGGAGGGACGCGTCGTATTGCTCTTTTGTTGTCGTCCTAAATGTACCTTACCGTAGTTCCTCCAGCACAGAGTTGGTTGTGTACAAATGCTGCAGTTGCTGCACTCACGTCATTTACCCAAGCCTTGTGTACGGTTTCCTGTTATGTGACTGACCAACTCCACAAGGAAAGAGTGTAACTTCAAGCCAGATTGTATATGCACTGTACGCAGCTGTGTAACGTCCAGCACAGAGTTGGTTGTGTACAATTGCTGCAGTTGCTGCACTCACGTCATTTACCCAAGCCTTGTGTACGGTTTCCATGTGACTGACCAACTCCACAAGAAAAGTGTAACTTCAAGCCAGATTGAATATGCACTTCAAGAGTGTACGTCCAACAGTGCCCTGTACCAGTCGATTATAGCTTGTAGAATCGCACGGAATTTTCTGGGACCATGGATATTTGACGAGACAATGCTGGGTAGTCGTGCACGCGAACTATATTGCATGTATAAACAGACTTACAAAGGGAGAGATAGGCCCAGCTGCCAGCTCAGGCCACCTTCCCTGAACCACATGCGAGCTGCCTAGATGGCCCCAGTCAAAGCACCCTGTTGAATCATCTCCCTAATCTCGGCACTGCACGCGCGGTCCAGGGCCGTACGTCCCTCCCAGTCGGGCACGTCGCATCGCGCACCGGCGTACAGGAGCTCCTCGATCTTGCGGACGTCGCCTTCCGAGGCAGCCATCATGAGCAGAATGTCGCACGCGTGCGTGCCGGACTCGACCATCTTCGCCATCTTCTCGTACGACCCCTCGGCGGCGAGCATGCCGGAGTAGTTGAAGTACTGTTGGAGGAAGGTTTTATTTGGGAGAAAGTACTGTTTGAGAAAGTAAGCAATGCGCGAATCTTGTTCATTGTTTCTGGCACCATATCGGATTCAGCCACCATGCTATTCAAGACAAAACGTGCCGGGAGAAATTAACGGAAGTCATGACAGGGAGACAATTTGGGGGAACCACAAAAGATGGAGCTGGGATCCAACTGCGCACGTACGTGGGCAATGTCGTCAACGTCGTAGTCATCGCGAAGTTGGCTGGCGAAGATGCCGGCACTCTTGGCGCTCTCTCCGCCGAGCTTGAAGAACGCGACAGTGCGAGCAGTAGATTTGACGCCGAATGCAGCCGTGGCTGATTGCTGGCGCACACCTGAAGATCAAGTGATTAAAGGAGACACAAAGTTCGGTTTGTGTTCCGATAAGTTTGATTGATAATCTTCAAAAAAGCCATAATGAGGGTTGCTCGGGCAAAAAGCATGCAGCCGAGCCTTTCTGCAAGCTGCGTCCTGTACCTGCAAAGGAGGACGTGAGTGTCGTCCCCTGAGCTGGGTTGGATACGGCAGCGATAGCACCAGATGCAATCTTAGCAGCAGCCATGGTGGTAGCAGCCATTGTGGTAGTTATGAGGGTGGAATGGAGAAGGCCAAAGAAGCTGCTGCTAAGCCGATGGCTGTTGGCAGGCGGAGCGAGTGCTTCGTTGGATTTGTGAGCTTGTAAGGTTGCTTTGAATAATGAGAGGGATTGTGGAGGAGGTTATACACTTCCGTTGGGTGGAAAGAAGATTCGCGACTACGGCTGCGAAAGCATTTGCGAGGAACCGATCAGGCTGGCGAATTTTGCGCGATGCAGCATTCTCCATGATTGCCTCCGTAGATTGCTCGAGCCGCGGGCTTGATTGGCGAAGTGGCTGACATCCAGAATTTGCCAGCGCATAGACTTCCCGCCATCTCATTTGTTCCTGTCAGCGCTTCAGTACACGTGTGAGGCATTTTTGTCCACGTGTTCGTACGTCAGTGGGTCTCTTCGGTTCTCCTTCCAATCAGCCAGCGCTTATATCTAAGCAAAAACCTGCGCTGGCAGACGTCACGATTGCACTACCATCCAGCACCTATACAGGGTTCAGAGTCAAACAAAAACCCACAAATTACGAATACCCACAATGAGTATCAAACACACTGTATGGGTATTAAAGGGTGCACGAATCATCTGACTTGACTAATTCTAAAGCGCATTGTACGGGTAATGATATTGTCATTCCTTTCTTTTGAATCATTAAAGTTAGCATAAGCAAATAAGCACAGCAATGCATTACAGCATGAGTTGACCTAGTTACAAATTCAGAGTGTGAGTCAGCTTTCCGACTTTTATTTGGGTGCACTCACCACCTCTATTATCAGATTTACTCTCTTCTGTTGCCTAAGGTGTAACTAATCCCTATGCTCCTCCCTCTCCTTCTCCTCCCTCATCTTCTCCTCCCTTTCCCTGTCCTTCGCCATATCCTTCTTCTTGTTCTTCCGGAACCCCTTCAAGTTATTCCGCCACTTGCAATGGGACTGCTGCGGAGCGCACATCTCTCTCCTAGGATCCGTAAGTGTGAAATTCCACAGCTCAGGCGGCTGATTCTCCTCCATAAGCAGCTCCATCCTGTACTCGATACCAGCCTTGTCGTTATTCCTAGGAAGACAGTGCTCCTGTAGCTCCTCTGACATCGAATCGTGCAGCGTAAACCACAGATTATGCGCACCGTGATGCACAAACCGCCGGTGCGTGTTCATAACAATGTTACAGTCGAAGTCGCGGTAACACCGCCAGGGCTTCTTGCCGAGGAAATGCAGCGCGTGTATGGTGGGCGGGTCGGACGCGATGAGCGAATCTAGAGCTTCCGTTTCAGTGTCTCGCTTGGGCCCGTCGTCCGCGTTGATGTATTTGAGAGTGTTGATGGACTTGGGCAGGCGATGCCACCAGTAAAACACGTCGTTCACGAAGCCCTGTGGCGGATAAAAGGGTGTTTCGGGTGGGAAGCATGCAGAAGAGATATGAGCATGGAGGTCAGATCGTATGACACGAGAGCCACACGAGCAAGCTCGCACAATCGTTTCCAGCATGAGGCGAGGAATGAGATTACGGAGAACAGGCACAGAGAGCAGACACGGTCGCTACTGAATGCGTCAATACTAACCTGATCGCCGCCGTTGTACGACTGAATCAGTTCGATGTTTTCCATCATAAGCTCGAATGTACACTGGGACGGCTCGATGACCATCACGCCCGAGTTGAAGAAGCGCCGGCTGTTGCTGCGCGCCGACAGCTCGGGGTACTCAAACAGGTGGTCCATGTTTCTTAAAACGAGGATATCCGCGTCCACGAACACCACCTTTGCGTACTCCGTCAGTTGCCATAATCGGAGTTTGCTGTACCGGGGAATCGATGGACAGAGAGGAGAGAGGGCAGAGAAGGCTTGAATGAGTGATATCGGAAGACAAGAAACAGGAGAGAGGGGAGAGAACCATTCTTAAGATGAAACCGGATGGAGTCGCACTGGCAGGATGCTTGAGTTTGTCACGTTCAAGCGTGGATAAGGAGAGAAGGAGCTTAAGAAAAACGGGAAATGGCACCTGTATTTAAGAAGCGTTGAGCTGCTAAAAGCTAATAAAGCCACATGTAGTTGAAAAAAACAGGTAGTTTAGAAGTCTCACCTGTAGTTCCACTGGTTGTATGTGCCCGCGCGTCCGAACGGATTGCGAATCCTCTCAATCTCGATCAGCCGCCACCCAGCCGCCTCTAGGCCTCCGCGGCTGAAGTTCCCAATCTCCGCGGAAACCAGCGCCACCAGATCCGCGTGCGTTCCGCTCCGCCGGAGGCTGTTCGCCAGCGCAATCGCTCCGCACACGTAGTCCTCCTTGCTGTGCAGCACTGTAGCGTACGCGACTCGGCGCGCGGCGGCCGGTTGCTGATCTGGTAGCTGACCTGGCAGCCGCTGGGGTTCCGGGGTGGCGAGCGCGCAGTTCCCGACGGGCTGTAGCCGGCGGCGCATGTCGGCGACCGTCAAGTTAAACAGCCAGACGGGCCCGTCGCGGTGGACAAGCCGGTTGCAATGGAAGAGGTTGGGCGGCGGGCGGCAGTCGGAGAGAACGACCACGGGCATCCAGGGGCGCGCGGACTGGGGGTGACGGGAGAGAATGGGGGACGGGGGAGCATGGGGGACGGGGGAGGAAGGTTGTGAATGAGCGGTGTAAGAGGGCGTCGGAGAAAACGCTCACGGGCATTTAAACGAGAGCGGACGTGTGAGGTGGGGGGAATGGGGAGATGCGATGACGGTAACCTTCAAGGAGTGAGACAGGGAGAGAGAGACTAAGAGTGGGTGAAAGCGCGAACGGCGGTTTCGGGAACAAAGAATGCGAGCATTCGGTATGGGCACAAGGACCAGGAGACGGCGGCTCAAACCGCAAAAGTAAGCCAGAGTGCGCCAAACTCACCTGTTTGACATATTCGGCGACTGTAAGCACCAGCTGGTGCCATCTCACGTCCCTCGCGAACGACCCATTGACGGGTTGGCACGGCATGTGTGCGATCAGCGCGTCGACCGTGCGAAGATCCTGCGACCATTCAGGCAGCGGCAGCTTCGGGCACTGCGGCGTTGGGTCGTCGTCGAATCGGTCCGCGAAAATGTCATCCCACGTTAAGTCTTTAAGAAGCGGCGGCGCGGCGAGCGGGACGAGTTGAAAGCCCGCCTGCTTAGTCTGCTTGATGATTCTTCTGTCGACGTTGAATGCCGCAACGCGCGTTATTCTAAACGTCTTCCACAGAACATGTCCTGGTTGTTGCTCCTTGAGCTCCACGTTTTCCGGCGGCGATAGCGGAGGGGGATACTGGTCTTCCCACCATTGAAGCGTTGCGAGCCCGCGTGTAAAGACGTCCACGTGGGTGGGGTTGATTGTCCTCATCATGATTGAGAGAGCGTCGTCAACAACCGTCGGATTGAGGAGGATGAGAGAAAAGAGCAGGGAAGCGACGGCGATTGCCGCCCATTGACCCATGCGATTGGGTGGCGGCTGCTGTAGCCCCTTAAATGGCTTCTGCGGATCGAGGAGCCATCGGTCGTAGGACTTGGACTTTGAGAGTTTCGCGATGCCTCGAGGAGCGTAAGGATCCTCCGGCGACTGCTCCATTATAGTGCGAGAAAGACGAGAGCTGGTAATTTGTCTGTCAATTTTGACGACTTGTATCTGCTTCTGGATGGACAGTTGTTACTACGTCAGATGGTTCCTGAGGTTTAAAATGTCGTTAGTTCGTCGATACCTCTTGAAGCGAGACAATGACGCTATCAGGGAGGATGGAAGCCAGAAGCAGTAGGAGCCAAGGCAATGCAGCAACAGCGGCGTTACGAGCGCCTGTGTGATAAGCAAATCCGAATTGGCTACTGAAGGTGCTGGTTGTAGTGGAAATAAGCAACAGTTCTCCCAGACGTTGCTCTCACAAATACGGAACGCATTGTTCGGAACAGCGCTGCGAATCACCCGATCCAAGAAGCACTAGCGAACTCGTACAGTTTGCCGTATACGGTTTATTTCGGTTCGTAAGTATTGGACACGGTCCTTGTGCGTTGCTTGCAACACCAGATTAAACCGTGATAAATGAGAAATCACGAGCCGCTCTTGACACCCAACGAACCTCAACAAGCCCCGCACGGCCCACTCGCGTCGAATCCCGTGTGTCCTTCAAGCACCATACCTGCCGAACCGCATGTGCACGTCGGAAATCTCGCTCCGCAAGAACCGAACCAGAACGCAAAGCTCGACTCCGTTGGATGCGGAAAGCCTCTCGCGCCCCGTTGCAGGTGGTGCCAGCACCTCGAACAAGCTCAACAATTGAAGGTTCTGATTGGTTAAAATTAGGGTAACCCGCTTGTGCTGGCACGAACTGTGCACTCCAAGGGTGTGCTCGTCGAGCCATTCTGCGCGCTCCACGAATGGCGGCATGTGTGCCATACGCGAAAGGCGGCAGCTGTCTAGTCAAGAAAGCAGGTGAATCGTCGAGAATGATGGCTTGCGAGATTGCGAAATCGCAGACCGGTTCGCATGAGGAGGAGGGAAAGGTACGTGGGCGTGGTGGTTTCGTCGTGCTGGCTTTCACAGAGACGGCATAAACAATCGACATTGTATCCATCTTAATTAGCGAGGTTCGCTTGTCTTCGCAAGAGTAGCTGTTACAGAAAAAACAAAAGGTTATGTATAAAATGAGTTTACACTGCCTTGACCGCACCTCACTGGAAACACTCTACATTAACATAATGAATGAGAATAACCCAGCCACGAGTGACGTGTGTCCAGGGCCCTCGCTAGTCTCTGAACCCCCCTGAGGCGTCAGACGGGCCCTTCGGGCCCGTCTGACCGGTCAGAATTTTTTCACGCCCCTGTCTTTCACATCAGAAATGCTAACATTTGTTACCTTAAAAATCAGATTTTGTAGACCGTCCCTACTGTAACTACAACTACTACTACAGCTATCGTCCACGAATGACATATCAAGAATATCTATATAGCTATCTGAGTCAGAGTCAGATGCCTCATTGTCACTCAGTGTAACAGTTGCACGCACATCCACTCCTTCATCCTCACTGCCGCTGTCTACTACGTGAATTTTGGCCTTCTTCCTCCTCTTGTCTACTCTGTCGTCATCGGACGGCGCCTTCTCCTCTGTTGTGTCAGGTGCTAGATCCTCCTTGTCTCCCTGCCTCCCTGCCTCTTCCGACTCTGCCTCCCTGCGCTTCGCAGTTGCCACTCCACTGACTTCTTTGGCAGGGCGCCTCTTCTTTGCCCCGCGCCACAGCTTCACCACGTCGTCCCAGTCTGGTTCGTAGTCAAGCAGGGAGACGCACATGAGGTCGGCGAGTCGCGCATTGCAGAGGTTGTTCCTGAGCCACGACTTGATTACGTTTTGGCGTCTGAAGCCTCGCTCGGACTCCACAGTGCTGAGCGGAAGAACAGCAACCGCCACCCAAAGTCGAACCAGGTTGGGGAAAGAAGACTCCCAATCCCCGCTCCTGAGCATGTTCTTAAGTGCCACGTGGAAGGATTGGTCCTTGTACTGCGACACCATCACGCGGGTGAAACGTGGAAGCTCCCGCTCAGCCTTCTTCCAGTTGACTCCTACAAGCACACACACATACACAGCACATCTAGTTAGCATCCCACTATTTAGATGGATCGTTACACAAACAAGGGATTAGGGACAACGCAGAATGTGAAAACCCGTACCTGGCAGAGCGCACTTGTCGGCATTGAACATCTTGCGAAGGGATCTGAACCACTCCGCGCACAGACGGTCGCGCTTGTTCACGCCCTCCGGATAGGCGTCTGGGAGAAATAGCTTGGACCCAACGAGGGAGTTCAAGCTTCGCATGCGGTACTGTAGCCTGCCAATCACCTCCTTCGCAAACAGGGTGGCGAGGGACACGCAGGACTCGACGTCACCCGTGGGATCCTCTTTCCTCTTCGCATCCAGCTCGTGCAGCTTGAAGGTGTGTTTGACGGCGCTGCCGTCTCCATCCATCCCCTCCACGTTGACCACCCGCTTGGACGGATGGGAGTGCGCCTCGAGGAAGGCAGAGAGGTGCTCGCTGTCCTCCTCGAAGTTCACCCCGTACTCCACATAGCGCGCGTTCAACTTCGCGCATGTGTTTTGCACCTGCCCCATGACTCGGGTGATGTCCACCTACGACATCACACACACACACAATATTAATCTCTGACATTCTGGACTTGAGCGACTTTCAGAATCGCCGACCGTTAATTACACGCTCACCGATCATCGCTGAAACCGCTTGTTGAGCTCGTTCAATTCCTTCAGGACATCGGCGAGAAAGAAAAGAAAGAAATGAAATTTCAGGCTCGTAACCAGGTGATACGTCGTGCTGTCTTTCTTGTGGAGCAGCACTATGGCAGCCGGTAGAACAGCGACAAGTCTTGAAACAGCATCGCCCCGCGACAGCCAGCGAACCTCGAAAATCCCCCGCATCTCCAAGTTCGTGGCGTGAATCACGGTTTGCAGCTCGTGGAACCTCCGGTGAACAACGCAGCTTTCGCCAATGAGGGTCGTGATGGCGCGGATCCCTTGGTCGACGATGTTGAATGCGGGGATGTTCGTCGCGGCATCCTTGGCTGCGAGAGCTTCTCTGTTAGACGATGGAAAAGAGAACCAAGTGAGTAGGGGAAGTTATATCTGACAAAAATACTGCAAATTGAAAATGCAAGTACCTCACTGGTGAGCAAGGCAATGACACGCGACAAGATGCGGAACTCGCATCTGCAGCTGAACCACCAACCCATTCTGACTGCCTAGCATGACGTTTGCGCCATCCGTGCTGATGCCGGAGATCTTGTGCATGTCGACCCCGTTGCAGTCCAGATGCGCCAGCAAGACGGCGAGCAGAGATGAAGCGTCGCCCTTCTCCACGGTTAGGTGCCCGAAGAGCTCGGTCACCGCCTTCTCCTCCTTCATGAAGGTGAGGTAGACGATGAGATGCTTGCCCTTTCTCCGATCAGTTGACTCGTCGAGCTGAATCCCGAGAAAGGGCGACTCTTGGATGTATCGCATCTGACGTGCCTTCAGGTGCTTCACCATGGCTTCGGTCATCTCCCGAAACCCATATCTGCCAAGATAAAAAGCACGACCATAAGATATTGATGAGTACCTAAATTGCACATCACGTTGCATTATTCACTCTGTCTGGTAGGTGCCGATGGCCTTGTCGGGAATGTTGGGGGTCTTCAGAACGTGTAGCAGGTGCACAAGGCCAACAAAGAGCGCAATAGGTGCATCCGACTTGCATATGAAAAGCACCACTAGTAGAAGTTGTTTCAAACGCTCAATCTCCCCCACCCCGTCCTCATACTCATCAATCCCTCGTTGAGCCACTTTACCTCCTTCGGCTCGGGCTTTACGATCGAGGGCATCCTGATGCTTGCGACTGAGACCATGCTTGCGCATGGTCTGCTTCTGGATGTCCACGCCACCCTCGCCCGCCTTGCCGTACTGCTAGTGTGGCGGTCCGTATCTGATGCAGACACTGCACTTCATGCACGGGCGACCATCCTTCCTTTGTGATATCAGCAGCCAGGGGAAACGACGTTGCCAGATGTCGGTGCACTTGTTCTTCAGTTCTTCGAGAAGCGCGTCAGGATCCGGAACCAAAATAGACGGCCTGGACGGCCCTGGATCCGAAGGCACTCTGCTCGTGCCAGTCGCTGGAGTCAGCGGAGTAGCAGCAGCTGCGGGAGAGGGCGACCTTCCTTGCGTGAGGCGCGCATGAGGTACGCGAGTACGAGCAAACCGAATAGTTGATTGAGTGAACTTCCCGAACTTCGGGAACCGGGAGACACCTGCGGTTCGGACAGCACTGACCGTGGGAGTCGCGACGCGCCCGGTCGCTCTAGTGGGCGACTCTTCCACAGGCGGATCGCTCAACTGTTGCCGCTGATTAAAATCCGGCCAGGGCTCCGTGCTTGCCGTTGGTTCGTTGTTGGTAACTGGGGGCTGCACAGGCGGATCTCTTTCAGGCGTGGCGGTAGGTGGACCGCCTCTAAGAAAGTCGAGACCAGTAAGTGGACGACGCGACCTAGCTGGGTCATCATCGCCCCTACAATCCATGGCTACAGGGCCCTAGGAGGATGTTGTCAAGACAGTAGAGAGTGCAGGGGAAAGAATTCCTTTGTGCCAGCGAGTGAAAGGAACGTTGGAGAGGGTGGGGGAGCCAGCCGAGCATTATCAGCTGAACGAGGTGCATGCATGAGGTTACAATGCACCGCGGTGCCCCACTCCATCCTTCGTCCAGCGGGACGTTGGGCAACAGTCGGTGCGAGTCGCGTGAGGCGCTGCAATCCACACAACTCATGCGCTGGTTTGAAAGTGGACCAGTAACTGAAAGATTTGCTCCACTTTCGTTTCAATGTGGCCCAAGTTGGCCAGACGTGCGCCAGATTGCCAATACTTGACTAGTTTCAGTGCGAGGCGCTGCGCCGTCACCTCAATCACGGATACAGGTGTACTGATCGTGCTGTGATTGGTGCAGCTAACCCAAATCACGCGTCAATCACGGCAGACTGTATAAAAGTCGGTTTCAGACGGAACTGATACAAGTGCCTGGAAAATCAGAGAAATAGCTACACGCACGTCTTTGTCATCAGACAAAATGGAAATCTCATATCTTTTTCATCAGATTTCCCAAACGTTCCATTTCTTGAAAATCAGATTAATTAAACAAAATCCGTCTTATTCCTCAGAAAAACAGACAAAAATGTCTGCTAGCGAGGGCCCTGCGTGTGTCACTGGAAGCCTCGTCGTCAAGGCAACCCAATTGATATTTGACATACACTTTTGATTTTAAAAATGAGGCCTTTGAGCACCATCCACAAGCAAATTGCATTTCACGTCAAAAGTGGCATAACACATACCGCTTCCCTCACCCTACCCTCCCTCTTCCAGTCCGTAGTCTTCCCCAAAGTATGTGTCGACAAGATAGCTTGACATGGAGTGTAGCTCCTCATTGCCTACAAATTGAGCTGCTTCTATCGCATCGATGCCGTCCGCCTCCTCCACCAGCCGTGGGCCTCTTTTGTCTGGTAGTACACGCAGGACCTACCCAATGAGAGGAAATGACATAAATGGAGAATCAAGCACAATGATAATGAGGACAGCTGAAGAACAGGCCGTTCGTGTGTGTAGGAGAGCATGTGTACCACGCATGTGTGCGCAAATGCATGTGTGCATGTGTGCATATGTGCATGTGTGCATGTGTGTGCACATGCATACACCTGTGAGTGCATGTGCTTGTGGCTGTATGGCCGCATGCGCATGTGTCCATGAGTTCCATGTGTGAGTGAGTGCAGGTGTGCATGCGTGAGAATCTGTCCTTACTTGTTACTCCAGCCCATACCTTAATGTCCATATTCCCTCCACATACCTTACCCTCCTCCATGCACCTTACCTCTACAGCTACCTCAGCCACAGCAGCACCAGCTTCAGCAGCACAAGCCACGGCAACACCAGCCGCAGCAGGCACTCACCACCACACACCTTCCCACACCCTTACCACCACCGCCCACCATGACATATCCCTCCTCACCACTACATATCTCGACACACCGTTCCTCACCACCGCACACCTTCCCACACCCCTTCTCACCACTTCGGTAAACTGCAGGCCGAGCCGCACAGCGTCAGCATCTGCTGAGCGGATGAGGGAGAGGAAGGGCAGCAGGCACCCCGCGTCCACTAGTGCTGCCACGCGCGACTGCTGGACCGCCATGCGGCGCTCTCCTATTGGCTCTTGCTCCGCAGGATCCACACAGAGATTCGCTGCCAGAAGATTAGATCCGGGCAGGATCACATTAAGGTGAATTTCTGACTTGAATCAAAGGTCACCTGGAGCATATGCAAGGTCTAAAACGGGTGACAGAAGAATGCCTGAAAGAGTGTTATGAGGAGACTGGAGGAAGAACCTTTGCTTGGATGGGTCAAACAGAAAATATATTACGAAGTGAGAAGGAAAACACTTGGGAAGAAAGGAGAGAGAAGACGCCACATTCGCAATGAGAAACAAAGACTGACTGCATGCACATCAGAAGAAAGGTATTCGTGAAAATTCCTCAGCATAACAAGCACAAGCACAAGCCGCAACGTCACTGACCGAGAGCAAAGGTGACTGACCGAGAGAAAAGGAGACTGGCCGAGAGCAAAGGTGACTGACCGAGAGCAAAGGTGAGTGACCGAGAGCAAAGGTGACTGACCGAGAGCAAAGGTGACTGACCGAGAGCAAAGGTGACTGACCGAGAGAAAAGGTGACTGGCCGAGAGCAAAGGTGACTGGCCGAGAGAAAAGGTGACTGGCCGAGAGCAAAGGTGACTGACCGAGAGCAAAGGTGACTGACCGAGAGCAAAGGTGACTGACCGAGAGCAAAGGTGACTGGCCGAGAGCAAAGGTGACTGACCGAGAGCAGAGGTGACTTCTCTCTTGATGTCAAACGGTGCTGTGCGGAGCAAGTGCACGAGCAGCTGGTATAGCCTCGACGCGACTGACCGAGAGTCAAGGGTGGACTGACTGAGAGCAAAGGGCGAGTGACTAAGGGCACATTTGACTTCTCTCTTGATGTCAAAGGGTGCCGTGCGGAGCAAATGCACGAGCAGCTCGTATATCTAGCAACCCAGCGCATGCCCCAATGCTACTGACCGAGAGCAAAGGCGACTTCTCTCTTGATGTCGAAGGGTGCCGTGCGGAGCATATGCACGAGCAGCTCGTACATTCTCGACGCTTTGCCTGCTCCTCCCATCCCCGCTCCTCCCCCCATGGCGTCTCCACCAATCACAGCTGCCTTGTGCCAGCTGTCGCCAGCTGTCACGTTGGATACTGCCCATGCCGTCTCCTGCAGAGGAGCACACAGGGAGGATATTCAAGGGGTCTCATTTTGAAGAAGCGCAATGGGAGAATACTTGTGGCACCCGTTTGAGGGGATAAAGTACCTAAGGCGCCTCACGAAGCTGTCCCGTCGGATTTTCAAAGCCTCCTCCTGCAAGGGCGCACACGGAAGGACTTTCAAGGCGTCTTGACGAGGACGGCTCTTGAGGCGCCTCACGAATACACAGCTGTCACGTCGAACACACACACACACACACACACACACACACACACACACACACACACACACACACACACACACACACACACACACACACACACACACACACACACACACACACACACACACACACACACACACACACACACACACACACACACACACACACACACACACACACACACACACACACACACACACACACACACACACACACACACACACACACACACACACACACACACACACACACACACACACACACACACACACACACACACACACACACACACACACACACACACACACACACACACACACACACCACACACACACACACACACACACACACACACACACACACACACACACCACACACACACACACACACACACACACACACACACACACACACACACACACACACACACACACACACACACACACACACACACACACACACACACACACACACACACACACACACACACACACACACACACACACACACACACACACACACACACACACACACACACACACACACACACACACACACACACACACACACACACACACACACACACACACACACACACACACACACACACACACACACACACACACACACACACACACACACACACACACACACACACACACACACACACACACACACACACACACACACACACACACACACACACACACACACACACACACACACACACACACACACACACACACACACACACACACACACACACACACACACACACACACACACACACACACACACACACACACACACACACACACACACACACACACACACACACACACACACACACACACACACACACACACACACACACACACACACACACACACACACACACACACACACACACACACACACACACACACACACACACACACCAAATCCCTCCCCACACACACCAAAACCCTCCCCACACACACCAAAACCCTCCCCACACACACCAAAACCCTCCCCACACACACCAAAACCCTTCCCACACATTCCAAAACCCTCCCCACACACACCAAAACCCTCCCCACACACACCAAAACCCTCCCCACACACACCAAAACCCTCCCCACACACACCAAAACCCTCCCCACACACACCAAAACCCTCCCCACACACACCAAAACCCTCCCCACACACACCAAAACCCTCCCCACACACACCAAAACCCTCCCCACACACACCAAAACCCTCCCCACACACACCAAAACCCTCCCCACACACACCAAAACCCTCCCCACACACACCAAAACCCTCCCCACACACACCAAAACCCTCCCCACACACACCAAAACCCTCCCCACACACACCAAAACCCTCCCCACACACACCAAAACCCTCCCCACACACACCAAAACCCTCCCCACACACACCAAAACCCTCCCCACACACACCAAAACCCTCCCCACACACACCAAAACCCTCCCCACACACACCAAAACCCTCCCCACACACACCAAAACCCTCCCCACACACACCAAAACCCTCCCCACACACACCAAAACCCTCCCCACACACACCAAAACCCTCCCCACACACACCAAAACCCTCCCCACACACACCAAAACCCTCCCCACACACACCAAAACCCTCCCCACACACACCAAAACCCTCCCCACACACACCAAAACCCTCCCCACACACACCAAAACCCTCCCCACACACACCAAAACCCTCCCCACACACACCAAAACCCTCCCCACACACACCAAAACCCTCCCCACACACACCAAAACCCTTCCCACACACACCAAAACCCTCCCCACACACACCAAAACCCTCCCCACACACACCAAAACCCTCCCCACACACACCAAAACCCTCCCCACACACACCAAAACCCTCCCCACACACACCAAAAACCCTCCCCACACACACCAAAACCCTCCCCACACACACCAAAACCCTCCCCACACACACCAAAACCCTCCCCACACACACCAAAACCCTCCCCACACACACCAAAACCCTCCCCACACACACCAAAACCCTCCCCACACACACCAAAACCCTCCCCACACACACCAAAACCCTCCCCACACACACCAAAACCCTCCCCACACACACCAAAACCCTCCCCACACACACCAAAACCCTCCCCACACACACCAAAACCCTCCCCACACACACCAAAACCCTCCCCACACACACCAAAACCCTCCCCACACACACCAAAACCCTCCCCACACACACCAAAACCCTCCCCACACACACCAAAACCCTCCCCACACACACCAAAACCCTCCCCACACACACCAAAACCCTCCCCACACACACCAAAACCCTCCCAAACCCTTCTCGTTTCCAACACCAGTGACCATGACAGGGAGAAGACTCATAGTCCTTTTGTGGCAACCCCAACCTCTTTTAGCAACTGCTCGTTCTTCTCTCTTGGATTGGATGCTCTCCGTCTCCCTCGTCTCTCTCCTTCCTTCGTCGCTCTACCACACTCCGCCATACTCCCAACGCTTCCAGGTACCACCCACCCATCCGTTCCTACTGTTCAGAAATATATCTTTCACCCCCTCACCGTCACCTCTCTCGCTCTCTTTCTCACTCTCTTGCTCACTCTCGTTCTCACCCGCGCGGCCAGGCGCCATTGCTGCTGGCGCTGCAGCTCCTGCAGGGCAAGCAGCAGGTCGGGCTTCACCAGCCGCGCCACCTTGCTGCGCCTCAAAATCCCCCTCACCGTCACCTCTCTCGCTCTCTTTCTCACTCTCTTGCTCACTCTCGTTCTCACCCGCGCGGCCAGGCGCCACTGCTGCTGGCGCTGCAGCTCCTGCAGGGCCAGCAGCATGTCCGGCTTCACCAGCCGCGCTACCTTGCTGCGCATCACCGCCTCCACGCGCGGCCCGCACACCCACCGCTTCCCCGCGCCCGCGCCCGCGCCCGCGCTCCCTGCCTGGGGTGAGGTATCAGCGCGGCTGGTCAAACCAACCATCTCTTCCTCCTCGCTCTCTTCCAATTCCCCCATTTCCTCCTCCTCCTCTTCCTCCTCCTCCTCTTCCTCCTCCTCCCACCGGCGCTGCTCGTCTCGAGCATCAAGCACGGCGGCCAGTTTCAGCTCTTGAACCGCGTCCACCGCCTCTCCCGCCATGTTACGGCTCCGCCACAAGCTCTCGCGCTTCGACGCGAACAGCAGCGTGTGTGTGGATCGCCGAAATCCTTCATGGCGAAAGATCGGCGGAGAGCGCAGGGTTAGAATAGCTGGCAAAGGCTTTTGAGTCGACTCAAAAGTTAAAGTAGCTGGCAAAGGCGAAGGCGACAGTCTATTGATGATGTTTGCCGCCGGCGACGGACGCTGCAATGGGCGACATTCTATTGAGCCAGTAGCAGCGCGACATGATGGCGCGGCACGAGGATGCTGAGCAGCGGCGGAAGGGATGGACACCAAGACGCGAGGACCGGGGGGGTTGCGCGGGGTGCTCCGCGGGATGCCTCTGAATATTCTGGAATAATGGCCGACGATTAGCATGCTGCTGCTTTGGCTCCGAGAGCTGGCACTGGATTCCCAGGCTTCTAATGGCTGACAAGTGTGCTGCAACGGTCTCATTGGACAGACGATTTTTTAGTAGTTTTGAGGCTCCTCGGAAATTGCTTCTAAGTGGCTTTGAAAAATGTCACACGCTTCGGTCATGCAACTGGTGGTTCCGCCGTTAGCAGCTATTACGCGTCGACATGATCTCCTTTCTACCTTGTTGGCTCGCGTCCTAGTGAATTGAACTACAGATACCGTAGCCTATAGTAGAATCCATCTCGTCGCTGTCGTCGAGATTCTCAACTTCGCACGCTCAACTCGAAAGGTCTAGGTAACCTCCACGCCACGCACTGCTAGGCCTACGAGGGAAACCTCGTATACCCGTGTTAAGGTGTCTCAATTCACGGCAAACCAACCCCTCCGTCGCTGAAATCGTAAAACGCGGCTTCACGTTGTACACCACATATTATGCCCACCGTTGCCACCCCCACTGGTAGCATCTTTTGTAGGGTCTCAAAAGTCACCAGCATGATCATCAGTTGCCCCAGCTGTACACCACATACTATGCCCACTGTTGCCGCCCCCACTGCTAGCACCCATCGCCATCCCATTGTAACGGGACTGCTGTGCACCACCACCGGTGCACACCACCCCATGGCCACACTATTGCCACCACTGCTATCATCACACAGAACCCTTCCTGCTCGTCCCTGCACACAAATGAAGCCCTCACACCAGTGAACATTGGTTCCACTCACTCACTACCTCGGCCACACTGTTCCTTTTTCCTCCCAAAGCATGTAGAGGCCCAGGGAATTTAAAAGAACCCTCATCATGCCCTAATCTGATCATCCTGCCTGCACCATGCCCTAACCCATGGCATGGGGAACGAGATCTGACTCCACACTAACGCTGTGACACAATCTGGCCCCATGCTATCACTGTGACGTGATGTGACCTCATGGTACCGCTATGACACGGTTTGACACCATGCCACCACAATAACACGACCTCACACCATGCCACCGCAATGACACAATCTGACCCCATGCTACCACCATGACACGACCTGACCCCGTGCTACCGCTATGACACGTTGTGTTCCCATACTAACCTGCCACGCCAATCCGACCTCACTGCCCCGCTCCTCTCACACCCGCTATCACTACCGCGCCAGCGGACCGCTGGATCGACAATCCTGTACGATGCCAGGGAAGGGAATTGCCTGCGCAGAGCATCCGGAACGCCCGGCTGCCACTCCTCAGTGGCATAGTAAATGGACTCCAGGTTCGGAGCATCGATGTACGTGTTGCTGCCGCTGTCGTTGCTGCTGCTTCCGATGATGCTCCCTTCTTCCCCGCCGAAGAACCTCCAAAACCGAGAGTCTTCCGGATCCTCGGGGTTTTCGCAGTAACTAAACCCCCCAGTGCTATAACGGTTCACACCAACGCTGAGGTGCCGCACCTGGCTCCACTGCACACGCACGCCCTCCAGTGGCCAGCCGTACCTCGTTTTAAGCGTCTCCACTGTGGGCGCTATGCTACTGAGCAGGTGGGTCAAGGCGATTTGAGAATCATCATCAGAACAGGGAAACACACGTCAACGATTTGCTCGGAGGCTTGCACCGTTCAAGTAGACGGATTTTGCGGCGGACAATGGGAGCGAGGAAACGAGGAGCTGCGAGTAGCCAATGAGAGAGAGCGAGTCGAGAGAGGGAGGGCTGGGGGAAGTGCAATCCACGTTGAGACACGCCGCAGTGGCCGAGAAGGACTTCAAAGAGGCAGGCAGGGCGCAGCGGAGGTGGAGCACTTGCTTCTCAAAGCAGAGCAGTGAACTTGAAATCGAGGGCGAAGGGGGGGACATGGCTGGAGGAGGCGAGAGCGATTTCACGCAGCTGCGGTGTAAGGGATGCGAGAAAGGACAGAGCGTTTCCGTCGCACACGAAATCGTGGACGCTCAGGCTCCTCAAACCCCGGAACCGCGCTGGACTCAGGCCGCCTAGTTGCCACGTCCCGCGACCCAGCTTCAGCCGCTGCAGCTGCTGAAACTCCTCGAGAAAGGCCGGATTCATCAGGTGCTTCTCCTTAATGATAGGCTTGATTCCCCCGAGTGGTTCCTTGAGCCCAAGGCCCAGGCTTGCGAGGGAGTGTGCAGAGGGCTGCAAGAGACGGCAGAGGCAGTGGATTTCCTGGGAGCTGTTGAGCTCGAGATTGAGAGGCGTGTGGGGGGCGTGAATGAGGAAGACAGAGAGCGTTCCCGAGGGAGGTGTGAGGGTGGCGGGGTCTAGGGAGTCGATAGGCAGCGTCATGGGCTGGAAGTCCTGCTCGCCACTCACCTGACACAACAGGGATACTGGCACGGGCAGAAGGACTCGTAAAACGGGGTAACCTGTCAAAATCACTCCAATCCCTCCAGGCCACTCCTGTGTCTCCCGCCTCACCTGAAGTGTTGGAAGCCCTCACGACGAGACACCCATCCGCCTGCCAACCACTTCCAGACTGGCTCCGCACCGCCACAGCGGAAGACCCACCCACTATCGAAGCTCCCGACTTCAGACGCCTCCTCGCCAAACTCCCCAACGGAGTAGGGGCCGACCCATCTGGAACAACCTTCGAGCACATCCGCGACGCAGCCCTGGGCAACGCCGAAGTACTCACCCACCTCCTCGCCCTCACTAACACAGCTCTTGCAGGAAAACTCCCCACAGTCGCGGGGGATCTTCTAACGGCATCCCGCCTGTTAGCATTTACGAAACCACAGGGAGGGACGCGGCTGATTGCGGTGGGGGAGTGCCTCCTCCGGATAATAGCAAAAGCCGCGCTCTTCCTCACTGCGCCGGCCGCTCGTACTCACTTTGCTCCGCTTCAGTTCGGAGTCGTAGTAGCGGGAGGGATCGAAGCGGCTATCCACTCCGCTCGCACGTACCTGGAAGTGCACCCAGGGGCAGTGGCGCTGCAGATTGACCTCGCGAATGCGTTCAACGCGGTCGAAAGGAAGGCGGTGTTTGAAGGACTGAATAACGAGGCGCTGAAGGAACTGATTCCCCTCGTCCGCCTTTCCTATGGGACTCCCTACTCGCTCTTCCTCGACCACGACTTCGGCGCAGCCCCGCTGCAGAGCGCCAGGGGTGTTCGCCAAGGAGACCCGCTCTGCCCACTCCTGTTCGCGGCTAGCATCCACCCGTGCCTCGTGGACACGGCGGCTGCACACCCTCAGGTGGTCCTGCTGGCGTACGCCGATGATATCACGCTGCTCGGCGACGCCACGGCCTGCTCTGCGGCTTTCGACCACCTCACCTCTGCTTTAGCCGCCCTCGGCCTGGTGCACAATCCAGCTAAGTGCGCGGCGTGGTCCGTCGCAGCAATCGACGCCTCCTCAGTCCCCCCAGGCGTCACTATCTCTGAGGAGGGTTTGCAGATTCTCGGCAGCCCCGTGGGCACTGCCCGAGGCTGCGCAGATGCTGTGAGAGCGAGATTGGAAGCAGCAGCAGCGCCTCTCCCCTTGCTGGCCCAGATGGACCCCCAACTTGCCCTCCTCCTCCTCACCCACTGTGTCAGCCGCCGAGCTTCCTTCCTGGCCAGAACCACCCCCCTAGAGGCCCTCCCTGAAGCCGAATGGTCCGCTTGGGGGGAACAACTCCTTCACACTTTCCTCGACTCGGCCCACATCATGAGGCCGAGGAGCGCGAGGGAGAGACGGAGGATTTGGCGGCAGGCGGCCCTGCCAGTGACTTTGGGAGGCCTGGGCATCACTGACCCCAGCACAGCCCACCTCTTGCACTCCCTGGAGGACTCGTTGCACCCCGCTGTCGCCGCGCTCTTCCCCCTTTTGGATCCAACCCACAGCTCCCCACACGTGCTACCTACACGCCTCGCCGCGGCTGAGGCAGCCCTGCCCCCCGAGGCTCTCGAGGTGCTCCAGGCCGGGAAGGCTGACCCCAAGGGACTGAAGCTGCAGCAGAACCTAGCACTGGCGGTTCACTCCCGCCGCTTCCTGAGAGTCATGCGCGAGGCGAGACGGATGCGCCCCAACCCCCGCTCTGGCCATGCGCAACGGATGCAGTCGGTGCTGGGCCCAGGCGCGGGGGATTGGCTGCTGGCGATCCCGCTCACCCCCTCGCTCCGGATGGGCCCGTCCCAGCTCTCTACTGCAACTGCCTTCCGCCTAGGCCTCCCCCTCCCAGTGCCTAGACGCTGTGACTGCCGCTACCGCACCACCTTCCCCGACGACCGCCTCCCCAACCACCTCATGAGCTGCGAGAAGGGGAAAGGGAGGACCGCAAGCCACCACGCTCTGCGGGATGAGATAGCGAACATTGGGGCGGAGGCGGGGTTTACGGTTCACAAGGAAACGTATGTCTACTCACTGGTTGAAAACCTAAAGGCAGATGTCACCATCCGTCATCCCCTGACTGGTGAGGTTTGGATGTGCGACGTGACCGTGACGGACCCGGTGTCAAGGCAAGACGAGAACTGCAACCGAGCTCCTGGATGGGCGGCCAGGGCGGCAGCAGAGAAAAAGGAGGATAAGTACGCACGGCGGAACGCGTGGGTGGGGTTCCACGCGCTTGCAGTGGAAACTTATGGCTACCCCTCGCCGGGGGTGATGGCTTACCTGCGGCAGTGCGCAGAGCTGGCGGCAAAGCTGCGGTTTAACGCGGCTCCTACCTCCTACAAAGCAGCGAAGCTGCTGACGGAGTACCGCCAGCGCTGGAGCGTGTGCCTCCAGCGGGCGCAGGCCAACGCCCTCCGCACCAAGACCAACGAGGCCCTGGCGGCGGACGAGCTCGGCTTTAGAGGACCCATCATCCCTCTCAGTGAGGGACAGCTGCACCAGTTGATTGAGGCCCCGTTCGACCAATAGGGTCGGACAGAGGGGGGGGGGGGCTGAGTAGGTAGGAGTCTTGAGGTAGTTCGGATCTCGGTTTGGATGTTTGTTGTGCTTGTGTGTTCTGCATCTTCCTTTGTACCACCCCTCATAGTAATGGAAGGACCATTCGAGAGAGAGACGGACAGGAAGATGGTTGACAGAGCTTTGCCGTGACAGGAAGTTTAACTGATCGTTCAGTTTTTTACAAACAGCCATTTACCAGCACACCGTCCAATCCTGCCTTGTCACACCTGGTACCTCAAGCGAAATATAGAACACCTCAAGTAGCTCGGTGGCATCGTAAAACGACTCCAATTTCGGAGCATTTATGAGCAAGCCGCTGGTGCTGCTGCTGACGCCGCCCTCCTCTCCTCCCGCACTAATGAACTTCCAAGATTTTGAATCTTCCGGATTGACCGGATAATATATGTGATTAATCTCCCCACACCTCTCTATACCGATGAAAACGCAACGAAGGCGGCTCCACTCCACACGCACGCCCTCCAGAGGCCAGCCGTACCTCAATACAAGCATCTCCACTGTAGGCGCTATGCTGCTGAGCAGGTGGGTCACGGTACGCTGAGATTCGAGATCGGAATAGAGAAAACCACGCGACTGGTTTTTTCGATTGGCTGGTCCTTCCAAGTAGACGGATTTGGCGGCAGCCAATGGTAGTGAAGAAACGGAAGATTCGCCATCATGGCGACAGCGAGATTTTGTGATTCGTCAGCGTGACGACAACGAGATTGTGGGAGGGGGGATATCTCGGCCGATTCTATGTGAAAGTACATGCGAAATTTCTTTTAGGGAGTGATTTTCGCGATATCCTCCCGTAAGGAATCAGACTCGATAACATCCATAATAGGAATCTATAAGAAAAGGGGGGTGTTATAGAGAATCACCCCAAAAGGGGGGGTATAGTACTAACGGGGTCGGATATAACACCCACCCCGTATTAGCTACCCGGGGGTGTACGTACAATAATGGGGGGGTGTTTTATCCGGGAGAATAATACGGTAGTCTGATAACGAGAGCCCTGCCTCGAACGAACTCCAGAACTGCTTAAGTAGCTCGGTGGTATCGTAAAACAACTCCAATTTCGGAGCATTGATGAGCAAGCCGCTGGTGCTGCTGCCGACGCCGCCCTCCTCTCCTGCCGTTCTAATGAACTTCAAAGATATTTCCGGGTAGTCCGGAAAATATTTCTGATTAATCCCCCCCAACCTCTCTACACCGATGAAAACGCAACGAAGGCGGCTCCACTCCACACGCATGCCCTCCAGAGGCCAGCCGTACCTCAATACAAGCATCTCCACTGTAGGCGCTATGCTGCTGAGCAGGTGGGTCACGGTACACTGAGATTCGAGATCGGAATAGGGAAAACCATGCGACTGGTTTTTTCGATTGGCTGGTCCTTTCAAGTAGACGGATTTGGCGGCAGCCAATGGTAGTGAAGAAACGAGAAGCTGCGAGCGGCCAATGAGAGAGAGCGAGTCGAGAGAGAGCCGGCTGTTGCATGTGCAATCCACGTTGAGACTCTCTGCAGTGGCAGAGAAGGACTTCAAAGAGGCAGGCAGGGCGAAGCGGAGGTGGAGCGCTTGTTGCTTAAAAAAGCAGACTGTGATAGATCGAGCAGCGGTGAGCTTGAAATCGAGAGTGAGGGTGGCAGAGGCAGAGCCAAAGCTGGAGGAGGCGAGAGCGAATTCATGCAGCTGCGGTGCGACGGATGAAAGAAAGGGCAGAGCATTCTCCTCGCACTCGAAATCGTGGATGCTCAGACTCCTTAAGGCTTGGAACATTGCTGGATTCAGGCTGCCTAATTTCCAAATCCCACGGCTTCCTAGCACCAGCTTCTGCAGCTGCTCAAACTCCCCCAGAAATTCTGAATGCAGCAGCAACTGTCCCCAAGGGATATTTGTTTTGTGCTCAAGGGACAAGGTTGTGAGGGAGCGCGCAGAGGGTCCCAAGAGACGGCCGAGGCAGTGCAGGTCCTCGGGGCTGTTGAGAACGACATTGAGGGGCGTGTGAGGCGCGTGCGTGAGGAAGACAGAGAGCGTTCCCGAGAGACGTGTGAGCGCGGGGTCTTCGGAGTTGATAGTCAGCTTCATGGGCTCGAACTCCTGCTCGTACAAAGAGTGACAGAGAGATGGACGGAGAGATGGACGGAGAGATGGACGGAGAGATGGACGGAGAGATGGACGGAGAGATGGACGGAGAGATGGACGGAGAGATGGACGGAGAGATGGACGGAGAGATGGACGGAGAGATGGACGGAGAGATGGACGGAGAGATGGACGGAGAGATGGACGGAGAGATGGACGGAGAGATGGACGGAGAGATGGACGGAGAGATGGACGGAGAGATGGACGGAGAGATGGACGGAGAGATGGACGGAGAGATGGACGGAGAGATGGACGGAGAGATGGACGGAGAGATGGACGGAGAGATGGAGAGACAGACACATGGAAAGATGGAGATGGCGATTTGAAAGGTGCTTGAGGAGCGACTTTGTGAGTCAACTTAAAATTCTGCTGTATGTTGCTTGGCAACGTCATTGGCTCGAAATCATGCTCATTCGCAGCTACGGACAAGAAGACGGTTGAGGAGCTTAGACGTGACTGTAGCCGTGACCGTGACCGCATCATAACTCAGCACCCAGAGAAGAAATTTACCATGGATTACGGGGAGCAATGAGAGACTCACGGGGAAGGAGGCGACATGGTGGAGGAGCCTCTTGCAGACCATGGCGCAGCGCAGCAGAGGCCAGCAGGAGCCGAAGCACGCGTCTCCTGCTCCTCCCTCCTGCGATGCGCCCGAGGAATTACCCCAATTCTGCAGTTTCTTTTTCAGTCGACTCAGAAGTCCACTCCCAGTGGCACCCGGCGAGGTGCTGCCTGCTCCCTCCTGTGATGCGCCCGAGGAGTTACCCAGACTCTGCAGCTTCTTTTTGAGTCGACTAAGAAGTGATGCGCCAGAGGCGCTGCCTGCTCCTCCCTCTTGTGATGCGCCGGAGGAGCTACCCAGCAGCAGGTGGCGGAAGATGATGTGCCAGATGGGGCCGGGCAGCAGATCAACCACGTCCACGATCTGGGTTGGGGAATGTGTTAAATTAACAGAAAGAGGGAGAGTTAGAGAGCGAGGATACTACAAATCCATTGTCTTTTCCTAAGGAGGATGTGGTGAGAATCGAGGGAACCGGCTAAAAATGTTGTGATGTTTCACTGGCTGCGGCATCACCCTCACCTCATGATGATTCTCGGCATCAGCGGGTGCTGTAAGACTGAGAGCTACCTCATCTCCACGGCTACCCATCACCGCCAACGATCAGCTACGCAACCGCCGGCGAATAGGCAAAAGAATACAGGAGGGTTTTGGGAAATTACGACAGGAGATTCACAGAAGCCTTCTGAGCAAGAAACAGCCCTGTTTGGAGCAGCTCTGTTTGAAACGGCTCTGTTTGAAACGAGAAAGACGAGAGCTGGTAATTCGTCTGTCAATTTTGACGACTTGTATCTGCTTCTGGATGGACAGTCGTTACTACGTCAGATGGTTCCTGAGGTTTAAAATGTCGTTAGTACGTCGATACCTCTCGTAGCGAAACAATGACGCTATCAGGGAGGATGGAAGCCAGAAGCAGTAGGAGCCAAGGCAATGCAGCAACAGCGGCGTTACGAGCGCCTGTGTGATGAGCAAATCCGAATTGGCTACTGAAGGTGCTGGTGATAGTGGAAATAAGCAACAGTTAACCCAGACGCTGCCCTCACGAATACGGAACGCATTGTTCGGAACAGCGGTGCGAATCACCCGAACCAAGAAGCACTAGCGAGCTCTTACAGTTTGTCGTATACGGTTTAGTTCGGTTCGTAAATATTGGACACGGTCTCTGCGCGTTGCTTGCAGCACCAAATTAAACCGTGATAAATGAGAAATCACGAGCCGCTCTTGACACCCAACGAACCTCAACAAGCCCCGCTCGGCCCACTCGCGTCGAATCCCGTGTGTCCTTCAAGCACCATACCTGCCGAACCGCATGTGCACGTCGGAAATCTCGCTCCGCAAGAACCGAACCAGAACGCAAAGCTCGACTCCGTTGGATGCGGAAAGCCTCTCGCGCCCCGTTGCAGGTGGTGCCAGCAACTCGAGCAGAACTCAACAATTGAAGGCTCTAATTGGTTGAAATTAGGGTAACCCGCTTGTGCTGGCACGAACTGTGCGCTCCAAGGGTGTGCTCGTCGAGCCATTCCGCGCGCTCCACGAATGGCGGCATGTGTGCCATACGCGAAAAAGGGCAGCTGTCGAAAGCAGGTGAATCGTCGAGAATGATGGCTTGCGAGCGAAATCGCAGACCGGTTCGCATGAGGAGGAGGGAAAGGTACGTGGGCGTGGTGGTTTCGTCGTGCTGGCTTTCACAGAGACAGCATAAACAATCGACCTTGTATCCATCTTAATTAGCGCGGTTCGCTTGTCTTCGCAAGAGTAGCTGTTACAGAAAATAATGGTTATGTATAAAATGATTTTACACAGCCTTGACCACACCTCACTGGTAACACTCTACATTAACATAATGAATGAGAATAACCCAGCCACGAGTGACGTGTGTCACTGGAAGCCTCGTCGTCAAGGCAACCCAATTGATTTTTGACATACACTTCTGATTATAAAAATGAGGCATTTGAGCACCATCCACAAGCAAATTGCAATTCACGTCAAAAGAGGCATAGCAAATACCGCTTCCCTCACCCTACCCTCCCTCTTCCAGTCCGTAGTCTTCCCCAAAGTATGTGTCGACAAGATAGCTTGACATGGAGTGTAGCTCCTCATTGCCTACAAATTGAGCTGCTTCTATCGCATCGATGCCGTCCGCCTCCTCCACCAGCCGTGGGCCTCTTTTGTCTGGTAGTACACGCAGGACCTACCCAATGAGAGGAAATGACATAAATGGAGAATCAAGCACAATGATAATGAGGACAGCTGAAGAACAGGCCGTTCGTGTGTGTAGGAGAGCATGTGTACCACGCATGTGTGCGCAAATGCATGTGTGCATGTGTGCATGTGTGCATGTGTGCATGTGTGCATGTGTGTGCACATGCATACACCTGTGAGTGCATGTGCTTGTGGCTGTATGGCCGCATGCGCATGTGTCCATGAGTTCCATGTGTGAGTGAGTGCAGGTGTGCATGCGTGAGAATCTGTCCTTACTTGTTACTCCAGCCCATACCTTAATGTCCATATTCCCTCCACATACCTTACCCTCCTCCATGCACCTTACCTCTACAGCTACCTCAGCCACAGCAGCACCAGCTTCAGCAGCACAAGCCACGGCAACACCAGCCGCAGCAGGCACTCACCACCACACACCTTCCCACACCCTTACCACCACCGCCCACCATGACATATCCCTCCTCACCACTGCATATCTCGACACACCGTTCCTCACCACCGCACACCTTCCCACACCCCTTCTCACCACTTCGGTAAACTGCAGGCCGAGCCGCACAGCGTCAGCATCTGCTGAGCGGATGAGGGAGAGGAAGGGCAGCAGGCACCCCGCGTCCACTAGTGCTGCCACGCGCGACTGCTGGACCGCCATGCGGCGCTCTCCTATTGGCTCTTGCTCCGCAGGATCCACACAGAGATTCGCTGCCAGAAGATTAGATCCGGGCAGGATCACATTAAGGTGAATTTCTGACTTGAATCAAAGGTCACCTGGAGCATATGCAAGGTCTAAAACGGGTGACAGAAGAATGCCTGAAAGAGTGTTATGAGGAGACTGGAGGAAGAACCTTTGCTTGGATGGGTCAAACAGAAAATATATTACGAAGTGAGAAGGAAAACACTTGGGAAGAAAGGAGAGAGAAGACGCCACATTCGCAATGAGAAACAAAGACTGACTGCATGCACATCAGAAGAAAGGTATTCGTGAAAATTCCTCAGCATAACAAGCACAAGCACAAGCCGCAACGTCACTGACCGAGAGCAAAGGTGACTGACTGAGAGAAAAGGAGACTGGCCGAGAGCAAAGGTGACTGACCGAGAGCAAAGGTGACTGACCGAGAGCAAAGGTGACTGACCGAGAGCAAAGGTGACTGACCGAGAGCAAAGGTGACTGACCGAGAGAAAAGGTGACTGGCCGAGAGCAAAAGTGACTGGCCGAGAGAAAAGGTGACTGGCCGAGAGAAAAGGTGACTGGCACATTTGACTGAGAGCAAAGGGCGAGTGACTAAGGGCACATTTGACTTCTCTCTTGATGTCAAAGGGTGCCGTGCGGAGCAAATGCACAAGCAGCTCGTATATCTAGCAACCCAGCGCATGCCCCAATGCTACTGACCGAGAGCAAAGGCGACTTCTCTCTTGATGTCCAAGGGTGCCGTGCGGAGCAAATGCACGAGCAGCTCGTACATTCTCGACGCTTTGCCTGCTCCTCCCATCCCCGCTCCTCCCCCCATGGCGTCTCCACCAATCACAGCCGCCTTGTGCCAGCTGTCGCCAGCTGTCACGTTGGATACTGCCCATGCTGTCTCCTGCAGAGGAGCACACAGGGAGGATATTCAAGGGGTCTCATTTTGAAGAAGCTCAATGGGAGAATACTTGTGGCACCCGTTTGAGGGGATAAAGTACCTAAGGCGCCTCACGAAGCTGTCCCGTCGGATTTTCAAAGCCTCCTCCTGCAAGGGCGCACACGGAAGGACTTTCAAGGCGTCTTGACGAGGACAGCTCTTGAGGCGCCTCACGAATACACAGCTGTCACGTCGAACACACACACACACACACACACACACACACAGCTTCGGGGGCCAAAGCTTCAGAAACACACAGCCAAAGCTGTCTCCGGAATACACGCACGCGCGCACACACACACACACACAGAAGCGCCGGCGACTAAGGTTACTTTTCCATGATCCTTGCACTTTCCAGGGTAGCTTTGAGGTGTGCGTTCGTACGCGCGCTCTTCAAGCCATGGAGCTTGTTTTTCACGGCAATACACAAGTCCAGATTGCCCTTTCCGCCCCTTGCCAGTGCTGCTGCTATGATACAACCACCCTACCCTCTCACCTTCTTCGGCCCGTGGCGTTTGTTGTCAAGACACTCAGCCAGTCCAAACCGGCCGCTGCCACTGCCATACCCCTTTGCTTCTCCCCCTCCATCCCACGCCACCCCCTCTCGCTCACCTTCTTCAGCCCATGGTGTTTGTTCTCAAGGCACTCCGCCAGTACACACAACCCTGGCCCCACCGCTGCTGTTGCTGCGTCCACATGGTCGTTCGGACCAAGGGTTTAGGGTCCTCTCGCATATCATGGGAATCTGCTATGCACTCATCCACCCAACCTCCCTTGCCTTCGTCTCGGCCATCACCACACACCCTTTTGTGTGCGTGAAGGCACCATCTGGACCGAGTCCAGCCAGCACACGCAATTGCCTCTCGAGCTTTGCGATAACGACTGCCTGACACTCATTTCGAACTTCGAGCTTGTGCATCCTTCCCTCCATCTCCGCTCTCCACTCCCTGTCCTCCACCGAATCACCAGTGACTTATCACCTCATCCGTAGCAGTGATTGCATTGCCAGCAGGTGATCAACCGTCCTTCAGCGTGAGCGCAAACGTCCTGCCGTAACTTGTGTCAGTGTGCCAATGGGCTCACACCAAACCGCACACCCTTCTGAGCATCTTCAGAACGTTCTTCGACCAGGGCAGGGCATGGATGCATTGGCAGGGCATGGATGCATTGGCAGGGCATAGATGCATTGGCAGGGCATGGATGCATTGGCAGGGCATGGATGCATTGGCGGGCATGGATGCATTGGCGGGCATGGATGCATTGGCTGGCATGGATGCATTGGCAGGGCATGGATGCATTGGCTGGCATGGATGCATTGGCTGGCATGGATGCATTGGCTGGCATGGATGCATTGGCTGGCATGGATGCATTGGCTGGCATGGATGCATTGGCTGGCATGGATGCATGGGCTGGCATGGATGACTTGGCAGGGCATGGATGCATTGGCTGGCATGGATGCATGGGCTGGCATGGATGACTTGGCAGGGCATGGATGCATTGGCTGGCATGGATGCATTGGCTGGCATGGATGCATTGGCTGGCATGGATGCATTGGCTGGCATGGATGCATTGGCAGGGCATGGATGCATTGGCAGGGCATGGATGCATTGGCAGGGCATGGATGCATTGGCTGGCATGGATGCATTGGCAGGGCATGGATGCATTGGCAGGGCATGGATGCATTGGCAGGGCATGGATGCATTGGCAGGGCATGGATGCATTGGCAGGCATGGATGCATTGGCGGGCATGGATGCATTGGCTGGCATGGATGCATTGGCAGGGCATGGATGCATTGGCTGGCATGGATGCATTGGCTGGCATGGATGCATTGGCTGGCATGGATGCATTGGCTGGCATGGATGCATTGGCTGGCATGGATGCATTGGCTGGCATGGATGCATGGGCTGGCATGGATGACTTGGCAGGGCATGGATGCATTGGCTGGCATGGATGCATTGGCTGGCATGGATGCATTGGCTGGCATGGATGCATTGGCTGGCATGGATGCATTGGCAGGGCATGGATGCATTGGCAGGGCATGGATGCATTGGCAGGGCATGGATGCATTGGCTGGCATGGATGCATTGGCAGGGCATGGATGCATTGGCAGGGCATGGATGCATTGGCAGGGCATGGATGCATTGGCAGGGCATGGATGCATTAGCTGGCATGGATGCATTGGCAGGGCATGGATGCATTGGCAGGGCATGGATGCATTGGCAGGGCATGGATGCATTGGCTGGCATGGATGCATTGGCTGGCATGGATGCATTGGCTGGCATGGATGCATTGGCAGGGCATGGATGCATTGGCTGGCATGGATGCATTGGCTGGCATGGATGCATTGGCAGGGCATGGATGCATTGGCTGGCATGGATGCATTGGCTGGCCTGGATGCATTGGCTGGCATGGATGCATTGGCTGGCATGGATGCATTGGCTGGCATGGATGCATTGGCTGGCATAGATGCATTGGCTGGCATGGATGCATTGGCTGGCATGGATGCATTGGCTGGCATGGATGCATTGGCTGGCATGGATGCATTGGCTGGCATGGATGCATTGGCTGGCATGGATGCATTGGCTGGCATGGATGCATTGGCTGGCATGGATACATTGGCTGGCATGGATGCATTGGCTGGCATGGATGCATTGGCAGGGCATGGATGCATTGGCAGGGCATGGATGCATTGGCAGGGCAGGGATGCATTGGCTGGCATGGATGCATTGGCAGGGCATGGATGCATTGGCAGGGCATGGATGCATTGGCAGGGCATGGATGCATTGGCAGGGCATGGATGCATCGGCTGGCATGGATGCATTGGCTGGCATGGATGCATTGGCTGGCATGGATGCATTGGCAGGGCATGGATGCATTGGTTGGCATGGATGCATTGGCTGGCATGGATGCATTGGCTGGCATGGATGCATTGGCTGGCATGGATGCATTGGCTGGCATGGATGCATTGGCTGGCATGGATGCATGGGCTGGCATGGATGCATTGGCAGGGCATGGATGCATTGGCTGGCATGGATGCATTGGCTGGCATGGATGCATTGGCTGGCATGGATGCATTGGCTGGCATGGATGCATTGGCAGGGCATGGATGCATTGGCAGGGCATGGATGCATTGGCTGGCATGGATGCCTTGGCTGGCATGGATGCATTGGCTGGCATGGATGCATTGGCAGGCATGGATGCATTGGCAGGGCATGGATGCATTGGCAGGGCATGGATGCATTGGCAGGGCATGGATGCATTGGCTGGCATGGATGCATTGGCAGGGCATGGATGCATTGGCAGGGCATGGATGCATTGGCAGGGCATGGATGCATTGGCAGGGCATGGATGCATTGGCTGGCATGGATGCATTGGCAGGGCATGGATGCATTGGCAGGGCATGGATGCATTGGCAGGGCATGGATGCATTGGCAGGGCATGGATGCATTGGCACGGCATGGATGCATTGGCAGGGCATGGATGCATTGGCTGGCATGGATGCATTGGCAGGGCATGGATGAATTGGCAGGGCATGGATGTATTGGCAGGGCATGGATGCATTGGCAGGGCATGGATGCATTGGCTGGCATGGATGCATTGGCAGGGCATGGATGCATTGGCAGGGCATGGATGCATTGGCTGGCATGGATGCATTGGCTGGCATGGATGCATTGGCTGGCATGGATGCATTGGCTGGCATGGATGCATTGGCTGGCATGGATGCATTGGCTGGCATGGATGCATTGGCTGGCATGGATGCATTGGCTGGCATGGATGCATTGGCTGGCATGGATGCATTGGCTGGCATGGATGCATTGGCTGGCATGGATGCATTGGCTGGCATGGATGCATTGGCTGGCATGGATGCATTGGCTGGCATGGATGCATTGGCTGGCATGGATGCATTGGCTGGCATGGATGCATTGGCTGGCATGGATGCATTGGCTGGCATGGATGCATTGGCTGGCATGGATGCATTGGCTGGCATGGATGCATTGGCTGGCATGGATGCATTGGCTGGCATGGATGCATTGGCTGGCATGGATGCATTGGCTGGCATGGATGCATTGGCTGGCATGGATGCATTGGCTGGCATGGATGCATTGGCTGGCACGGATGCATTGGCTGGCATGGATGCATTGGCTGGCATGGATGCATTGGCTGGCATGGATGCATTGGCTGGCATGGATGCATTGGCTGGCATGGATGCATTGGCTGGCATGGATGCATTGGCTGGCATGGATGCATTGGCTGGCATGGATGCATTGGCTGGCATGGATGCATTGGCTGGCATGGATGCATTGGCTGGCATGGATGCATTGGCTGGCATGGATGCATGGGCTGGCATGGATGACTTGGCAGGGCATGGATGCATTGGCTGGCATGGATGCATTGGCTGGCATGGATGCATTGGCTGGCATGGATGCATTGGCTGGCATGGATGCATTGGCAGGGCATGGATGCATTGGCAGGGCATGGATGCATTGGCAGGGCATGGATGCATTGGCTGGCATGGATGCATTGGCAGGGCATGGATGCATTGGCAGGGCATGGATGCATTGGCAGGGCATGGATGCATTGGCAGGGCATGGATGCATTAGCTGGCATGGATGCATTGGCAGGGCATGGATGCATTGGCAGGGCATGGATGCATTGGCAGGGCATGGATGCATTGGCTGGCATGGATGCATTGGCTGGCATGGATGCATTGGCTGGCATGGATGCATTGGCAGGGCATGGATGCATTGGCTGGCATGGATGCATTGGCTGGCATGGATGCATTGGCAGGGCATGGATGCATTGGCTGGCATGGATGCATTGGCTGGCCTGGATGCATTGGCTGGCATGGATGCATTGGCTGGCATGGATGCATTGGCTGGCATGGATGCATTGGCTGGCATAGATGCATTGGCTGGCATGGATGCATTGGCTGGCATGGATGCATTGGCTGGCATGGATGCATTGGCTGGCATGGATGCATTGGCTGGCATGGATGCATTGGCTGGCATGGATGCATTGGCTGGCATGGATGCATTGGCTGGCATGGATACATTGGCTGGCATGGATGCATTGGCTGGCATGGATGCATTGGCAGGGCATGGATGCATTGGCAGGGCATGGATGCATTGGCAGGGCAGGGATGCATTGGCTGGCATGGATGCATTGGCAGGGCATGGATGCATTGGCAGGGCATGGATGCATTGGCAGGGCATGGATGCATTGGCAGGGCATGGATGCATCGGCTGGCAGGGATGCATTGGCTGGCATGGATGCATTGGCTGGCATGGATGCATTGGCAGGGCATGGATGCATTGGTTGGCATGGATGCATTGGCTGGCATGGATGCATTGGCTGGCATGGATGCATTGGCTGGCATGGATGCATTGGCTGGCATGGATGCATTGGCTGGCATGGATGCATGGGCTGGCATGGATGCATTGGCAGGGCATGGATGCATTGGCTGGCATGGATGCATTGGCTGGCATGGATGCATTGGCTGGCATGGATGCATTGGCTGGCATGGATGCATTGGCAGGGCATGGATGCATTGGCAGGGCATGGATGCATTGGCTGGCATGGATGCCTTGGCTGGCATGGATGCATTGGCTGGCATGGATGCATTGGCAGGCATGGATGCATTGGCAGGGCATGGATGCATTGGCAGGGCATGGATGCATTGGCAGGGCATGGATGCATTGGCTGGCATGGATGCATTGGCAGGGCATGGATGCATTGGCAGGGCATGGATGCATTGGCAGGGCATGGATGCATTGGCAGGGCATGGATGCATTGGCTGGCATGGATGCATTGGCAGGGCATGGATGCATTGGCAGGGCATGGATGCATTGGCAGGGCATGGATGCATTGGCAGGGCATGGATGCATTGGCACGGCATGGATGCATTGGCAGGGCATGGATGCATTGGCTGGCATGGATGCATTGGCAGGGCATGGATGAATTGGCAGGGCATGGATGTATTGGCAGGGCATGGATGCATTGGCAGGGCATGGATGCATTGGCTGGCATGGATGCATTGGCAGGGCATGGATGCATTGGCAGGGCATGGATGCATTGGCTGGCATGGATGCATTGGCTGGCATGGATGCATTGGCTGGCATGGATGCATTGGCTGGCATGGATGCATTGGCTGGCATGGATGCATTGGCTGGCATGGATGCATTGGCTGGCATGGATGCATTGGCTGGCATGGATGCATTGGCTGGCATGGATGCATTGGCTGGCATGGATGCATTGGCTGGCATGGATGCATTGGCTGGCATGGATACATTGGCTGGCATGGATGCATTGGCTGGCATGGATGCATTGGCAGGGCATGGATGCATTGGCAGGGCATGGATGCATTGGCAGGGCATGGATGCATTGGCAGGGCATGGATGCATTGGCTGGCATGGATGCATTGGCAGGGCATGGATGCATTGGCAGGGCATGGATGCATTGGCAGGGCATGGATGCATTGGCAGGGCATGGATGCATCGGCTGGCAGGGATGCATTGGCTGGCATGGATGCATTGGCTGGCATGGATGCATTGGCAGGGCATGGATGCATTGGTTGGCATGGATGCATTGGCTGGCATGGATGCATTGGCTGGCATGGATGCATTGGCTGGCATGGATGCATTGGCTGGCATGGATGCATTGGCTGGCATGGATGCATGGGCTGGCATGGATGCATTGGCAGGGCATGGATGCATTGGCTGGCATGGATGCATTGGCTGGCATGGATGCATTGGCTGGCATGGATGCATTGGCTGGCATGGATGCATTGGCAGGGCATGGATGCATTGGCAGGGCATGGATGCATTGGCTGGCATGGATGCCTTGGCTGGCATGGATGCATTGGCTGGCATGGATGCATTGGCAGGCATGGATGCATTGGCAGGGCATGGATGCATTGGCAGGGCATGGATGCATTGGCAGGGCATGGATGCATTGGCTGGCATGGATGCATTGGCAGGGCATGGATGCATTGGCAGGGCATGGATGCATTGGCAGGGCATGGATGCATTGGCAGGGCATGGATGCATTGGCTGGCATGGATGCATTGGCAGGGCATGGATGCATTGGCAGGGCATGGATGCATTGGCAGGGCATGGATGCATTGGCAGGGCATGGATGCATTGGCACGGCATGGATGCATTGGCAGGGCATGGATGCATTGGCTGGCATGGATGCATTGGCAGGGCATGGATGAATTGGCAGGGCATGGATGTATTGGCAGGGCATGGATGCATTGGCAGGGCATGGATGCATTGGCTGGCATGGATGCATTGGCAGGGCATGGATGCATTGGCAGGGCATGGATGCATTGGCTGGCATGGATGCATTGGCTGGCATGGATGCATTGGCTGGCATGGATGCATTGGCTGGCATGGATGCATTGGCTGGCATGGATGCATTGGCTGGCATGGATGCATTGGCTGGCATGGATGCATTGGCTGGCATGGATGCATTGGCTGGCATGGATGCATTGGCTGGCATGGATGCATTGGCTGGCATGGATGCATTGGCTGGCATGGATGCATTGGCTGGCATGGATGCATTGGCTGGCATGGATGCATTGGCTGGCATGGATGCATTGGCTGGCATGGATGCATTGGCTGGCATGGATGCATTGGCTGGCATGGATGCATTGGCTGGCATGGATGCATTGGCTGGCATGGATGCATTGGCTGGCATGGATGCATTGGCTGGCATGGATGCATTGGCTGGCATGGATGCATTGGCTGGCATGGATGCATTGGCTGGCATGGATGCATTGGCTGGCATGGATGCATTGGCTGGCATGGATGCATTGGCTGGCATGGATGCATTGGCTGGCATGGATGCATTGGCTGGCATGGATGCATTGGCTGGCATGGATGCATTGGCTGGCATGGATGCATTGGCTGGCATGGATGCATTGGCTGGCATGGATGCATTGGCTGGCATGGATGCATTGGCTGGCATGGATGCATTGGCTGGCATGGATGCATTGGCTGGCATGGATGCATTGGCTGGCATGGATGCATTGGCTGGCATGGATGCATTGGCTGGCACGGATGCATTGGCTGGCACGGATGCATTGGCTGGCATGGATGCATTGGCTGGCATGGATGCATTGGCTGGCACACCAATATACCACAGTCGTAGCCGTTTGTCTGACGCGGCGGCATCTGCCACGCTTGCACGGAATGCATCCGCCACGCTTGCACGGAATGCATCCGCCACGCTTGCACGGAATGCATCCGCCACGCTTGCACGGAATGCATCCGCCACGCTTGCACGGAATGCATCCGCCACGCTTGCACGGAATGCATCCGCCACGCTTGCACGGAATGCATCCGCCACGCTTGCACGGAATGCATCCGCCACGCTTGCACGGAATGCATCCGCCACGCTTGCACGGAATGCATCCGCCACGCTTGCACGGAATGCATCCGCCACGCTTGCACGGAATGCATCCGCCACGCTTGCACGGAATGCATCCGCCACGCTTGCACGGAATGCATCCGCCACGCTTGCACGGAATGCATCCGCCACGCTTGCACGGAATGCATCCGCCACGCTTGCACGGAATGCATCCGCCACGCTTGCACGGAATGCATCCGCCACGCTTGCACGGAATGCATCCGCCACGCTTGCACGGAATGCATCCGCCACGCTTGCACGGAATGCATCCGCCACGCTTGCACGGAATGCATCCGCCACGCTTGCACGGAATGCATCCGCCACGCTTGCACGGAATGCATCCGCCACGCTTGCACGGAATGCATCCGCCACGCTTGCACGGAATGCATCCGCCACGCTTGCAACACATGAGACCGAATGCAGTGCACACAACCCTGGCTGGCCCCACCAAATGCAGATTCCGAGCAACATCTGCCACGCCTGCGCCAGTCCACACAAACCCCTTCTCCACCCACCTTCTTCAGCCCATGGAGTTTGTTCTAAACGCACTCCACCAGTCCCGACAGCCCCGGCCCCACCGCTGCTGTTGGTGCTGCTGGTGCTGCTGTGTCACACTGACCTCCTCATCTCACCTTCTTCCACCCCCTTCATCTCACCTTCTTCAGCCCATGGTGTTTGTTCTCAAGACACTCCGCCAGTCCTGACAACCCAGGCCCCACCACTGTAGCTGCTGCTGCTGCTGCTGCTGCTGTTATACCCCTTCGACCCCTTAAACTCTTCGCCCAACCAACACCCCCTCCATCTCACCTTCTTCAGCCCGTGGTGTTTGTTCTCAAGACACTACGCCAGTCCTGACAACCCAGGCCCCACCACTGTTGCTGCTGCTGCTGCTGCTGCTGCTGTTATACCCCTTCGACCCCTTCAACTCTTCGCCCAACCAACACCCCCTCCATCTCACCTTCTTCAGCCCGTGGTGTTTGTTCTCAAGACACTCTGCCAGTCCTAACAACCCGGGCCCTGCCGCTGCTGCTGCTACCACACCCGGTGAGGCTGGGGCAGGGATGGGTTGAGCTGTTGCAAACAGATGAAACAGAAAAGACGGGATGGGGAGTGGGAGTCAGGAGAATCTGGCGCCTTGAAAGCCCCGATTTGGCTGCTGCTGCCACCACCCCCGGAAGGGCTGGGCTGTTGTTGGGGCGCATGACGAGAGGAGAGGTGGAGTGGGGAATGGGTGGTGTGGGGAATGGGAGTTGAGATAGCTCGATAATTAGGTAATAGCAGAAGAAGTAGCTTCAAATCGACTTTTGAAATGTCTCAAAAGTGGAGAGAGTTCGACACTTGGGTGATAGCAGAAGAGGTAGGATCAACTCGAGGTGACTTTTGAGTCGACTCAAAAGTCACCACAACACTTCAGTGACAGCAGAAGAGGTGGGCCCAACTCGGCTGCTGATGGCATGGCAGGCAGGCAGCCTGATTCTTGAGACGTCTCAAGAGTCGATTCGGCTGCTGCTGGTGCTACTGTTTTGAGACGTTTCAAAACACTTCTTCAAACACAGGCAGCCCGATTCTTGAGACATCTCAAGAGTCGATTCGGCTGCTGCTGGTGATACTGTTTTGAGACGTTTCAAAACACTTCTTCAAACACAGGCAGCCCGATTCTTGAGACGTCTCAAGAGTCGATTCGGCTGCTGCTGGTGCTACTGTTTTGAGACATCTCAAAACACTTCTTCAAACACAGGCAGCCCGATTCTTGAGACATCTCAAGAGTCGATTCGGCTGCTGCTGGTGATACTGTTTTGAGACGTTTCAAAACACTTCTTCAAACACAGGCAGCCCGATTCTTGAGACGTCTCAAGAGTCGATTCGGCTGCTGCTGGTGCTACTGTTTTGAGACGTCTCAAAACACTTCTTCAAACACAGGCAGCCCGATTCTTGAGACGTCTCAAAAGTCAATTCGGCTGCTGCTGGTGCTACTGCCACAACAACTGGTGGGTTGAGCAATTGCTAGAGAGGTGGAGGAGAAAGGTTAAGGGATAGGCAGCAGCACACAGGGAGCAGAACAGCACATCGACGCTAGTGGTACAAAACCTACACCAATTGGAAGGGATGCCAAAAGGTTGGATTAGCACGAAGGGGATGTATGTACCTTGGAAGGGCGTGCCAGCTGTCAGCAGGCGAGTGGTTCTGCTGGAATCTCCTGCTGTCAGGTTGCCTATTGCCCGCACCACCTGCGTCGAGCGTGGTTTGGGTGAGAGCGGTTGGAGAGACAGCAGCACGTGCCAGGGGTCAGAATAAAAGTTACGTGGTATTGATACGATATGATGAGACTTTTGAGTCGACTCAGAAGTGACGTGGGATTGATAATTGATACGATATGATATGATATGATGGACGCATGGGTTGGGATGGGAAGATGGCAAGTGAGAGTGGGGCGACAGAAGCATGTGCACCAGTTGATGCTAGCGAGTGGCTTGGTACTGACATGACACACGCACGGCACGGGAACATGGCAAGGGAATGCCACGACATAACATGACATGGCATGGCATGGCATGGCATGATATGGCATGGCATGCTATACACAAGGACATGCAGATACAATAGCCCATGGATCAGTTATTGAGACGTCTCAAAAGTCAACTACACGGCCCATAGATTAGGCCTGATAGAAGAGTGACTGGGACGGCATAGGCCTCTACGAGCCCGGTGGCGACTAGCAGACTACTTTTGACGCGCCTCAAAACTGGACACGGTGACTCAAGCATGGGCCGAGGCACAAGCAGCAGGAGTGAGTAGGGCAACGTCAGTGGTGGAAGAGAGCAGAGGCATGAGGGCCTCTATGAGCCCAGCAGCGACTAGCAGACAAGGACACGGTGACTCAAGCATGGGCCGAGGCATATACAGGAGTGAGTAGGGCAACGTCAGTGGTCGCAGAGAGCAGAGGCACGAGGGCCTTTATGAGCCCGGCAGCAGCGAGCAGATGAGGAAAGCGTGCCTTATGGCCGGGAAGGGAGCGAGGGAACGTACAGGAGTGAGGAGAGCGACGTCAGTGGTGGAGGAGAGCAGGGGCACGAGGGCCTCTATGAGCCCAGCAGCCACGAGCCTCTCTGTGCTTGCGTCTGACAGCGCTGTCACGTACGCCGCCACCCATGCCGCCTCCACTGCTGCCTCTGCATTTCTGGTTGGGTGGGGAAAGTTACAAGGTGGTCATGAGGCCAGTGCTACTGGGAACAGGGAGAGCAGCGGCACGAGGGCCTCTATGAGCCCAGCTATGACAAGCCTCTCTGTGCTCGCGTCTGACAGTGCTGTCACGTACGCCGCCACCCATGCCGCCTCCACTGCTGCCTCTGCGTTGCTGTGAGGGTGGGGAGGGCGAGGCACAGGGCGGTGGAAAATGCAACAATGCTGATAGATTGGGGAGAGCCATAAGGAGAGCGAGGTGACTCAAAAGTCACCAGGGGAATGAAAAAGGAAACAATGCTGTTAGATTGGGGAAAGCCATAAGGAGAGCGAGGTGACTCAAAAATCACCAGGGGGATGAAAAAGGAAACAATGCTGTTAGATTGGGGAAAGCCATAAGGAGAGCGAGGTGACTCAAAAGTCACCAGGGGGATGAAAAAGGAAACAATGCTGTTAGATTGGGGAAAGCCATAAGGAGAGCGGCGCTGTCACACATGCCGCCCGCCACCCACGCTCCCTCCACCGCCACCGCCTCTTGCAGAGAAGGCTCGGATGTAAGGAGAATGAAGGATGAATGCGGAGAAGAAGAGGTGAACTTTTGAGATGCATCAAAAGGCTCAGATGTAAGGAAAATGAAGGATGCATGCGGAATAGAAGAGGTGAATATCGATATGAGGGAGGATGGAGGCAGGGGAAAAGAACACTCCAGGCGTGTTTTGAGATAGGAGAGAAATGGAACGATGGAGCAACGGGGAACGGGGCACAGGGGCACAAGGGGACAGGGGTGCACCCACCACACTCCCACACCCTCCACACTCCCACACCCTCCACACTCCCACACCCTCCACACTCCCACACCCTCCACACTCCCACACCCTCCACACTCCCACACCCTCCACACTCCCATACCCTCCACACTCCCACACCCTCCACACTCCCACACCCTCCACACTCCCACACCCTCCACACTCCCACACCCTCCACACTCCCACACCCTCCACACTCCCACACCCTCCACACTCCCACACCCTCCACACTCCCACACCCTCCACACTCACACCCTCCACACTCTCACACCCTCCATGCTCCCACACCCTCCACACTCTCACACCCTCCACACTCTCACACCCTCACCACTCCCACACCCTCCACATTCGCAGCAACCCCTCCCCTACCCTGAGGACAGAAGGGTCACAATCGCTGCATCAACACCGTCCGATTTCACCAGATCAACGGCTGCACGGGGGCTGGGGCCCTGCAAAGGCACACAGGGGAACGACAGGGAGTAGGAAAAGATGCTGAGGCTCGTTTAGTTTTGAGGCGCCTAAAACAGGTACACACAAGGGGGAAAGGAGGGTGTGCACCGGCCTGGAGGAGGTACACACGGGGGAGGTACACACGGGGGAGGTACATATGGGGGAGGTACACACGGGGGAGGATCCAGAGAGCCACCCCAGCCCATCCCACCGCCTCGCTCACCTTAATAAGCAAAGAGAGAGCCCATCCCATGCCACCGTCTTGGCCAGTGATGCCATAGCAGAGGGCGCCTGTGCTGTCAACCAGCGCCCCCCACTGCTGCCCCCAGCTGTGAGAGAGGTACAGATACGCCCGCCCACCTTGATGAGGGAGGAGAGCGCCCATGCCACTGTCTTGCTCAGCGATGCCATGGCAGAGGGCGCCTGTGCTGTCAACGAGCGGGCCTCTGTGTTGCTCCCAGAGGCAGCAGCGAGCAGGAGGCAGGTGAGGGCGGGCAGGAGGCAGGTGAGGGCGGGCAGGAGGCAGGTGAGGGCGGGCAGGAGGCAGGTGAGGGCGGGCAGGAGGCAGGTGAGGGCGGGCAGGAGGCAGGTGAGGGCGGGCAGGAGGCAGGTGAGGGCGGGCAGGAGGCAGGTGAGGGCGGGCAGGGCGCCTTGATCCAGCAGCTGTGAGAGAGAGAGAGAGAGAGAGGTCATAACAAGGCCATTCCGTAGAGTTCTCAGTACTCACCTTAATAAGAGAGGAAAGCGCCCATGCCACTGTCTTGGCCAGTGATGCCATGGCAGAGGGCGCCTGTGCCGTTAACCAGCGGGCCCCCGTGTTGCCCCCAGAGGCAGCAGCGAGCAGGAGGCGAGTGAGGGCGGGCAGGGCGCCCTGATCCAGCAGCTGTGCTCGCAGGTCGTCTGCCTCCGCTGCTATGTTGCCCACCGCCCACACACACTGCTCCGCTATTGCGGGTGACGGGGAGTCTGTTGGTGTGGGGAGCGAATTTGATGAAGGGGGTGAGGGAGAGAGAGAGAGTTGAGGAGGAGGAGGAGCACAAATGGAGAGAATGCAAAAGGAAGAGAGAGTTGAGGAGGAGGAGGAGCACGAACGGAGAGAATACAAAAGGAAGAGAGAGTTGAGGAGGAGGAGGGAGGAGCACGAACGGAGAGAATGCAAAAGGAAGAGAGAGTTGAGGAGGAGGAGGAGCACGAACGGAGAGAATGCAAAAGGAAGAGAGAGTTGAGGAGGAGGAGGGAGGAGCACGAACGGAGAGAATGCAAAAGGAAGAGAGAGTTGAGGAGGAGGAGGGAGGAGCACGAACGGAGAGAATGCAAAAGGAAGAGAGAGTTGAGGAGGAGGAGCACGAATGGAGAGAATGCATAAGGAAGAGAGAGTTGAGGAGGAGGAGGGAGGAGCACGAACGGAGAGAATGCAAAAGGAAGAGAGAGTTGAGGAGGAGGAGGAGCACGAACGGAGAGAATGCAAAAGGAAGAGAGAGTTGAGGAGGAGGAGGGAGGAGCACGAACGGAGAGAATGCAAAAGGAAGAGAGAGTTGAGGAGGAGGAGGGAGGAGCACGAACGGAGAGAATGCAAAAGGAAGAGAGAGTTGAGGAGGAGGAGCACGAATGGAGAGAATGCAAAAGGAAGAGAGAGTTGAGGAGGAGGAGGGAGGAGCACGAACGGAGAGAATGCAAAAGGAAGAGAGAGTTGAGGAGGAGGAGGAGCACGAACGGAGAGAATGCAAAAGGAAGAGAGAGTTGAGGAGGAGGAGGAGCAGGAACGGAGAGAATGCAAAAGGAAGAGAGAGTTGAGGAGGAGGAGGAGGAGCACGAACGGAGAGAATGCAAAAGGAAGAGATAGTTGAGGAGGAGGGAGGAGCACGAACGGAGAGAATGCAAAAGGAAGAGAGAGTTGAGGAGGAGGAGGAGCACGAACGGAGAGAATGCAAAAGGAAGAGAGAGTTGAGGAGGAGGAGGAGCACGCATAGAGAGAATGCAAAAGGAAGAGAGAGTTGAGGAGGAGGAGGGAGGAGCACGAACGGAGAGAATGCAAAAGGAAGAGAGAGTTGAGGAGGAGGAGGAGCACGAACGGAGAGAATGCAAAAGGAAGAGAGAGTTGAGGAGGAGGAGGAGCACGAACGGAGAGAATGCAAAAGGAAGAGAGAGTTGAGGAGGAGGAGGAGCACGAACGGAGAGAATGCAAAAGGAAGAGAGAGTTGAGGAGGAGGAGGAGCACGAACGGAGAGAATGCAAAAGGAATAGAGAGTTGAGGAGGAGGAGGAGCACGCATAGAGAGAATGCAAAAGGAAGAGAGAGTTGAAGAGGAGGGAGGAGCACGAACGGAGAGAATGCAAAAGGAAGAGAGAGTTGAGGAGGAGGAGGAGCACGCATAGAGAGAATGCAAAAGGAAGAGAGAGTTGAGGAGGAGGAGGAGCACGAACGGAGAGAATGCAAAAGGAAGAGAGAGTTGAGGAGGAGGAGGAGCACGAACGGAGAGAATGCAAAAGGAATAGAGAGTTGAGGAGGAGGAGGAGCACGAACGGAGAGAATGCAAAAGGAAGAGAGAGTTGAGGAGGAGGAGGGAGGAGCACGAACGGAGAGAATGCAAAAGGAAGAGAGAGTTGAGGAGGAGGAGGAGCACGAACGGAGAGAATGCAAAAGGAAGAGAGAGTTGAGGAGGAGGAGGAGCACGAACGGAGAGAATGCAAAAGGAAGAGAGAGTTGAGGAGGAGGAGGAGCACGAACGGGAAAATGCAAAAGGAAGAGAGAGTTGAGGAGGAGGAGGAGCACGAACGGAGAGAATGCAAAAGGAATAGAGAGTTGAGGAGGAGGAGGAGCACGAACGGAGAGAATGCAAAAGGAAGAGAGAGTTGAGGAGGAGGAGGAGCACGCATAGAGAGAATGCAAAAGGAAGAGAGAGTTGAGGAGGAGGAGCACGAATGGAGAGAATGCAAAAGGAAGAGAGAGTTGAGGAGGAGGAGGGAGGAGCACGAACGGAGAGAATGCAAAAGGAAGAGAGAGTTGAGGAGGAGGAGGAGCACGAACGGAGAGAATGCAAAAGGAAGAGAGAGTTGAGGAGGAGGAGGGAGGAGCACGAACGGAGAGAATGCAAAAGGAAGAGAGAGTTGAGGAGGAGGAGGGAGGAGCACGAACGGAGAGAATGCAAAAGGAAGAGAGAGTTGAGGAGGAGGAGGAGCAGGAACGGAGAGAATGCAAAAGGAAGAGAGAGTTGAGGAGGAGGAGGAGGAGCACGAACGGAGAGAATGCAAAAGGAAGAGATAGTTGAGGAGGAGGGAGGAGCACGAACGGAGAGAATGCAAAAGGAAGAGAGAGTTGAGGAGGAGGAGGAGCACGAACGGAGAGAATGCAAAAGGAAGAGAGAGTTGAGGAGGAGGAGGGAGGAGCACGAACGGAGAGAATGCAAAAGGAAGAGAGAGTTGAGGAGGAGGAGGAGCACGAACGGAGAGAATGCAAAAGGAAGAGAGAGTTGAGGAGGAGGAGGAGCACGAACGGAGAGAATGCAAAAGGAAGAGAGAGTTGAGGAGGAGGAGGAGCACGAACGGAGAGAATGCAAAAGGAAGAGAGAGTTGAGGAGGAGGAGGAGCACGAACGGAGAGAATGCAAAAGGAAGAGAGAGTTGAGGAGGAGGAGGAGCACGAACGGAGAGAATGCAAAAGGAAGAGAGAGTTGAGGAGGAGGAGGAGCACGAACGGAGAGAATGCAAAAGGAATAGAGAGTTGTGGAGGAGGAGGAGCACGCATAGAGAGAATGCAAAAGGAAGAGAGAGTTGAAGAGGAGGGAGGAGCACGAACGGAGAGAATGCAAAAGGAAGAGAGAGTTGAGGAGGAGGAGGAGCACGCATAGAGAGAATGCAAAAGGAAGAGAGAGTTGAGGAGGAGGAGGAGCACGAACGGAGAGAATGCAAAAGGAAGAGAGAGTTGAGGAGGAGGAGGAGCACGAACGGAGAGAATGCAAAAGGAATAGAGAGTTGAGGAGGAGGAGGAGCACGCATAGAGAGAATGCAAAAGGAAGAGAGAGTTGAAGAGGAGGGAGGAGCACGAACGGAGAGAATGCAAAAGGAAGAGAGAGTTGAGGAGGAGGAGGAGCACGCATAGAGAGAATGCAAAAGGAAGAGAGAGTTGAGGAAGAGGAGCACGTATAGAGAGAATGCAAAAGGCCCATTCGAGACAAAGGTCGTCTCTGTTGCTATGTTGCCCACCGCCCACGCACACTGCTCCGCTATGGCTGGCGATGGGGAGGCAGGATATACTTTGTAAGAAACAGGGGGCAGGTTGAAAAAAACTGTTAGCTAATGGGCGAGTGGGGGTGTGAGTGAGGGAGTGAATGAGGGAACGAGACAGTGAGTGAGTGAGGGAGCGAGTGAGGGAGTGAGTGAGGGAGCGAGAGAGCGAGCGATTGAGGGAGTGAGTGAGTGAGTGAGTGAGTGAATGGTATGGTACCATACCAGTGCAGTGGGCGATGAGCAGAGCAGCACAGGGCAGCACAGCACGAGTCTCCTCTGCCTCGCCCGATGCTATGTTGGTCACACACCACGCTGCTTCCAGGAGCTGGTGGGACAGGGGGGAAGGTGGTGCGGCGGGGCGGGGAGAGAGGTGGTGGGGGGGAGGGGAAAGTCAAGAGTCTCCTCCGCCTCGCCCGATGCTATGTTGGTCGCACACCACGCTGCCTCCAGGAGCTGGCGGGAAAGAGAGGAAAGAGAGAGGACAGAGAGGAGAGTGGAGAGTATACGAATGCGGGTCAACTCAAGTCAATGCTGGTCACACACCACACCGCCTCCAGGAGCTGGTGGGAAGCGGGGGAAGGGAAGGGGAGAGAGAGGAGGTGGGGGGAGATGGATGGGGAGAATCAAAAGTCCACTCAAGTCCACTCAGGTCACCTCCCCCAATGCTATGTCCACTCAAGTCACCTCCCCCAATGCTATGTTGGTCGCACACCACGCTGCTTCCTTTAGCTGGTGTGAAAGAGAGAGGAAGGAAAGGCGGAAAGCACATGCATCACCTCAAGTCAGCGCATGCATCACCTCAAGCCAGCGCATGCATCACCTCAAGCCAGCGCATGCATCACCTCAAGTCAGCGCATGCATCACCTCAAGTCAGCGCATGCATCACCTCAAGTCAGCGCATGCATCACCTCAAGTCAGCGCATGCATCACCTCAAGTCAGCGCATGCATCACCTCAAGTCAGCGCATGCATCACCTCAAGTCAGCGCATGCATCACCTCAAGTCAGCGCATGCATCACCTCAAGTCAGCGCATGCATCACCTCAAGTCAGCGCATGCATCACCTCAAGTCAGCGCATGCATCACCTCAAGTCAGCGCATGCATCACCTCAAGTCAGCGCATGCATCACCTCAAGTCAGCGCATGCATCACCTCAAGTCAGCGCATGCATCACCTCAAGTCAGCGCATGCATCAACTCAAGTCAGCGCATGCATCAACTCAAGTCAGCGCATGCATCAACTCAAGTCAGCGCATGCATCAACTCAAGTCAGCGCATGCACATCACTCTAGTGGAGTCAACTCATCTCACACACATTCGACCCCATCCGTTCGCCAGACGATCACCCTCCCTCCCGTTCATTCCCCCCTCTTGCCCCCCACCCCACACCACCCCTCCTTCCCCCCTTCTTCCACACCTGCCCCTCCGAAGCTCCAAGCGCCGAGCTCTGCGCCAGCAGAGGCACTGCCCTGCAGAGCACGGCACTCTAACCCATCCCATCCCCAAACAGCTCCCCTTCCTAAGTTTCCCTCACTCCCATTTACCCCCACCCTTCACCTCCACACACCGCTCTCCATCCCCTCACCTGCTCCCCCGTGGCGCCAAATACCAAGGCACCCCGCCAGCAATACCAAGGCACCCCGCCAGCAATACCAAGGCACCCCGCCAGCAGAAATACCAAGGCACCCCGCCAGCAATACCAAGGCACCCCGCCAGCAATACCAAGGCACCCCGCCAGCAATACCAAGGCACCCCGCCAGCAGAAATACCAAGGCACCCCGCCAGCAGAGGGACGGCCCCGCAGCGCATGGCATTCTTCCACACCTGCGCATGATAAGTCGAGCTTTGAGTCGACTCAAAACTCAAGGCACCCCGCCACCATATGGACGGCCCCACCAGCAGCGCATGGCATTCTACCACACCTGTCCCTTCTTTTGAGACGTCTCAAAAGTCCATTCCCCACCCCAACCCATTTCCCCCCCCTGTGCTTTCCCCCCCCTGTGCTTTCCCCCTCACCTGCTTCCCTCCCCCCGTTCCACCCCCACACCTGCTTCCCTCCCCCCGTTCCACCCCCACACCTGCTTCCCTCCCCCTGTTCCACCCCCACACCTGCTTCCCTCCCCCCGTTCCACCCCCACACCTGCTTCCCTCCCCCCGTTCCACCCCCACACCTGCTTCCCTCCCCCCGTTCCACCCCCACACCTGCTTCCCTCCCCCCGTTCCACCCCCACACCTGCTTCCCTCCCCCCGTTCCACCCCCACACCTGCTTCCCTCCCCCCGTTCCACCCCCACACCTGCTTCCCTCCCCCCGTTCCACCCCCACACCTGCTTCCCTCCCCCCGTTCCACCCCACAACCTGCTTCCCTCCCCCCGTTCCACCCCCACACCTGCTTCCCTCCCCCCGTTCTACCCCCACACCTGCTTCCCTCCCCCCGTTCCACCCCCACACCTGCTTCCCTCCCCCCGTTCCACCCCCACACCTGCTTCCCTCCCCCCGTTCCACCCCCACACCTGCTTCCCTCCCCCCGTTCCACCCCCACACCTGCTTCCCTCCCCCCGTTCCACCCCCACACCTGCTTCCCTCCCCCCGTTCCACCCCCACACCTGCTTCCCTCCCCCCGTTCCACCCTCACACCTGCTTCCCTCCCCCCGTTCCACCCCCACACCTGCTTCCCTCCCCCGGTTCCACCCCCACACCTGCTTCCCTCCCCCCGTTCCACCCCCACACCTGCTTCCCTCCTCCCGTTCCACCCCCACACCTGCTTCCCTCCTCCCGTTCCACCCCCTCACCTGCGCCTCCGGGGCTCCAAACGCCAGGCACTCCGCCAGCAGAGGCACGGCCCCACAGCGCACGGCAGCGCCAAGTGGCGGGCTGTGATTGGCCGAGAGCAGCTGGCGCAGCGCCATGAGCGCCTCCACCCGTTCCTGCTGCACGGCTGCCCCGCCTGCTCTGGCGGTGCTGCGAGTGGGCATGGGGATGTGGGTGGGGGTGTGAGAGGATTGGAGAAGGATACAGATGGGGATGGGGGTGAGGCGTGGGTGGGGGCTGGCACAGCGCCTTGAGCGCCACCACCCTCTCCTGCTGCACTGCTGCTCCCCCCGCTCTGACGGTGCTGCGAGTGGTATGGCGGGGATGGGTATGGGAGGAAAGGAGAGGGATGGAGAGGGATGGAGATGGGGCTCAGACGATGGTGGGGGCTGGCAGAATCACTTGAGCGCCGCCACCCTCTCCTGCTGCACGGCTGCCCCGCCTGCTCTGGCCGGCCCTCTTTCTCATTTCCACCCCCTGCTCAGCTGGGAGTGCGTGGGTGCGAGCCCCGCCTCTTCCACCTGCCCCGCCTCTTTCAGAGGTGACTCTAACTCGAACGCCCTTGAGCCTTTTAACCGCCTCCTTCACTCGAGCGCCGCCACCCTCTCCTGCTGCACTGCTGCTCCCCCCGCTCTGACGGTGCTGCGAGTGGTATGGCGGGGATGGGTATGGGAGGAAAGGATAGGGATGGAGATGGGGCTCAGACGATGGTGGGGGCTGGCAGAATCACTTGAGCGCCGCCACCCTCTCCTGCTGCACGGCTGCCCCGCCTGCTCTGGCCGGCCCTCTTTCTCATTTCCACCCCCTGCTCAGCTGGGAGTGCGTGGGTGCGAGCCCCGCCTCTTCCACCTGCCCCGCCTCTTTCAGAGGTGACTCTAACTCGAACGCCCTTGAGCCTTTTAACCGCCTCCTTCACTCGCCCCTCCTCCTCCACCTGCCCCTCCTCTTTATGAAGCACATGAAGTTCATGGAAACGAACACCACATGAACAATGCACTCACCCTTCAAACGTGCCCTTGAGCGTCTGAACCGCCTCCTCCACGTCCACTCGCCCCTCCTCTTGTTGAGGTGACTCGCCACTCACCCTTCAAACGTCACCCACCCTTGAGTCGCCAAACCGCCTCCTCCACTCGCCCCTCCTCTATATGAGGTGCCCCAAACCATCACTCAATCTTCAACCACCACTCACCCTTCAAACGTCCCCTTAAGCCTTTTTACCGCCTCCTCCACTCGCCCCTCCTCCTCCACCCGCCTCCTCTCCTCCTCCTCCTCGCCCTCTCCCTCCCTCCCCTCCACCTCCATCCCCCCCTCCAATTCCCCTAACCCTTCCCCCAAGGCAATCCCCTCCCCCCGCCGCATCCGCTTAGCGCGCACCAGCGCCCCCCGCCTGTCCTTGGATATAGCTGCTACCACTCCCCGCCTTTTTGCTGCTGCTGCCGCCGTGGCTGGGACCGCGGGGGGGGGGACAGAAGTGGGGATGGGAAAGGGCAAATCAGGAGCATCCGTTTAACACGCACCAGCGCCCCCCGTCTGTCCTTTGATATAGCTGCTACCACACCACTCCCCTCCTCCATGCTGCTGCTGCTGCTGCTGCCGTGGCTGGCACCGACAAGAAGGGGGGGGAGGAGGGGGGGAGTAGAAGGTGGGTTGGGGGGTAACGGAAGTGGGGTTGGTTTGGGAGGGAAGAATCAATGGCATCCTTTTAGCGCACGCGCACCAGCCCCACCCCCTCCTGTCCTTGGATATAGCTGCCACCACGCCCCCCCGTCTTGCTGTTGATGCCGCCGTGGCTGAGGTGGGGTGGAAAGAGAGGGCAGACGGGTTGTTGACAGGGAGGAACCGGCGGCAGCAACAGCAAGACGGCTGAGGAGGGAGTGGGGTTAAAAAGAGGTAGTCCATCCATGCGCACAATCCCTTGCTTTGAATAAAAAGAATCAAAAGAATAAAAGAATCAAAATAACAAAACAATCAAAAGAATAAAAGAATGTAAAGAATCACAATTCGTTGGGAGACGAGCAGTTGCAAGGGAAAAAAGAGAGGAAAAAGAAGCGAAGGCTTCTGAAAAGAACCCGCGGCAAGGGAAGGTGGGGGGGAAAGGGGGGGAAGAGGGGAGACAGCGGGGAGCAGAGAGAGAGGAGGGAGGCGACGTGGGAGGGACTGCTGTGGCTGGTGGGACCCATGGGGGAGCTGGGGGAAACGGTGAGAGCGGGGAAATAAATGAGGCCTGGTGGGAGCCATGGGGGACCTAGAGGAAACTGGGAACGCGACTTATAAGGCGCCTCAGAAGTTGCATCTGCTGTGGCGGTGCGAGCTATGGGGGACGCGGAAGGTGAACATGGAGAGAGGGGAATTGACTGAGGTCGACGGAGAGCGAGCCGCCGTGAAAGTGTCGAGGTGGAAGCGTCGTTGCGTCGTACCGGACTGCTTGAAAAGATCGCGCCGACTCGCATGACCGTGGAGATGCGTCTGCGACGGCGACGGCGGCCCGTGCGACTGCATGGCGAAAGAGTGATGCGATGATTTCTACTCAGGTTGAAAAAGTGTCGCCTAACGTACAGGACGACTGAGGTCAGCGCACTGGGAATCTAAACACTTATAGACACAAATGGCGTCCAGTAGCATTTGTCCTCCCGTATCGCCTCTTCTACTCCGCCTCGTCTCATGTGTCGCTGTTTTGGAGTTGCCAAGATTCTCTGGTGTTGCTGTTTTGGAGGCTTGGCGGCCAGCTGCACTTGGATGCCCCCATGAAGTGACTCTTTATTCCGTATAGGAACGAACATGCGTAACGTGTACAACATGATCCGGAAATCACATATTCTTGAAGAAAATTTTGTAGTTCAGGCGAATCTCAATCATTGTTACGTGAATTTTTTTCTCTGAATCTGAATGAAGTTAACATTTACCAGTAAATTTAAAAATTATGAATGGTTTAATTACATATTCTGATGATTCGTATTCCATAAAGGCACATGCTAACATAAGGATCTGAAAATCCGTGTAAAAAGGGTTCGCCAACTATCTGATCTACAGCATTTGGCTGGCTGACGTGTCACGGCTCGTTGCATAACTCCAGCAGAACAGCGCCAATGATTCGCAAACCCGAGTAGACAGTTTGGATATTGCCACCACGAGACTGATTTTTAACAAAGCATCGAGCCGCAATGAGCGGTGAAAGCCAAAGTATACAGCGAGATCCAGTCGGAACAGACCCTCGCACATCCGCCAAGCTATTCAAGTTTCAAATGCTCGAAACCGCAATTTTCTGTATTTTCTGCTTTTGTCCTCGGCGTTGTTTGCATCAATTTCGCGCCATTTGCCAGCACCACTCTTCCCCCCCTCCTGCCAAGGGCAATCGTCACCCGCACGAGTATTTGCCATCCAGCAATGCAAATCCTCTCAACTCTCGCCTCAAATTTCCAGGCATGCTGGGGCTTCCTTGGCATTCATCAGCTTCACCCGTTGAGCTTGAAAAAAATCGCTGGCCTCCAGGTGAGGAAAGAAGTAGGGGCATTGGATGCACAGGACGATGACTTCCTGGCATTTCTAGACTGCTTCTTCCAGAGTAAAAAAGTTGCGTCGTCAGATTTTAGTAGGCGCGTTCAACAAGTTTTGATTCGCCCCGCTAACGAAACGACTCCATTTTCAAGAATGAACGGCGCCGCGGATGGAGCGTGCTCGCTGCAGTTCGACGCGGCGACGGCGACGGAGTTCCTGCGGCTGCAGCGCGTGCTGATGCGGCAGGACGCGAGCCGCGCCACGAACGCCGACACGCTGTCATGGCTGTTCGACGCCGCCAAGGCGCAAATCGACGAGCTGGCGTGGCGGGACGGCAAGCGCATCCGAATGACGACGGATATTCGTAAGCACGTTCACCGTCGCATCAGCGCATTCACCGTGACTTTTAAGTCGAATCGAAAGGACGGCAAGTGCATCCGAATGATGACCAATAAGCGTGTTCGACCGAGGTGACTCAGTAATTTAAAAAAGCACTTTAACTAATCTAGGCCTTTTACCGTCTCACAAAGCCAAGAACCTCTCTTGAATCAGCGAAACTTGTCGCGCTCTCCCGTTCGACGTTTTTGTTTATCCCTCATTTCTAAAGCTTCATTTTCAACCGTTGGAGGGTAACCGGTTCTGAAAACTTCGTCCCCGTTCGCGAATCTTCGTATACTTTAGAAGGAATGAGAACCACTCTTCAGCCCTGGCAGGGTCCGCCCTCCGCCATTCACGCGACATCTATACGCGCATTCAGTGTTGAAGAGTTCCTTTTACCCCACAACTACCTGCTTTACCATCTTGTCCCCACGTTCGTTTCGTTTCGATCCCCACTTATTGCCCCATCCCCACGTCGTATCGCCCCATCCCCGCAGCTGACATTGCGGACATTCTCCCCGCGCCCATCTGGCACATCATCTTCCGCCTCCTGCTGCTGCCGCCCGCCCGCCCCGACGAACCCGCCGACGCCGCCGCCGCCGCCGCCGCCGCCGCCGCAGCAGCAGCAGCAACAAGAGCAGCGGCGGCAGCAGGCACCGGCGCCGCGAGGAGGAGCCACGCCAACCACCGCCGCGCCACGTCGAAGCAGCAGCGTCGGCAGCAGCGGCAGCAGCAGCAGCAGGCGAGGCTACAGCAGCAGCTGCAGCTGCAGCAGCAGTTGGCGCAGCAGCAGGCGCGGCAGCAGCAGCAGGCGCGGCAGCAGCAGCAGGCGCGGCAGCAGCAGCAGGCGCGACAGCAGCAGCAGGCGCGACAGGAGCAGCAGGCGCGGCAGCAGCAGCAGGCGGAGAGGCGGGGCGCGGTGGTACTGAGGGACGCGCGGAGCACGTGGGGCGAGCAGCAGCGCAGCAACGCGGGGAGCTACGGCCCCTCGTGGGCGCTGCTGTGCTGCGCGCTCGCCAGCAGGAGGCTGCTGCTCCACGTCCTCTCCTTCTCCGTGAGTACCATCCTCTCGCTCTCCACACCCTCCCTCCCGCGGCTGCTCCACGTCCTCTCCTGCTCGACCGATGCTCTGTCTGCTTTTCTTCTGCTGCTATCTGTTGCTATCTGCTGCTCTCCTGTTGCCTTACCAGCGTTTTCCTCCACTGTTCCGAAGTTCGCCGCCGTAGCTCCTTGAATACCTCAATTGCTGAACCGGCTGTGCGTTGAATTGCTGCTCACGCGTTGCGTTGCTGGAGTGACACGTCTCTCTTGTCTCCCTTGCTCTAGATTCCTCTCTAATATTGAGCTGCCCCAAAATCTTGACTGACCTGAGTGTTGAAGCCGTTGTGCATTGATTTTCTGCCCAGACGTTATGTCTCTCTTTGTTCTCTCACCTCACAGGCCTTCTCTCCCTTTCCGAGCCCCTCCCCATCCCCTCATCATCCCTCCTCCCCATTCCCCCTCCTGCTCGACCCTTACCATTTCCCCAACCTCACCCGCCCCCTCCTCGCAGGCAAGCCAGCCTACCGCCCTGGCAATCAGCCAGCAGCACCCCGAGTGGAGCAAGAGCGTGCTCTACCTCCTCCTCTCGTGGCCGCACCACCACCTCTCCCTCTCCGTGCCCTCCCTTCGATTGCCTTTCCCGTTTCTCTGCAGGCCAATGAGCCTACCGCGCTGGCATTCAGCCACCGCCACCCCGAGAGGAGCAAGAGCGTGCTCTACCTCCTCCGGTGGCCGCACCACCACCTCTCCCTCTCGGTTCCGTCCCCTCTATCCCCTCTCGTGTGTTTTTCTGCAGGCAAGCCAACCTACCGCCCTGGCATTCAGTCACCGCCACCCCGAGTGGAGCAGGAGCGTGCTCTACCTCCTCTGGTGGCCGCACCACCACCTCTCCCTCTCCTTCACCGCCCCTCCCCAACTCCGCTCCCTCGGCCCCCACATCGCATGCTCCCGCCGCAAGCTCTCCTCCCTCTCCCTCAAACTGCGCGGCACGGTGGACGGGGAAGAGGAGCAGGAGCACGCATACTGGTCCCTTAGTTTTCTCAAAGACTGCTCGCAGCTGCAGCAGCTGAAGCTGGGCCGCGGCAGGTGGGATCTCACCAGCCTATGCGCTGACGCCACGTGGGCGAAATCCATCCAATCTCTCACCATCAAGCATGTGGATTGGATTGGAGCAGCCTGAACGTCGAAGTCCTCAAGCGAATCACCCCGCAGCTCTTAGAGTTCACGCTCTATGAGCCGCAGCCCCATTTCACGCTCTATGAGCCGCAGCCCCATTTCACGCTCTATGAGCCGCAGTCCCATTTCACGCTCTATGAGCCGCAGCCCCATTTCACGCTCTATGAGCCGCAGCCCCATTTCACGCTCTATGAGCCGCAGCCCCATTTCGGCGGCTGTTCGGCAGCCTCTCGCTACCACAGCCTCTCCTTCTCATTCTACGTTGCCCGCCTCCTCCGCTTCCGCTTCCCCCACTGGGATCTCAAGCCCACCCTCTCACTGTACGGCCAGGATCGTCTGGTTATCCCCTCCCTCCGCCTCGCATCGGCACGAGTGGCCTACCTCAACGGCCCTGCGACCGATGAGTTCTCCTCCCTCTCATCCTCCCCTTATCTTCGCTACTCCCAGCAGCTGCCTCTATACCTGCGGCTCCCCCTTTCCCGGAGCAGACATTCCTTTTCTTGGAGCACGTGGCTGCGTGCGATTGCGCCTAAAGTGGAGGTGCTTGTAGTGAGGCACGGGGTGCCTATAGAGAGGGTGAAGGTGGTGTGGCGGAGCCTGCGCAGCCTTGGGATTGTCGTGGGTGGCAAGGTTTGTCACGACCCAGACTGGGAGGCTGCGGTGGATAGGTGCGATGAGTACGGAGGCGGTGAGGAGGAGTGCTTGCAGCAGCAGCAACAAACACTCCTGCCTCCGGTTATCAACGCTCCAAATCTGAAGTCTATTTTCTTCCCCACTCGCAGGCCCTAGGACTCGCGTGCCCTTGCTCGCCTGTGCATGAGCTTCCCCTCCCTGGCGCTTTTCTGTGTTATTGATCGCTCGTATTATTGGGAGAGGAAGGGGATGAGGGTGATGGGCGGGCCTGTGGTGCAAGTGAGGCAGGAGAAGAGTGGCGTGCTAAGGTGTCGGTTTGATGCGAAGAAACGTGCGAAGAATGTGAGGGAGAAGATGCACAGTGTGAACGGGGGGCTGGTGGAGGGATACATTGGGGAGGAGGACGAACGGCATATCCTGAAGTACGAAAGCCGATCCTAGTGGCGTGCTGCGGTGACTCTTTGATGAGAAGAGGCATGCAAATAAGACGCACATTGTGAATGGGGGGCTGGTGGAGGGATACATTGGGGAGGAGGATGAGCGGCATATCCTGAAGTATCAAGGTTGGGGAGAAGTTAGCGGCGCATGCTGTTTCTGAGTTTGGTGTGCATTTGATACGGTATTTATGATGTCTGAGTTTGGTGTGCATTTGATACGGTATTTAGGATGTCTGAGTTTGGTGTGCATTTGATACGGTATTTATGATGTCTGAGTTTGGTGTGCATTTGATACGGTATTTATGATGTCTGAGTTTGGTGTGCATTTGATACGGTATTTATGATGTCTGAGTTTGGTGTGCATTTGATACGGTATTTATGATGTCTGAGTTTGGTGTGCATTTGATACGGTATTTATGATGTCTGAGTTTGGTGTGCAGTACATTTTATGTTTATGATGCTTCATGGGGGTGGAATGGATGTGGTTGGAATGGTGCAGCAGAAGCACTGTAAAATGCTAAATTATTATTTCACCTTGTTTGTTTGTTCCGTCCGACAGCAAATGCTTGAAGGCTGCAATTTCTATGATACAGGAAGAACACGTAGAAGTGCAGAGCAGAAGCCAAATGTGTACTGAAAAAGGCTCGAGCCAAACCATTTTACACAAGGACCACCACACCACAAGCAGGTCATAGCTGCTGCTCACCCTTTCAGCAGGTCATAGCTGCTGCTCACCCTTTCAGCAGGTCATAGCTGCTCACCCTTTCAGCAGGCATCCAACTCATCACTTCACAACCATAGGTTAGCCGATGGGGTATTGCAGCTACTCCAGTGTCAAACCAGAACTCTGAATGTGCGTAACGTAAAGGTGACATGCTCCAGCCAGAACTGCTTACAACACCACCTTCCACAACTGGCCACCACCACCAAGCAAACACAAACATCATCGCACGAGACGATAGGAGAGGAGAGCAAACCCCGAATCATTGCATTGCAGGCTCCTTTCAGAGTCTTGTCACAATCGGCCTACCGGTACTTCTTTGACCGCCTTGGGGGTTTAGGCACCCCCAACCCAACTACGAGTGATGACCCGATTTTAGAGTCGACTCATTGCACGAGAGGAGAGCAAACGAATCATTGCACAATCGGCCTACATCTTCTTTGACCGCCGTGGGGGTTTAGGCAGCCCCAACTGCCCCCACTCTGCCAGTACCACATCCCGCTCCTGCTTCAACTCCGCTGCTGCCCCCGCATCCCCCTGCGCCTCACACGTCTTGATCAGAATCATGTACGCCGCATCATACGGCCCCGCCCGTGCCTCCCTCATCCTTCGCAGCACCTCCCGGCCGCTCCTGTGGTCCCCGGAGCGGCAGTGAGCGGCGAGCAGGGCAGTGTAGGTGGGCGAGCAGGGGGGCATGCCGTCCTCGTCTTGTGTGGCCCGGAAGAGCGCCTGTGCGTCGGTGATGCGGCCGGCCAGCCCCAGGCAGTTGATCATGCGCGCACAGAGGTCCGCGTCGGGCTTGTACCAGTGCTCCGTGCGCACGTGCTCAAACACCTGAGAGACATGCAAATGCAGGTGGCATCGGGGGTTGTTTTGAGACGTCTCAAAAGTTGGCATGGGGGGTTGTTAGTAGCAGACAGGTGGGCTGCGTAGGGAGGCACGTGCTCAAGCACCTGAGAGAAATGCAAATGCAGGTGGCATGGGGGGTGGGAGGTGGGAAAGCAATACGGAGCGGCAGTGAGCGGCGAGCAGCGCAGTGTAGGTGGGCGAGCAGGGGGGCATTCATCCTTACCAGCGCTCCCTGCGCACGTGCTCAAACACCTGACGGGCACATGGAGAAACGAGCACATGGAGGAACGAGCACATGGAGGAACGAGCACATGGAGGAACGAGCACATGGAGGAACGAGCACATGGAGGAACGAGCACATGGAGGAACGAGCACATGGAGGAACGAGCACATGGAGGAACGAGCACATGGAGGAACGAGCACATGGAGGAACGAGCACATGGAGGAACGAGCACATGGAGGAACGAGCACATGGAGGAACGAGCACATGGAGGAACGAGCACATGGAGGAACGAGCACATGGAGGAACGAGCACATGAGGACGCATGGAGACGAGCACATGGAGGAACGAGCACATGGAGGAACGAGCACATGGAGGAACGAGCACATGGAGGAACGAGCACATGGAGGAACGAGCACATGGAGGAACGAGCACATGGAGGAACGAGCACATGGAGGAACGAGCACATGGAGGAACGAGCACATGGAGGAACGAGCACATGAGGAACGAGCACATGGAGGAACGAGCACATGGAGGAACGAGCACATGGAGGAACGAGCACATGGAGGAACGAGCACATGGAGGAACGAGCACATGGAGGAACGAGCACATGGAGGAACGAGCACATGGAGGAACGAGCACATGGAGGAACGAGCACATGGAGGAACGAGCACATGGAGGAACGAGCACATGGAGGAACGAGCACATGGAGGAACGAGCACATGGAGGAACGAGCACATGGAGGAACGAGCACATGGAGGAACGAGCACATGGAGGAACGAGCACATGGAGGAACGAGCACATGGAGGAACGAGCACATGGAGGAACGAGCACATGGAGGAACGAGCACATGGAGGAACGAGCACATGGAGGAACGAGCACATGGAGGAACGAGCACATGGAGGAACGAGCACATGGAGGAACGAGCACATGGAGGAACGAGCACATGGAGGAACGAGCACATGGAGGAACGAGCACATGGAGGAACGAGCACATGGAGGAACGAGCACATGGAGGAACGAGCACATGGAGGAACGAGCACATGGAGGAACGAGCACATGGAGGAACGAGCACATGGAGGAACGAGCACATGGAGGAACGAGCACATGGAGGAACGAGCACATGGAGGAACGAGCACATGGAGGAACGAGCACATGGAGGAACGAGCACATGGAGGAACGAGCACATGGAGGAACGAGCACATGGAGGAACGAGCACATGGAGGAACGAGCACATGGAGGAACGAGCACATGGAGGAACGAGCACATGGAGGAACGAGCACATGGAGGAACGAGCACATGGAGGAACGAGCACATGGAGGAACGAGCACATGGAGGAACGAGCACATGGAGGAACGAGCACATGGAGGAACGAGCACATGGAGGAACGAGCACATGGAGGAACGAGCACATGGAGGAACGAGCACATGGAGGAACGAGCACATGGAGGAACGAGCACATGGAGGAACGAGCACATGGAGGAACGAGCACATGGAGGAACGAGCACATGGAGGAACGAGCACATGGAGGAACGAGCACATGGAGGAACGAGCACATGGAGGAACGAGCACATGGAGGAACGAGCACATGGAGGAACGAGCACATGGAGGAACGAGCACATGGAGGAACGAGCACATGGAGGAACGAGCACATGGAGGAACGAGCACATGGAGGAACGAGCACATGGAGGAACGAGCACATGGAGGAACGAGCACATGGAGGAACGAGCACATGGAGGAACGAGCACATGGAGGAACGAGCACATGGAGGAACGAGCACATGGAGGAACGAGCACATGGAGGAACGAGCACATGGAGGAACGAGCACATGGAGGAACGAGCACATGGAGGAACGAGCACATGGAGGAACGAGCACATGGAGGAACGAGCACATGGAGGAACGAGCACATGGAGGAACGAGCACATGGAGGAACGAGCACATGGAGGAACGAGCACATGGAGGAACGAGCACATGGAGGAACGAGCACATGGAGGAACGAGCACATGGAGGAACGAGCACATGGAGGAACGAGCACATGGAGGAACGAGCACATGGAGGAACGAGCACATGGAGGAACGAGCACATGGAGGAACGAGCACATGGAGGAACGAGCACATGGAGGAACGAGCACATGGAGGAACGAGCACATGGAGGAACGAGCACATGGAGGAACGAGCACATGGAGGAACGAGCACATGGAGGAACGAGCACATGGAGGAACGAGCACATGGAGGAACGAGCACATGGAGGAACGAGCACATGGAGGAACGAGCACATGGAGGAACGAGCACATGGAGGAACGAGCACATGGAGGAACGAGCACATGGAGGAACGAGCACATGGAGGAACGAGCACATGGAGGAACGAGCACATGGAGGAACGAGCACATGGAGGAACGAGCACATGGAGGAACGAGCACATGGAGGAACGAGCACATGGAGGAACGAGCACATGGAGGAACGAGCACATGGAGGAACGAGCACATGGAGGAACGAGCACATGGAGGAACGAGCACATGGAGGAACGAGCACATGGAGGAACGAGCACATGGAGGAACGAGCACATGGAGGAACGAGCACATGGAGGAACGAGCACATGGAGGAACGAGCACATGGAGGAACGAGCACATGGAGGAACGAGCACATGGAGGAACGAGCACATGGAGGAACGAGCACATGGAGGAACGAGCACATGGAGGAACGAGCACATGGAGGAACGAGCACATGGAGGAACGAGCACATGGAGGAACGAGCACATGGAGGAACGAGCACATGGAGGAACGAGCACATGGAGGAAACGAGCACATGGAGGAACGAGCACATGGAGGAACGAGCACATGGAGGAACGAGCACATGGAGGAACGAGCACATGGAGGAACGAGCACATGGAGGAACGAGCACATGGAGGAACGAGCACATGGAGGAACGAGCACATGGAGGAACGAGCACATGGAGGAACGAGCACATGGAGGAACGAGCACATGGAGGAACGAGCACATGGAGGAACGAGCACATGGAGGAACGAGCACATGGAGGAACGAGCACATGGAGGAACGAGCACATGGAGGAACGAGCACATGGAGGAACGAGCACATGAGGAACGAGCACATGGAGGAACGAGCACATGGAGGAACGAGCACATGGAGGAACGAGCACATGGAGGAACGAGCACATGGAGGAACGAGCACATGGAGGAACGAGCACATGGAGGAACGAGCACATGGAGGAACGAGCACATGGAGGAACGAGCACATGGAGGAACGAGCACATGGAGGAACGAGCACATGGAGGAACGAGCACATGGAGGAACGAGCACATGGAGGAACGAGCACATGGAGGAACGAGCACATGGAGGAACGAGCACATGGAGGAACGAGCACATGGAGGAACGAGCACATGGAGGAACGAGCACATGGAGGAACGAGCACATGGAGGAACGAGCACATGGAGGAACGAGCACATGGAGGAACGAGCACATGGAGGAACGAGCACATGGAGGAACGAGCACATGGAGGAACGAGCACATGGAGGAACGAGCACATGGAGGAACGAGCACATGGAGGAACGAGCACATGGAGGAACGAGCACATGGAGGAACGAGCACATGGAGGAACGAGCACATGGAGGAACGAGCACATGGAGGAACGAGCACATGGAGGAACGAGCACATGGAGGAACGAGCACATGGAGGAACGAGCACATGGAGGAACGAGCACATGGAGGAACGAGCACATGGAGGAACGAGCACATGGAGGAACGAGCACATGGAGGAACGAGCACATGGAGGAACGAGCACATGGAGGAACGAGCACATGGAGGAACGAGCACATGGAGGAACGAGCACATGGAGGAACGAGCACATGGAGGAACGAGCACATGGAGGAACGAGCACATGGAGGAACGAGCACATGGAGGAACGAGCACATGGAGGAACGAGCACATGGAGGAACGAGCACATGGAGGAACGAGCACATGGAGGAACGAGCACATGGAGGAACGAGCACATGGAGGAACGAGCACATGGAGGAACGAGCACATGGAGGAACGAGCACATGGAGGAACGAGCACATGGAGGAACGAGCACATGGAGGAACGAGCACATGGAGGAACGAGCACATGGAGGAACGAGCACATGGAGGAACGAGCACATGGAGGAACGAGCACATGGAGGAACGAGCACATGGAGGAACGAGCACATGGAGGAACGAGCACATGGAGGAACGAGCACATGGAGGAACGAGCACATGGAGGAACGAGCACATGGAGGAACGAGCACATGGAGGAACGAGCACATGGAGGAACGAGCACATGGAGGAACGAGCACATGGAGGAACGAGCACATGGAGGAACGAGCACATGGAGGAACGAGCACATGGAGGAACGAGCACATGGAGGAACGAGCACATGGAGGAACGAGCACATGGAGGAACGAGCACATGGAGGAACGAGCACATGGAGGAACGAGCACATGGAGGAACGAGCACATGGAGGAACGAGCACATGGAGGAACGAGCACATGGAGGAACGAGCACATGGAGGAACGAGCACATGGAGGAACGAGCACATGGAGGAACGAGCACATGGAGGAACGAGCACATGGAGGAACGAGCACATGGAGGAACGAGCACATGGAGGAACGAGCACATGGAGGAACGAGCACATGGAGGAACGAGCACATGGAGGAACGAGCACATGGAGGAACGAGCACATGGAGGAACGAGCACATGGAGGAACGAGCACATGGAGGAACGAGCACATGGAGGAACGAGCACATGGAGGAACGAGCACATGGAGGAACGAGCACATGGAGGAACGAGCACATGGAGGAACGAGCACATGGAGGAACGAGCACATGGAGGAACGAGCACATGGAGGAACGAGCACATGGAGGAACGAGCACATGGAGGAACGAGCACATGGAGGAACGAGCACATGGAGGAACGAGCACATGGAGGAACGAGCACATGGAGGAACGAGCACATGGAGGAACGAGCACATGGAGGAACGAGCACATGGAGGAACGAGCACATGGAGGAACGAGCACATGGAGGAACGAGCACATGGAGGAACGAGCACATGGAGGAACGAGCACATGGAGGAACGAGCACATGGAGGAACGAGCACATGGAGGAACGAGCACATGGAGGAACGAGCACATGGAGGAACGAGCACATGGAGGAACGAGCACATGGAGGAACGAGCACATGGAGGAACGAGCACATGGAGGAACGAGCACATGGAGGAACGAGCACATGGAGGAACGAGCACATGGAGGAACGAGCACATGGAGGAACGAGCACATGGAGGAACGAGCACATGGAGGAACGAGCACATGGAGGAACGAGCACATGGAGGAACGAGCACATGGAGGAACGAGCACATGGAGGAACGAGCACATGGAGGAACGAGCACATGGAGGAACGAGCACATGGAGGAACGAGCACATGGAGGAACGAGCACATGGAGGAACGAGCACATGGAGGAACGAGCACATGGAGGAACGAGCACATGGAGGAACGAGCACATGGAGGAACGAGCACATGGAGGAACGAGCACATGGAGGAACGAGCACATGGAGGAACGAGCACATGGAGGAACGAGCACATGGAGGAACGAGCACATGGAGGAACGAGCACATGGAGGAACGAGCACATGGAGGAACGAGCACATGGAGGAACGAGCACATGGAGGAACGAGCACATGGAGGAACGAGCACATGGAGGAACGAGCACATGGAGGAACGAGCACATGGAGGAACGAGCACATGGAGGAACGAGCACATGGAGGAACGAGCACATGGAGGAACGAGCACATGGAGGAACGAGCACATGGAGGAACGAGCACATGGAGGAACGAGCACATGGAGGAACGAGCACATGGAGGAACGAGCACATGGAGGAACGAGCACATGGAGGAACGAGCACATGGAGGAACGAGCACATGGAGGAACGAGCACATGGAGGAACGAGCACATGGAGGAACGAGCACATGGAGGAACGAGCACATGGAGGAACGAGCACATGGAGGAACGAGCACATGGAGGAACGAGCACATGGAGGAACGAGCACATGGAGGAACGAGCACATGGAGGAACGAGCACATGGAGGAACGAGCACATGGAGGAACGAGCACATGGAGGAACGAGCACATGGAGGAACGAGCACATGGAGGAACGAGCACATGGAGGAACGAGCACATGGAGGAACGAGCACATGGAGGAACGAGCATGGAGGAACGAGCACATGGAGGAACGAGCACATGGAGGAACGAGCACATGGAGGAAACGAGCACATGGAGGAACGAGCACATGGAGGAACGAGCACATGGAGGAACGAGCACATGGAGGAACGAGCACATGGAGGAACGAGCAATGAGGAACGAGCACATGGAGGAACGAGCACATTGAGAGGAACGAGCACATGGAGGAACGAGCCACATGGAGGAACGAGCACATGGAGGAACGAGCACATGGAGGAACGAGCACATGGAGGAACGAGCACATGGAGGAACGAGCACATGGAGGAACGAGCACATGGAGGAACGAGCACATGGAGGAACGAGCACATGGAGGCACGAGCACATGGAGGAACGAGCACATGGAGGAACGAGCACATGGAGGAACGAGCACATGGAGGAACGAGCACATGGAGGAACGAGCACATGGAGGAACGAGCACATGGAGGAACGAGCACATGGAGGAACGAGCACATGGAGGAACGAGCACATGGAGGAACGAGCACATGGAGGAACGAGCACATGGAGGAACGAGCACATGAGGAACGAGCACATGGAGGAACGAGCACATGGAGGAACGAGCACATGGAGGAACGAGCACATGGAGGAACGAGCACATGGAGGAACGAGCACATGGAGGAACGAGCACATGGAGGAACGAGCACATGAGGACGAGCACATGGAACGAGCACATGGAGGAACGAGCACATGGAGGAACGAGCACATGGAGGAACGAAGCACATGGAGGAACGAGCACATGGAGGAACGAGCACATGGAGGAACGAGCACATGGAGGAACGAGCACATGGAGGAACGAGCACATGGAGGAACGAGCACATGGAGGAACGAGCACATGGAGGAACGAGCACATGGAGGAACGAGCACATGGAGGAACGAGCACATGGAGGAACGAGCACATGGAGGAACGAGCACATGGAGGAACGAGCACATGGAGGAACGAGCACATGGAGGAACGAGCACATGGAGGAACGAGCACATGGAGGAACGAGCACATGGAGGAACGAGCACATGGAGGAACGAGCACATGGAGGAACGAGCACATGGAGGAACGAGCACATGGAGGAACGAGCACATGGAGGAACGAGCACATGGAGGAACGAGCACATGGAGGAACGAGCACATGGAGGAACGGAGCACCATGGAGGAACGAGCACATGGAGGAACGAGCACATGGAGGAACGAGCACATGGAGGAACGAGCACATGGAGGAACGAGCACATGGAGGAACGAGCACATGGAGGAACGAGCACATGGAGGAACGAGCACATGGAGGAACGAGCACATGGAGGAACGAGCACATGGAGGAACGAGCACATGGAGGAACGAGCACATGGAGGAACGAGCACATGGAGAACCGAGCACATGGAGGAACGAGCACATGGAGGAACGAGCACATGGAGGAACGAGCACATGGAGGAACGAGCACATGGAGGAACGAGCACATGGAGGAACGAGCACATGGAGGAACGAGCACATGGAGGAACGAGCACATGGAGGAACGAGCACATGGAGGAACGAGCACATGGAGGAACGAGCACATGGAGGAACGAGCACATGGAGAACGAGCACATGGAGGAACGAGCACATGGAGGAACGCGCACATTGGAGGAAACGAGCACATGGAGGAACGAGCACATGGAGGAACGAGCACATGGAGGAACGAGCACATGGAGGAACGAGCACACTGGAGGAACGAGCACATGGGAAGGAACGAGCACATGGAGGAACGAGCGCAGTATGGAAAGAGCACATGAGGAACGAGCACATGGAGGAACGAGCACATGGAGGAACGAGCACATGGAGGAGACGGAGCACATGGAGGAACGAGCACATGGAGGAACGAGCACATGGAGGAACGAGCACATGGAGGGAACGAGCACATGGAGGAACGACGCACATGGAGGAACGCGCACATGGAGGAACGAGCACATGGAGGAACGAGCACATGGAGGAACGAGCACATGGAGGAACGAGCACATGGAGGAACGAGCACATGGAGAACGAGCACATGGAGGAACGAGCACATGAGGACGGAACCGAGCACATGGAGGAACGAGCACATGGAGGACCGCTCACCATGGAGGAACGAGCACATGGAGGAACGAACGAGCACATGGAGGAACGAGCACATGGAGAACGAGCACATGAGAACAGCACATGGAGGAACAGCACATGGAGGAACGAGCACATGGAGGAACGAGCACATGGAGGAACGAGCACATGGAGGACGAGCACATGGAGGAACGAGCACATGGAGGAACGAGCACATGAGGAACGAGCACATGGAGGAACGAGCACATGGAGGAACGAGCACATGGAGGAACGAGCACATGGAGGAACGAGCACATGGAGGAACGAGCACATGAGGAACGAGCACATGGAGGAACGAGCACATGGAGGAACGAGCACATGGAGGAACGAGCACATGGAGGAACGAGCACATGGAGGAACGAGCACATGAGGAACGGCACATGGAGGAACGAGCACATGGAGGAACGAGCACATGGAGGAACGAGCACATGGAGGAACGAGCACATGGAGGAACGAGCACATGGAGGAACGAGCACATGGAGGAACGAGCACATGGAGGAACGAGCCATGGAGGAACGAGCACATGGAGGAACGAGCACATGGAGGAACGAGCACATGGAGGAACGAGCACATGGAGGAACGAGCACATGGAGGAAACGAGCACATGGAGGAACGAGCACATGGAGGAACGAGCACATGGAGGAACGAGCACATGGAGGAACGAGCACATGGAGGAACGAGCACATGGAGGAACGAGCACATGGAGGAACGAGCACATGGAGGAACGAGCACATGGAGGAACGAGCACATGGAGGAACGAGCACATGGAGGAACGAGCACATGGAGGAACGAGCACATGGAGGAACGAGCACATGGAGGAACGAGCACATGAGGAACGAGCACATGGAGGAACGAGCACATGGAGGAACGAGCACATGGAGGAACGAGCACATGGAGGAACGAGCACATGGAGGAACGAGCACATGGAGGAACGAGCACATGGAGGAACGAGCACATGGAGGAACGAGCACATGGAGGAACGAGCACATGGAGGAACGAGCACATGGAGAACGAGCACATGGAGGAACGAGCACATGGAGGAACGAGCACATGGAGGAACGAGCACATGGAGGACGAGCACATGGCAGGAACGAGCACATGGAGGAACGAGCACATGGAGGAACGAGCACATGGAGGAACGAGCACATGGAGGAACGAGCACATGGAGGAACGAGCACATGGAGGAACGAGCACATGGAGGAACGAGCACATGGAGGAACGAGCACATGGAGGAACGAGCACATGGAGGAACGAGCACATGGAGGAACGAGCACATGGAGGAACGAGCACATGGAGGAACGAGCAAGCACATGGAGGAACGAGCACACATGGAGGAACGAGCACATGGAGGAACGAGCACATGAGGAACGAGCACATGAGTAAACGAGCACATGTAGAGGAACGAGCACATGGAGGAACGAGCACATGGAGGAACGAGCACCCTGAGGAACGAGCACATTGAGGAACGAGCACATGAGGAACGAGCACCATGAGGAACGAGCACATGGAGGAACGCAGCACATGGAGGAACGAGCACATGGAGGAACGAGCACCATGGAGGAACGAGCACATGGAACGAGGGAAACGGAGCACATTGAGGAACGAGCACATGGAGGAACGAGCACATGGCGGAACGAGCACATGAGCGAAACGAGCACATGGAGGAGAAACGGAGCACATGGCAGGAACGAGCACATGGAGGAACGAGCACATGGAGGACCGAGCACATGGCAGGAACGAGCACATGGAGGAACGAGCACATGGAGGAACGAGCACATGGAGGAACGAGCAATGGAGGAACGAGCACATGGAGGAACGAGCACATGGAGGAACGAGCACATGGAGGAACGAGCACATGGAGGAACGAGCACATGGAGGAACGAGCACATGGAGGAACGAGCACATGGAGGAACGAGCACATGGAGGAACGAGCACATGGAGGAACGAGCACATGGAGGAACGAGCACATGGAGGGAACGAGCACATGAGGAACGAGCACATGGAGGAACGAGCACATGGAGGAACGAGCACATGGAGGAACGAGCACATGGAGGAACGAGCACATGGAGGAACGAGCACACTGGAGGAACGAGCACATGGAGGAACGAGCACATGGAGGAACGAGCACATGGAGGAACGAGCACATGGAGGAACGAGCACATGGAGGAACGAGCACATGGAGGAACGAGCACATGAGGAACGAGCACATGGAGGAACGAGCACATGGAGGAACGAGCACATGGAGGAACGAGCACATGGAGGAACGAGCACATGGAGGAACGAGCACATGGAGGAACGAGCACATGGAGGAACGAGCACATGGAGGAACGGAGCACATGGAGGCACGAGCACATGGAGGAACGAGCACATGGAGGAACGAGCACATGGAGGAACGAGCACATGGAGGAACGAGCACATGGAGGAACGAGCACATGGAGGAACGAGCACATGGAGGAACGAGCACATGGAGGAACGAGCACATGGAGGAACGAGCACATGGAGGAACGAGCACATGGAGGAACGAGCACATGGAGGAACGAGCACATGGAGGAACGAGCACATGGAGGAACGAGCACATGGAGGAACGAGCACATGGAGGAACGAGCACATGGAGGAACGAGCACATGGAGGAACGAGCACATGGAGGAACGAGCACATGGAGGAACGAGCACATGGAGGAACGAGCACATGGAGGAACGAGCACATGGAGGAACGAGCACATGGAGGAACGAGCACATGGAGGAACGAGCACATGGAGGAACGAGCACATGGAGGAACGAGCACATGGAGGAACGAGCACATGGAGGAACGAGCACATGGAGGAACGAGCACATGGAGGAACGAGCACATGGAGGAACGAGCACATGGAGGAACGAGCACATGGAGGAACGAGCACATGGAGGAACGAGCACATGGAGGAACGAGCACATGGAGGAACGAGCACATGGAGGAACGAGCACATGGAGGAACGAGCACATGGAGGAACGAGCACATGGAGGAACGAGCACATGGAGGAACGAGCACATGGAGGAACGAGCACATGGAGGAACGAGCACATGGAGGAACGAGCACATGGAGGAACGAGCACATGGAGGAACGAGCACATGGAGGAACGAGCACATGGAGGAACGAGCACATGGAGGAACGAGCACATGGAGGAACGAGCACATGGAGGAACGAGCACATGGAGGAACGAGCACATGGAGGAACGAGCACATGGAGGAACGAGCACATGGAGGAACGAGCACATGGAGGAACGAGCACATGGAGGAACGAGCACATGGAGGAACGAGCACATGGAGGAACGAGCACATGGAGGAACGAGCACATGGAGGAACGAGCACATGGAGGAACGAGCACATGGAGGAACGAGGCACATGGAGGAACGAGCACATGGAGGAACGAGCACATGGAGGAACGAGCACATGGAGGAACGAGCACATGGAGGAACGAGCACATGGAGGAACGAGCACATGGAGGAACGAGCACATGGAGGAACGAGCACATGGAGGAACGAGCACCTGGAGGAACGAGCACATGGAGGAAACGAGCACATGGAGGAACGAGCACATGGAGGAACGAGCACATGGAGGAACGAGCACATGGAGGAACGAGCACATGGAGGAACGAGCACATGGAGGAACGAGCACAGGAGGAACTGAGCACATGGAGGAACGAGCACATGGAGGAACGAGCACATGGAGGAACGAGCACATGGAGGAACGAGCACATGGAGGAACGAGCACATGGAGGAACGAGCACATGGAGGACGAGCACAGGAGGACCGAGCACATGGAGGAACGAGCACATGGAGGAACGAGCACATGGAGGAACGAGCACATGGAGGAACGAGCACATGGAGGAACGAGCACATGGAGGAACGAGCACATGGAGGAACGAGCACATGGAGGAACGAGCACATGGAGGAACGAGCACATGGAGGAACGAGCACATGGAGAGAAGATGTAATATGGACCCACAACGAGAGCTCACTATGTAAAAGCTTGCGCTGAAAAAACCCTCCCTACATACACCAAAACCCTCCCCACACACACCAAAACCCTCCCCACACACACCAAAACCCTCCCCACACACACCAAAACCCTCCCCACACACACCAAAACCCTCCCCACACACATCAAAACCCTCCCCACACACACCAAAACCCTCCCCACACACACCAAAACCCTCCCCACACACACCAAAACCCTCCCCACACACACCAAACCCTCCCCACACACACCAAATCCCTCCCCACACACACCAAAACCCTCCCCACACACACCAAAACCCTCCCCACACACACCAAAACCCTCCCCACACACACCAAAACCCTTCCCACACACACCAAAACCCTCCCCACACACACCAAAACCCTCCCCACACACACCAAAACCCTCCCCACACACACCAAAACCCTCCCCACACACACCAAAACCCTCCCCACACACACCAAAACCCTCCCCACACACACCAAAACCCTCCCCACACACACCAAAACCCTCCCCACACACACCAAAACCCTCCCCACACACACCAAAACCCTCCCCACACACACCAAAACCCTCCCCACACACACCAAAACCCTCCCCACACACACCAAAACCCTCCCCACACACACCAAAACCCTCCCCACACACACCAAAACCTCCCCACACACACCCAAACCCTCCCCACACACACCAAAACCCTCCCCACACACACCAAATCCCTCCCCACACACACCAAACCCTCCCACACACACCAAAACCCTCCCCACACACACCAAACCCTCCCCACACACACCAAAACCCTTCCCACACACACCAAAACCCTCCCCACACACACCAAAACCCTCCCCACACACACCAAAACCCTCCCCCACACACACCAAAACCCTCCCCCACACACACCAAAACCCTCCCCACACACACCAAAACCCTCCCCACACACACCAAAACCCTCCCCACACACACCAAAACCCTCCCCACACACACCAAAACCCTCCCCACACACACCAAAACCCTCCCCACACACACCAAAACCCTCCCCACACACACCAAAACCCTCCCCACACACACTAAAACCCTCCCCACACACACCAAAACCCTCCCCACACACACCAAAACCCTCCCCACACACACCAAAACCCTCCCCACACACACCAAAACCCTCCCCACACACACCAAAACCCTCCCCACACACACCAAAACCCTCCCCACACACACCAAAACCCTCCCCACACACACCAAAACCCTCCCCACACACACCAAAACCCTCCCCACACACACCAAAACCCTCCCCACACACACCAAAACCCTCCCCACACACACCAAAACCCTCCCCACACACACCAAAACCCTCCCCACACACACCAAAACCCTCCCCACACACACCAAAACCCTCCCCACACACACCAAAACCCTCCCCCCACACACCAAAACCCTCCCCACACACACCAAAACCCTCCCCACACACACCAAAACCCTCCCAAACTCTTCTCGTTTCCAACACCAGTGACCATGACAGGGAGAAGACTCATAGTCCTTTTGTGGCAACCCCAACCTCTTTTAGCAACTGCTCGTTCTTCTCTCTTGGATTGGATGCTCTCCGTCTCCCTCGTCTCTCTCCTTCCTTCGTCGCTCTACCACACTCCGCCATACTCCCAACGCTTCCAGGTACCACCCACCCATCCGTTCCTACTGTTCAGAAATATATCTTTCACCCCCTCACCGTCACCTCTCTCGCTCTCTTTCTCACTCTCTTGCTCACTCTCGTTCTCACCCGCGCGGCCAGGCGCCATTGCTGCTGGCGCTGCAGCTCCTGCAGGGCAAGCAGCAGGTCGGGCTTCACCAGCCGCGCCACCTTGCTGCGCCTCAAAATCCCCCTCACCGTCACCTCTCTCGCTCTCTTTCTCACTCTCTTGCTCACTCTCTTTCTCACCCGCGCGGCCAGGCGCCACTGCTGCTGGCGCTGCAGCTCCTGCAGGGCCAGCAGCATGTCCGGCTTCACCAGCCGCGCTACCTTGCTGCGCATCACCGCCTCCACGCGCGGCCCGCACACCCACCGCTTCCCCGCGCCCGCGCCCGCGCCCGCGCTCCCTGCGTGGGGTGAGGTATCAGCGCGGCTGGTCAAACCAACCATCTCTTCCTCCTCGCTCTCTTCCAATTCCCCCATTTCCTCCTCCTCCTCTTCCTCCTCCTCCTCTTCCTCCTCCTCCCACCGGCGCTGCTCGTCTCGAGCATCAAGCACGGCGGCCAGTTTCAGCTCTTGAACCGCGTCCACCGCCTCTCCCGCCATGTTACGGCTCCGCCACAAGCTCTCGCGCTTCGACGCGAACAGCAGCGTGTGTGTGGATCGCCGAAATCCTTCATGGCGAAAGATCGGCGGAGAGCGCAGGGTTAGAGTAGCTGGCAAAGGCTTTTGAGTCGACTCAAAAGTTAAAGTAGCTGGCAAAGGCGAAGGCGACAGTCTATTGATGATGTTTGCCGCCGGCGACGGACGCTGCGATGGGCGACATTCTATTGAGCCAGTAGCAGCGCGACATGATGGCGCGGCACGAGGATGCTGAGCAGCGGCGGAAGGGATGGACACCAAGACGCGAGGACCGGGGGGGTTGCGCGGGGTGCTCCGCGGGATGCCTCTGAATATTCTGGAATAATGGCCGACGATTAGCATGCTGCTGCTTTGGCTCCGAGAGCTGGCACTGGATTCCCAGGCTTCTAATGGCTGACAAGTGTGCTGCAACGGTCTCATTGGACAGACGATTTTTTAGTAGTTTTGAGGCTCCTCGGAAATTGCTTCTAAGTGGCTTTGAAAAATGTCACACGCTTCGGTCATGCAACTGGTGGTTCCGCCGTTAGCAGCTATTACGCGTCGAGATGATCTCCTTTCTACCTTGTTGGCTCGCGTCCTAGTGAATTGAACTACAGATACCGTAGCCTATAGTAGAATCCATCTCGTCGCTGTCGTCGAGATTCTCAACTTCGCACGCTCAACTCGAAAGGTCTAGGTAACCTCCACGCCACGCACTGCTAGGCCTACGAGGGAAACCTCGTATACCCGTGTTAAGGTGTCTCAATTCACGGCAAACCAACCCCTCCGTCGCTGAAATCGTAAAACGCGGCTTCACGTTGTACACCACATATTATGCCCACCGTTGCCACCCCCACTGGTAGCATCTTTTGTAGGGCCTCAAAAGTCACCAGCATGATCATCAGTTGCCCCAGCTGTACACCACATACTATGCCCACTGTTGCCGCCCCCACTGCTAGCACCCATCGCCATCCCATTGTAACGGGACTGCTGTGCACCACCACCGGTGCACACCACCCCATGGCCACACTATTGCCACCACTGCTATCATCACACAGAACCCTTCCTGCTCGTCCCTGCACACAAATGAAGCCCTCACACCAGTGAACATTGGTTCCACTCACTCACTACCTCGGCCACACTGTTCCTTTTTCCTCCCAAAGCATGTAGAGGCCCAGGGAATTTAAAAGAACCCTCATCATGCCCTAATCTGATCATCCTGCCTGCACCATGCCCTAACCCATGGCATGGGGAACGAGATCTGACTCCACACTAACGCTGTGACACAATCTGGCCCCATGCTATCACTGTGACGTGATGTGACCTCATGGTACCGCTATGACACGGTTTGACACCATGCCACCACAATAACACGACCTCACACCATGCCACCGCAATGACACAATCTGACCCCATGCTACCACCATGACACGACCTGACCCCGTGCTACCGCTATGACACGTTGTGTTCCCATACTAACCTGCCACGCCAATCCGACCTCACTGCCCCGCTCCTCTCACACCCGCTATCACTACCGCGCCAGCGGACCGCTGGATCGACAATCCTGTACGATGCCAGGGAAGGGAATTGCCTGCGCAGAGCATCCGGAACGCCCGGCTGCCACTCCTCAGTGGCATAGTAAATGGACTCCAGGTTCGGAGCATCGATGTACGTGTTGCTGCCGCTGTCGTTGCTGCTGCTTCCGATGATGCTCCCTTCTTCCCCGCCGAAGAACCTCCAAAACCGAGAGTCTTCCGGATCCTCGGGGTTTTCGCAGTAACTAAACCCCCCAGTGCTATAACGGTTCACACCAACGCTGAGGTGCCGCAGCTGGCTCCACTGCACACGCACGCCCTCCAGTGGCCAGCCGTACCTCGTTTTAAGCGTCTCCACTGTGGGCGCTATGCTACTGAGCAGGTGGGTCAAGGCGATTTGAGAATCATCATCAGAACAGGGAAACACACGTCAACGATTTGCTCGGAGGCTTGCACCGTTCAAGTAGACGGATTTTGCGGCGGACAATGGGAGCGAGGAAACGAGGAGCTGCGAGTAGCCAATGAGAGAGAGCGAGTCGAGAGAGGGAGGGCTGGGGGAAGTGCAATCCACGTTGAGACACGCCGCAGTGGCCGAGAAGGACTTCAAAGAGGCAGGCAGGGCGCAGCGGAGGTGGAGCACTTGCTTCTCAAAGCAGAGCAGTGAACTTGAAATCGAGGGCGAAGGGGGGGACATGGCTGGAGGAGGCGAGAGCGATTTCACGCAGCTGCGGTGTAAGGGATGCGAGAAAGGACAGAGCGTTTCCGTCGCACACGAAATCGTGGACGCTCAGGCTCCTCAAACCCCGGAACCGCGCTGGACTCAGGCCGCCTAGTTGCCACGTCCCGCGACCCAGCTTCAGCCGCTGCAGCTGCTGAAACTCCTCGAGAAAGGCCGGATTCATCAGGTGCTTCTCCTTAATGATAGGCTTGATTCCCCCGAGTGGTTCCTTGAGCCCAAGGCCCAGGCTTGCGAGGGAGTGTGCAGAGGGCTGCAAGAGACGGCAGAGGCAGTGGATTTCCTGGGAGCTGTTGAGCTCGAGATTGAGAGGCGTGTGGGGGGCGTGAATGAGGAAGACAGAGAGCGTTCCCGAGGGAGGTGTGAGGGTGGCGGGGTCTAGGGAGTCGATAGGCAGCGTCATGGGCTGGAAGTCCTGCTCGCCACTCACCTGACACAACAGGGATACTGGCACGGGCAGAAGGACTCGTAAAACGGGGTAACCTGTCAAAATCACTCCAATCCCTCCAGGCCACTCCTGTGTCTCCCGCCTCACCTGAAGTGTTGGAAGCCCTCACGACGAGACACCCATCCGCCTGCCAACCACTTCCAGACTGGCTCCGCACCGCCACAGCGGAAGACCCACCCACTATCGAAGCTCCCGACTTCAGACGCCTCCTCGCCAAACTCCCCAACGGAGTAGGGGCCGACCCATCTGGAACAACCTTCGAGCACATCCGCGACGCAGCCCTGGGCAACGCCGAAGTACTCACCCACCTCCTCGCCCTCACTAACACAGCTCTTGCAGGAAAACTCCCCACAGTCGCGGGGGATCTTCTAACGGCATCCCGCCTGTTAGCATTTACGAAACCACAGGGAGGGACGCGGCTGATTGCGGTGGGGGAGTGCCTCCTCCGGATAATAGCAAAAGCCGCGCTCTTCCTCACTGCGCCGGCCGCTCGTACTCACTTTGCTCCGCTTCAGTTCGGAGTCGCAGTAGCGGGAGGGATCGAAGCGGCTATCCACTCCGCTCGCACGTACCTGGAAGTGCACCCAGGGGCAGTGGCGCTGCAGATTGACCTCGCGAATGCGTTCAACGCGGTCGAAAGGAAGGCGGTGTTTGAAGGACTGAATAACGAGGCGCTGAAGGAACTGATTCCCCTCGTCCGCCTTTCCTATGGGACTCCCTACTCGCTCTTCCTCGACCACGACTTCGGCGCAGCCCCGCTGCAGAGCGCCAGGGGTGTTCGCCAAGGAGACCCGCTCTGCCCACTCCTGTTCGCGGCTAGCATCCACCCGTGCCTCGTGGACACGGCGGCTGCACACCCTCAGGTGGTCCTGCTGGCGTACGCCGATGATATCACGCTGCTCGGCGACGCCACGGCCTGCTCTGCGGCTTTCGACCACCTCACCTCTGCTTTAGCCGCCCTCGGCCTGGTGCACAATCCAGCTAAGTGCGCGGCGTGGTCCGTCGCAGCAATCGACGCCTCCTCAGTCCCCCCAGGCGTCACTATCTCTGAGGAGGGTTTGCAGATTCTCGGCAGCCCCGTGGGCACTGCCCGAGGCTGCGCAGATGCTGTGAGAGCGAGATTGGAAGCAGCAGCAGCGCCTCTCCCCTTGCTGGCCCAGATGGACCCCCAACTTGCCCTCCTCCTCCTCACCCACTGTGTCAGCCGTCGAGCTTCCTTCCTAGCCAGAACCACCCCCCTAGAGGCCCTCCCTGAAGCCGAATGGTCCGCTTGGGGGGAACAACTCCTTCACACTTTCCTCGACTCGGCCCACATCATGAGGCCGAGGAGCGCCAGGGAGAGACAGAGGATTTGGCGGCAGGCGGCCCTGCCAGTGACTTTGGGAGGCCTGGGCATCACTGACCCCAGCACAGCCCACCTCTTGCACTCCCTGGAGGACTCGTTGCACCCCGCTGTCGCCGCGCTCTTCCCCCTTTTGGATCCAACCCACAGCTCCCCACACGTGCTACCTACACGACTCGCCGCGGCTGAGGCAGCCCTGCCCCCCGAGGCTCTCGAGGTGCTCCAGGCCGGGAAGGCTGACCCCAAGGGACTGAAGCTGCAGCAGAACCTAGCACTGGCGGTTCACTCCCGCCGCTTCCTGAGAGTCATGCGCGAGGCGAGACGGATGCGCCCCAACCCCCGCTCTGGCCATGCGCAACGGATGCAGTCGGTGCTGGGCCCAGGCGCGGGGGATTGGCTGCTGGCGATCCCGCTCACCCCCTCGCTCCGGATGGGCCCGTCCCAGCTCTCTACTGCAACTGCCTTCCGCCTAGGCCTCCCCCTCCCAGTGCCTAGACGCTGTGACTGCCGCTACCGCACCACCTTCCCCGACGACCGCCTCCCCAACCACCTCATGAGCTGCGAGAAGGGGAAAGGGAGGACCGCAAGCCACCACGCTCTGCGGGATGAGATAGCGAACATTGGGGCGGAGGCGGGGTTTACGGTTCACAAGGAAACGTATGTCTACTCACTGGTTGAAAACCTAAAGGCAGATGTCACCATCCGTCATCCCCTGACTGGTGAGGTTTGGATGTGCGACGTGACCGTGACGGACCCGGTGTCAAGGCAAGACGAGAACTGCAACCGAGCTCCTGGATGGGCGGCCAGGGCGGCAGCAGAGAAAAAGGAGGATAAGTACGCACGGCGGAACGCGTGGGTGGGGTTCCACGCGCTTGCAGTGGAAACTTATGGCTACCCCTCGCCGGGGGTGATGGCTTACCTGCGGCAGTGCGCAGAGCTGGCGGCAAAGCTGCGGTTTAACGCGGCTCCTACCTCCTACAAAGCAGCGAAGCTGCTGACGGAGTACCGCCAGCGCTGGAGCGTGTGCCTCCAGCGGGCGCAGGCCAACGCCCTCCGCACCAAGACCAACGAGGCCCTGGCGGCGGACGAGCTCGGCTTTAGAGGACCCATCATCCCTCTCAGTGAGGGACAGCTGCACCAGTTGATTGAGGCCCCGTTCGACCAATAGGGTCGGACAGAGGGGGGGGGGGGCTGAGTAGGTAGGAGTCTTGAGGTAGTTCGGATCTCGGTTTGGATGTTTGTTGTGCTTGTGTGTTCTGCATCTTCCTTTGTACCACCCCTCATAGTAATGGAAGGACCATTCGAGAGAGAGACGGACAGGAAGATGGTTGACAGAGCTTTGCCGTGACAGGAAGTTTAACTGATCGTTCAGTTTTTTACAAACAGCCATTTACCAGCACACCGTCCAATCCTGCCTTGTCACACCTGGTACCTCAAGCGAAATATAGAACACCTCAAGTAGCTCGGTGGCATCGTAAAACGACTCCAATTTCGGAGCATTTATGAGCAAGCCGCTGGTGCTGCTGCTGACGCCGCCCTCCTCTCCTCCCGCACTAATGAACTTCCAAGATTTTGAATCTTCCGGATTGACCGGATAATATATGTGATTAATCTCCCCACACCTCTCTATACCGATGAAAACGCAACGAAGGCGGCTCCACTCCACACGCACGCCCTCCAGAGGCCAGCCGTACCTCAATACAAGCATCTCCACTGTAGGCGCTATGCTGCTGAGCAGGTGGGTCACGGTACGCTGAGATTCGAGATCGGAATAGGGAAAACCACGCGACTGGTTTTTTCGATTGGCTGGTCCTTCCAAGTAGACGGATTTGGCGGCAGCCAATGGTAGTGAAGAAACGGAAGATTCGCCATCATGGCGACAGCGAGATTTTGTGATTCATCAGCGTGACGACAACGAGATTGTGGGAGGGGGGATATCTCGGCCGATTCTATGTGAAAGTACATGCGAAATTTCTTTTAGGGAGTGATTTTCGCGATATCCTCCCGTAAGGAATCGGACTCGATAACATCCATAATAGGAATCTATAAGAAAAGGGGGGTGTTATAGAGAATCACCCCAAAAGGGGGGGTATAGTACTAACAGGGTCGGATATAACACCCACCCCGTATTAGCTACCCGGGGGTGTACGTACAATAATGGGGGGGTGTTTTATCCGGGAGAATAATACGGTAGTCTGATAACGAGAGCCCTGCCTCGAACGAACTCCAGAACTGCTTAAGTAGCTCGGTGGTATCGAAAAACAACTCCAATTTCGGAGCATTGATGAGCAAGCCGCTGGTGCTGCTGCCGACGCCGCCCTCCTCTCCTGCCGTACTAATGAACTTCAAAGATTTTAAACTTTCCGGATTGAACGGAAAATATGTCTGATTAATCCCCCCAAACCTCTCTACACCGATGAAAACGCAACGAAGGCGGCTCCACTCCACACGCATGCCCTCCAGAGGCCAGCCGTACCTCAATACAAGCATCTCCACTGTAGGCGCTATGCTGCTGAGCAGGTGGGTCACGGTACACTGAGATTCGAGATCGGAATAGGGAAAACCATGCGACTGGTTTTTTCGATTGGCTGGTCCTTTCAAGTAGACGGATTTGGCGGCAGCCAATGGTAGTGAAGAAACGAGAAGCTGCGAGCGGCCAATGAGAGAGAGCGAGTCGAGAGAGAGCCGGCTGTTGCATGAGCAATCCACGTTGAGACTCTCTGCAGTGGCAGAGAAGGACTTCAAAGAGGCAGGCAGGGCGAAGCGGAGGTGGAGCGCTTGTTGCTTAAAAAAGCAGACTGTGATAGATCGAGCAGCGGTGAGCTTGAAATCGAGAGTGAGGGTGGCAGAGGCAGAGCCAAAGCTGGAGGAGGCGAGAGCGAATTCATGCAGCTGCGGTGCGACGGATGAAAGAAAGGGCAGAGCATTCTCCTCGCACTCGAAATCGTGGATGCTCAGACTCCTTAAGGCTTGGAACATTGCTGGATTCAGGCTGCCTAATTTCCAAATCCCACGGCTTCCTAGCACCAGCTTCTGCAGCTGCTCAAACTCCCCCAGAAATTCTGAATGCAGCAGCAACTGTCCCCAAGGGATATTTGTTTTGTGCTCAAGGGACAAGGTTGTGAGGGAGCGCGCAGAGGGTCCCAAGAGACGGCCGAGGCAGTGCAGGTCCTCGGGGCTGTTGAGAACGACATTGAGGGGCGTGTGAGGCGCGTGCGTGAGGAAGACAGAGAGCGTTCCCGAGAGACGTGTGAGCGCGGGGTCTTCGGAGTTGATAGTCAGCTTCATGGGCTCGAACTCCTGCTCGTACAAAGAGTGACAGAGAGATGGACGGAGAGATGGACGGAGAGATGGACGTAGAGATGGACGGAGAGATGGACGGAGAGATGGACGGAGAGATGGACGGAGAGATGGACGGAGAGATGGACGGAGAGATGGACGGAGAGATGGACGGAGAGATGGACGGAGAGATGGACGGAGAGATGGACGGAGAGATGGACGGAGAGATGGACGGAGAGATGGACGGAGAGATGGACGGAGAGATGGACGGAGAGATGGAGAGACAGACACATGGAAAGATGGAGATGGCGATTTGAAAGGTGCTTGAGGAGCGACTTTGTGAGTCAACTTAAAATTCTGCTGTATGTTGCTTGGCAACGTCATTGGCTCGAAATCATGCTCATTCGCAGCTACGGACAAGAAGACGGTTGAGGAGCTTAGACGTGACTGTAGCCGTGACCGTGACCGCATCATAACTCAGCACCCAGAGAAGAAATTTACCATGGATTACGGGGAGCAATGAGAGACTCACGGGGAAGGAGGCGACATGGTGGAGGAGCCTCTTGCAGACCATGGCGCAGCGCAGCAGAGGCCAGCAGGAGCCGAAGCACGCGTCTCCTGCTCCTCCCTCCTGCGATGCGCCCGAGGAATTACCCCAATTCTGCAGTTTCTTTTTCAGTCGACTCAGAAGTCCACTCCCAGTGGCACCCGGCGAGGTGCTGCCTGCTCCCTCCTGTGATGCGCCCGAGGAGTTACCCAGACTCTGCAGCTTCTTTTTGAGTCGACTAAGAAGTGATGCGCCAGAGGCGCTGCCTGCTCCTCCCTCTTGTGATGCGCCGGAGGAGCTACCCAGCAGCAGGTGGCGGAAGATGATGTGCCAGATGGGGCCGGGCAGCAGATCAACCACGTCCACGATCTGGGTTGGGGAATGTGTTAAATTAACAGAAAGAGGGAGAGTTAGAGAGCGAGGATACTACAAATCCATTGTCTTTTCCTAAGGAGGATGTGGTGAGAATCGAGGGAACCGGCTAAAAATGTTGTGATGTTTCACTGGCTGCGGCATCACCCTCACCTCATGATGATTCTCGGCATCAGCGGGTGCTGTAAGACTGAGAGCTACCTCATCTCCACGGCTACCCATCACCGCCAACGATCAGCTACGCAACCGCCGGCGAATAGGCAAAAGAATACAGGAGGGTTTTGGGAAATTACGACAGGAGATTCACAGAAGCCTTCTGAGCAAGAAACAGCCCTGTTTGGAGCAGCTCTGTTTGAAACGGCTCTGTTTGAAACGAGAAAGACGAGAGCTGGTAATTCGTCTGTCAATTTTGACGACTTGTATCTGCTTCTGGATGGACAGTCGTTACTACGTCAGATGGTTCCTGAGGTTTAAAATGTCGTTAGTACGTCGATACCTCTCGTAGCGAAACAATGACGCTATCAGGGAGGATGGAAGCCAGAAGCAGTAGGAGCCAAGGCAATGCAGCAACAGCGGCGTTACGAGCGCCTGTGTGATGAGCAAATCCGAATTGGCTACTGAAGGTGCTGGTGATAGTGGAAATAAGCAACAGTTAACCCAGACGCTGCCCTCACGAATACGGAACGCATTGTTCGGAACAGCGGTGCGAATCACCCGAACCAAGAAGCACTAGCGAGCTCTTACAGTTTGTCGTATACGGTTTAGTTCGGTTCGTAAATATTGGACACGGTCTCTGCGCGTTGCTTGCAGCACCAAATTAAACCGTGATAAATGAGAAATCACGAGCCGCTCTTGACACCCAACGAACCTCAACAAGCCCCGCACGGCCCACTCGTGTCGAATCCCGTGTGTCCTTCAAGCACCATACCTGCCGAACCGCATGTGCACGTCGGAAATCTCGCTCCGCAAGAACCGAACCAGAACGCTAAGCTCGACTCCGTTGGATGCGGAAAGCCTCTCGCGCCCCGTTGCAGGTGGTGCCAGCAACTCGAGCAGAACTCAACAATTGAAGGCTCTAATTGGTTGAAATTAGGGTAACCCGCTTGTGCTGGCACGAACTGTGCGCTCCAAGGGTGTGCTCGTCGAGCCATTCCGCGCGCTCCACGAATGGCGGCATGTGTGCCATACGCGAAAAAGGGCAGCTGTCGAAAGCAGGTGAATCGTCGAGAATGATGGCTTGCGAGCGAAATCGCAGACCGGTTCGCATGAGGAGGAGGGAAAGGTACGTGGGCGTGGTGGTTTCGTCGTGCTGGCTTTCACAGAGACAGCATAAACAATCGACCTTGTATCCATCTTAATTAGCGCAGTTCGCTTGTCTTCGCAAGAGTAGCTGTTACAGAAAATAATGGTTATGTATAAAATGATTTTACACAGCCTTGACCACACCTCACTGGTAACACTCTACATTAACATAATGAATGAGAATAACCCAGCCACGAGTGACGTGTGTCACTGGAAGCCTCGTCGTCAAGGCAACCCAATTGATTTTTGACATACACTTCTGATTATAAAAATGAGGCATTTGAGCACCATCCACAAGCAAATTGCAATTCACGTCAAAAGAGGCATAGCAAATACCGCTTCCCTCACCCTACCCTCCCTCTTCCAGTCCGTAGTCTTCCCCAAAGTATGTGTCGACAAGATAGCTTGACATGGAGTGTAGCTCCTCATTGCCTACAAATTGAGCTGCTTCTATCGCATCGATGCCGTCCGCCTCCTCCACCAGCCGTGGGCCTCTTTTGTCTGGTAGTACACGCAGGACCTACCCAATGAGAGGAAATGACATAAATGGAGAATCAAGCACAATGATAATGAGGACAGCTGAAGAACAGGCCGTTCGTGTGTGTAGGAGAGCATGTGTACCACGCATGTGTGCGCAAATGCATGTGTGCATGTGTGTGCACATGCGTACACCTGTGAGTGCATGTGCTTGTGGCTGTATGGCCGCATGCGCATGTGTCCATGAGTTCCATGTGTGAGTGAGTGCAGGTGTGCATGCGTGAGAATCTGTCCTTACTTGTTACTCCAGCCCATACCTTAATGTCCATATTCCCTCCACATACCTTACCCTCCTCCATGCACCTTACCTCTACAGCTACCTCAGCCACAGCAGCACCAGCTTCAGCAGCACAAGCCACGGCAACACCAGCCGCAGCAGGCACTCACCACCACACACCTTCCCACACCCTTACCACCACCGCCCACCATGACATATCCCTCCTCACCACTGCATATCTTGACACACCGTTCCTCACCACCGCACACCTTCCCACACCCCTTCTCACCACTTCGGTAAACTGCAGGCCGAGCCGCACAGCGTCAGCATCTACTGAGCGGATGAGGGAGAGGAAGGGCAGCAGGCACCCCGCGTCCACTAGTGCTGCCACGCGCGACTGCTGGACCGCCATGCGGCGCTCTCCTATTGGCTCTTGCTCCGCAGGATCCACACAGAGATTCGCTGCCAGAAGATTAGATCCGGGCAGGATCACATTAAGGTGAATTTCTGACTTGAATCAAAGGTCACCTGGAGCATATGCAAGGTCTAAAACGGGTGACAGAAGAATGCCTGAAAGAGTGTTATGAGGAGACTGGAGGAAGAACCTTTGCTTGGATGGGTCAAACAGAAAATATATTACGAAGTGAGAAGGAAAACACTTGGGAAGAAAGGAGAGAGAAGACGCCACATTCGCAATGAGAAACAAAGACTGACTGCATGCACATCAGAAGAAAGGTATTCGTGAAAATTCCTCAGCATAACAAGCACAAGCACAAGCCGCAACGTCACTGACCGAGAGCAAAGGTGACTGACTGAGAGAAAAGGAGACTGGCCGAGAGCAAAGGTGACTGACCGAGAGCAAAGGTGACTGACCGAGAGCAAAGGTGACTGACCGAGAGCAAAGGTGACTGACCGAGAGCAAAGGTGACTGACCGAGAGAAAAGGTGACTGGCCGAGAGCAAAAGTGACTGGCCGAGAGAAAAGGTGACTGGCCGAGAGAAAAGGTGACTGGCACATTTGACTGAGAGCAAAGGGCGAGTGACTAAGGGCACATTTGACTTCTCTCTTGATGTCAAAGGGTGCCGTGCGGAGCAAATGCACAAGCAGCTCGTATATCTAGCAACCCAGCGCATGCCCCAATGCTACTGACCGAGAGCAAAGGCGACTTCTCTCTTGATGTCGAAGGGTGCCGTGCGGAGCAAATGCACGAGCAGCTCGTACATTCTCGACGCTTTGCCTGCTCCTCCCATCCCCGCTCCTCCCCCCATGGCGTCTCCACCAATCACAGCCGCCTTGTGCCAGCTGTCGCCAGCTGTCACGTTGGATACTGCCCATGCTGTCTCCTGCAGAGGAGCACACAGGGAGGATATTCAAGGGGTCTCATTTTGAAGAAGCTCAATGGGAGAATACTTGTGGCACCCGTTTGAGGGGATAAAGTACCTAAGGCGCCTCACGAAGCTGTCCCGTCGGATTTTCAAAGCCTCCTCCTGCAAGGGCGCACACGGAAGGACTTTCAAGGCGTCTTGACGAGGACAGCTCTTGAGGCGCCTCACGAATACACAGCTGTCACGTCGAACACACACACACACACACACACACACACACAGCTTCGGGGGCCAAAGCTTCAGAAACACACAGCCAAAGCTGTCTCCGGAATACACGCACGCGCGCACACACACACACACACAGAAGCGCCGGCGACTAAGGTTACTTTTCCATGATCCTTGCACTTTCCAGGGTAGCTTTGAGGTGTGCGTTCGTACGCGCGCTCTTCAAGCCATGGAGCTTGTTTTTCACGGCAATACACAAGTCCAGATTGCCCTTTCCGCCCCTTGCCAGTGCTGCTGCTATGATACAACCACCCTACCCTCTCACCTTCTTCGGCCTGTGGCGTTTGTTGTCAAGACACTCAGCCAGTCCAAACCGGCCGCTGCCACTGCCATACCCCTTTGCTTCTCCCCCTCCATCCCACGCCACCCCCTCTCGCTCACCTTCTTCAGCCCATGGTGTTTGTTCTCAAGGCACTCCGCCAGTACACACAACCCTGGCCCCACCGCTGCTGTTGCTGCGTCCACATGGTCGTTCGGACCAAGGGTTTAGGGTCCTCTCGCATATCATGGGAATCTGCTATGCACTCATCCACCCAACCTCCCTTGCCTTCGTCTCGGCCATCACCACACACCCTTTTGTGTGCGTGAAGGCACCATCTGGACCGAGTCCAGCCAGCACACGCAATTGCCTCTCGAGCTTTGCGATAACGACTGCCTGACACTCATTTCGAACTTCGAGCTTGTGCATCCTTCCCTCCATCTCCGCTCTCCACTCCCTGTCCTCCACCGAATCACCAGTGACTTATCACCTCATCCGTAGCAGTGATTGCATTGCCAGCAGGTGATCAACCGTCCTTCAGCGTGAGCGCAAACGTCCTGCCGTAACTTGTGTCAGTGTGCCAATGGGCTCACACCAAACCGCACACCCTTCTGAGCATCTTCAGAACGTTCTTCGACCAGGGCAGGGCATGGATGCATTGGCAGGGCATGGATGCATTGGCAGGGCATAGATGCATTGGCAGGGCATGGATGCATTGGCAGGGCATGGATGCATTGGCGGGCATGGATGCATTGGCGGGCATGGATGCATTGGCTGGCATGGATGCATTGCCAGGGCATGGATGCATTGGCTGGCATGGATGCATTGGCTGGCATGGATGCATTGGCTGGCATGGATGCATTGGCTGGCATGGATGCATTGGCTGGCATGGATGCATTGGCTGGCATGGATGCATGGGCGGGCATGGATGACTTGGCAGGGCATGGATGCATTGGCTGGCATGGATGCATGGGCTGGCATGGATGACTTGGCAGGGCATGGATGCATTGGCTGGCATGGATGCATTGGCTGGCATGGATGCATTGGCTGGCATGGATGCATTGGCTGGCATGGATGCATTGGCAGGGCATGGATGCATTGGCAGGGCATGGATGCATTGGCAGGGCATGGATGCATTGGCTGGCATGGATGCATTGGCAGGGCATGGATGCATTGGCAGGGCATGGATGCATTGGCAGGGCATGGATGCATTGGCAGGGCATGGATGCATTGGCGGGCATGGATGCATTGGCGGGCATGGATGCATTGGCTGGCATGGATGCATTGGCAGGGCATGGATGCATTGGCTGGCATGGATGCATTGGCTGGCATGGATGCATTGGCTGGCATGGATGCATTGGCTGGCATGGATGCATTGGCTGGCATGGATGCATTGGCTGGCATGGATGCATGGGCTGGCATGGATGACTTGGCAGGGCATGGATGCATTGGCTGGCATGGATGCATTGGCTGGCATGGATGCATTGGCTGGCATGGATGCATTGGCTGGCATGGATGCATTGGCAGGGCATGGATGCATTGGCAGGGCATGGATGCATTGGCAGGGCATGGATGCATTGGCTGGCATGGATGCATTGGCAGGGCATGGATGCATTGGCAGGGCATGGATGCATTGGCAGGGCATGGATGCATTGGCAGGGCATGGATGCATTAGCTGGCATGGATGCATTGGCAGGGCATGGATGCATTGGCAGGGCATGGATGCATTGGCAGGGCATGGATGCATTGGCTGGCATGGATGCATTGGCTGGCATGGATGCATTGGCTGGCATGGATGCATTGGCAGGGCATGGATGCATTGGCTGGCATGGATGCATTGGCTGGCATGGATGCATTGGCAGGGCATGGATGCATTGGCTGGCATGGATGCATTGGCTGGCCTGGATGCATTGGCTAGCATGGATGCATTGGCTGGCATGGATGCATTGGCTGGCATGGATGCATTGGCTGGCATAGATGCATTGGCTGGCATGGATGCATTGGCTGGCATGGATGCATTGGCTGGCATGGATGCATTGGCTGGCATGGATGCATTGGCTGGCATGGATGCATTGGCTGGCATGGATGCATTGGCTGGCATGGATGCATTGGCTGGCATGGATACATTGGCTGGCATGGATGCATTGGCTGGCATGGATGCATTGGCAGGGCATGGATGCATTGGCAGGGCATGGATGCATTGGCAGGGCAGGGATGCATTGGCTGGCATGGATGCATTGGCAGGGCATGGATGCATTGGCAGGGCATGGATGCATTGGCAGGGCATGGATGCATTGGCAGGGCATGGATGCATCGGCTGGCATGGATGCATTGGCTGGCATGGATGCATTGGCTGGCATGGATGCATTGGCAGGGCATGGATGCATTGGTTGGCATGGATGCATTGGCTGGCATGGATGCATTGGCTGGCATGGATGCATTGGCTGGCATGGATGCATTGGCTGGCATGGATGCATTGGCTGGCATGGATGCATGGGCTGGCATGGATGCATTGGCAGGGCATGGATGCATTGGCTGGCATGGATGCATTGGCTGGCATGGATGCATTGGCTGGCATGGATGCATTGGCTGGCATGGATGCATTGGCTGGCATGGATGCATTGGCTGGCATGGATGCATTGGCTGGCATGGATGCATTGGCTGGCATGGATGCATTGGCTGGCATGGATGCATTGGCTGGGCATGGATGCATTCGCTGGCATGGATGCATTGGCTGGCATGGATGCATTGGCTGGCATGGATGCATTGGCTGGCATGGATGCATTGGCTGGCATGGATGCATTGGCTGGCATGGATGCATTGGCTGGCATGGATGCATTGGCTGGCATGGATGCATTGGCTGGCACGGATGCATTGGCTGGCACGGATGCATTGGCTGGCACGGATGCATTGGCTGGCATGGATGCATTGGCTGGCATGGATGCATTGGCTGGCACACCAATATACCACAGTCGTAGCCGTTTGTCTGACGCGGCGGCATCTGCCACGCTTGCACGGAATGCATCCGCCACGCTTGCACGGAATGCATCCGCCACGCTTGCACGGAATGCATCCGCCACGCTTGCACGGAATGCATCCGCCACGCTTGCACGGAATGCATCCGCCACGCTTGCACGGAATGCATCCGCCACGCTTGCACGGAATGCATCCGCCACGCTTGCACGGAATGCATCCGCCACGCTTGCACGGAATGCATCCGCCACGCTTGCACGGAATGCATCCGCCACGCTTGCACGGAATGCATCCGCCACGCTTGCACGGAATGCATCCGCCACGCTTGCACGGAATGCATCCGCCACGCTTGCACGGAATGCATCCGCCACGCTTGCACGGAATGCATCCGCCACGCTTGCACGGAATGCATCCGCCACGCTTGCACGGAATGCATCCGCCACGCTTGCACGGAATGCATCCGCCACGCTTGCACGGAATGCATCCGCCACGCTTGCACGGAATGCATCCGCCACGCTTGCACGGAATGCATCCGCCACGCTTGCACGGAATGCATCCGCCACGCTTGCACGGAATGCATCCGCCACGCTTGCACGGAATGCATCCGCCACGCTTGCACGGAATGCATCCGCCACGCTTGCACGGAATGCATCCGCCACGCTTGCACGGAATGCATCCGCCACGCTTGCACGGAATGCATCCGCCACGCTTGCACGGAATGCATCCGCCACGCTTGCACGGAATGCATCCGCCACGCTTGCACGGAATGCATCCGCCACGCTTGCACGGAATGCATCCGCCACGCTTGCACGGAATGCATCCGCCACGCTTGCACGGAATGCATCCGCCACGCTTGCACGGAATGCATCCGCCACGCTTGCACGGAATGCATCCGCCACGCTTGCACGGAATGCATCCGCCACGCTTGCACGGAATGCATCCGCCACGCTTGCAACACATGAGACCGAATGCAGTCCACACAACCCTGGCTGGCCCCACCAAATGCAGATTCCAAGCAACATCTGCCACGCCTGCGCCAGTCCACACAAACCCCTTCTCCACCCACCTTCTTCAGCCCATGGAGTTTGTTCTCAACGCACTCCACCAGTCCCGACAGCCCCGGCCCCACCGCTGCTGTTGGTGCTGCTGGTGCTGCTGTGTCACACTGACCTCCTCATCTCACCTTCTTCCACCCCCTTCATCTCACCTTCTTCAGCCCATGGTGTTTGTTCTCAAGACACTCCGCCAGTCCTGACAACCCAGGCCCCACCACTGTAGCTGCTGCTGCTGCTGCTGCTGCTGCTGTTATACCCCTTCGACCCCTTAAACTCTTCGCCTAACCAACACCCCCTCCATCTCACCTTCTTCAGCCCGTGGTGTTTGTTCTCAAGACACTACGCCAGTCCTGACAACCCAGGCCCCACCACTGTTGCTGCTGCTGCTGCTGCTGCTGCTGTTATACCCCTTCGACCCCTTCAACTCTTCGCCCAACCAACACCCCCTCCATCTCACCTTCTTCAGCCCGTGGTGTTTGTTCTCAAGACACTCTGCCAGTCCTAACAACCCGGGCCCTGCCGCTGCTGCTGCTACCACACCCGGTGAGGCTGGGGCAGGGATGGGTTGAGCTGTTGCAAACAGATGAAACAGAAAAGACGGGATGGGGAGTGGGAGTCAGGAGAATCTGGCGCCTTGAAAGCCCCGATTTGGCTGCTGCTGCCACCACCCCCGGAAGGGCTGGGCTGTTGTTGGGGCGCATGACGAGAGGAGAGGTGGAGTGGGGAATGGGTGGTGTGGGGAATGGGAGTTGAGATAGCTCGATAATTAGGTAATAGCAGAAGAAGTAGCTTCAAATCGACTTTTGAAATGTCTCAAAAGTGGAGAGAGTTCGACACTTGGGTGATAGCAGAAGAGGTAGGATCAACTCGAGGTGACTTTTGAGTCGACTCAAAAGTCACCACAACACTTCAGTGACAGCAGAAGAGGTGGGCCCAACTCGGCTGCTGATGGCATGGCAGGCAGGCAGCCTGATTCTTGAGACGTCTCAAGAGTCGATTCGGCTGCTGCTGGTGCTACTGTTTTGAGACGTTTCAAAACACTTCTTCAAACACAGGCAGCCCGATTCTTGAGACATCTCAAGAGTCGATTCGGCTGCTGCTGGTGATACTGTTTTGAGACGTTTCAAAACACTTCTTCAAACACAGGCAGCCCGATTCTTGAGACGTCTCAAGAGTCGATTCGGCTGCTGCTGGTGCTACTGTTTTGAGACATCTCAAAACACTTCTTCAAACACAGGCAGCCCGATTCTTGAGACATCTCAAGAGTCGATTCGGCTGCTGCTGGTGATACTGTTTTGAGACGTTTCAAAACACTTCTTCAAACACAGGCAGCCCGATTCTTGAGACGTCTCAAGAGTCGATTCGGCTGCTGCTGGTGCTACTGTTTTGAGACGTCTCAAAACACTTCTTCAAACACAGGCAGCCCGATTCTTGAGACGTCTCAAAAGTCAATTCGGCTGCTGCTGGTGCTACTGCCACAACAACTGGTGGGTTGAGCAATTGCTAGAGAGGTGGAGGAGAAAGGTTAAGGGATAGGCAGCAGCACACAGGGAGCAGAACAGCACATCGACGCTAGTGGTACAAAACCTACACCAATTGGAAGGGATGCCAAAAGGTTGGATTAGCACGAAGGGGATGTATGTACCTTGGAAGGGCGTGCCAGCTGTCAGCAGGCGAGTGGTTCTGCTGGAATCTCCTGCTGTCAGGTTGCCTATTGCCCGCACCACCTGCGTCGAGCGTGGTTTGGGTGAGAGCGGTTGGAGAGACAGCAGCACGTGCCAGGGGTCAGAATAAAAGTTACGTGGTATTGATACGATATGATGAGACTTTTGAGTCGACTCAGAAGTGACGTGGGATTGATAATTGATACGATATGATATGATATGATGGACGCATGGGTTGGGATGGGAAGATGGCAAGTGAGAGTGGGGCGACAGAAGCATGTGCACCAGTTGATGCTAGCGAGTGGCTTGGTACTGACATGACACACGCACGGCACGGGAACATGGCAAGGGAATGCCACGACATAACATGACATGGCATGGCATGGCATGGCATGATATGGCATGGCATGCTATACACAAGGACATGCAGATACAATAGCCCATGGATCAGTCATTGAGACGTCTCAAAAGTCAACTACACGGCCCATAGATTAGGCCTGATAGAAGAGTGACTGGGACGGCATAGGCCTCTACGAGCCCGGTGGCGACTAGCAGACTACTTTTGACGCGCCTCAAAACTGGACACGGTGACTCAAGCATGGGCCGAGGCACAAGCAGCAGGAGTGAGTAGGGCAACGTCAGTGGTGGAAGAGAGCAGAGGCATGAGGGCCTCTATGAGCCCAGCAGCGACTAGCAGACAAGGACACGGTGACTCAAGCATGGGCCGAGGCATATACAGGAGTGAGTAGGGCAACGTCAGTGGTCGCAGAGAGCAGAGGCACGAGGGCCTTTATGAGCCCGGCAGCAGCGAGCAGATGAGGAAAGCGTGCCTTATGGCCGGGAAGGGAGCGAGGGAACGTACAGGAGTGAGGAGAGCGACGTCAGTGGTGGAGGAGAGCAGGGGCACGAGGGCCTCTATGAGCCCAGCAGCCACGAGCCTCTCTGTGCTTGCGTCTGACAGCGCTGTCACGTACGCCGCCACCCATGCCGCCTCCACTGCTGCCTCTGCATTTCTGGTTGGGTGGGGAAAGTTACAAGGTGGTCATGAGGCCAGTGCTACTGGGAACAGGGAGAGCAGCGGCACGAGGGCCTCTATGAGCCCAGCTATGACAAGCCTCTCTGTGCTCGCGTCTGACAGTGCTGTCACGTACGCCGCCACCCATGCCGCCTCCACTGCTGCCTCTGCGTTGCTGTGAGGGTGGGGAGGGCGAGGCACAGGGCGGTGGAAAATGCAACAATGCTGATAGATTGGGGAGAGCCATAAGGAGAGCGAGGTGACTCAAAAGTCACCAGGGGAATGAAAAAGGAAACAATGCTGTTAGATTGGGGAAAGCCATAAGGAGAGCGAGGTGACTCAAAAGTCACCAGGGGGATGAAAAAGGAAACAATGCTGTTAGATTGGGGAAAGCCATAAGGAGAGCGAGGTGACTCAAAAGTCACCAGGGGGATGAAAAAGGAAACAATGCTGTTAGATTGGGGAAAGCCATAAGGAGAGCGGCGCTGTCACACATGCCGCCCGCCACCCACGCTCCCTCCACCGCCACCGCCTCTTGCAGAGAAGGCTCGGATGTAAGGAGAATGAAGGATGAATGCGGAAAAGAAGAGGTGAACTTTTGAGATGCATCAAAAGGCTCAGATGTAAGGAAAATGAAGGATGCATGCGGAATAGAAGAGGTGAATATCGATATGAGGGAGGATGGAGGCAGGGGAAAAGAACACTCAAGGCGTGTTTTGAGATAGGAGAGAAATGGAACGATGGAGCAACGGGGAACGGGGCACAGGGGCACAAGGGGACAGGGGTGCACCCACCACACTCCCACACCCTCCACACTCCCACACCCTCCACACTCCCACACCCTCCACACTCCCACACCCTCCACACTCCCACACCCTCCACACTCCCACACCCTCCACACTCCCATACCCTCCACACTCCCACACCCTCCACACTCCCACACCCTCCACACTCCCACACCCTCCACACTCCCACACCCTCCACACTCCCACACCCTCCACACTCCCACACCCTCCACACTCCCACACCCTCCACACTCCCACACCCTCCACACTCTCACACCCTCCACACTCTCACACCCTCCATGCTCCCACACCCTCCACACTCTCACACCCTCCACACTCTCACACCCTCACCACTCCCACACCCTCCACATTCGCAGCAACCCCTCCCCTACCCTGAGGACAGAAGGGTCACAATCGCTGCATCAACACCGTCCGATTTCACCAGATCAACGGCTGCACGGGGGCTGGGGCCCTGCAAAGGCACACAGGGGAACGACAGGGAGTAGGAAAAGATGCTGAGGCTCGTTTAGTTTTGAGGCGCCTAAAACAGGTACACACAAGGGGGAAAGGAGGGTGTGCACCGGCCTGGAGGAGGTACACACGGGGGAGGTACACACGGGGGAGGTACATATGGGGGAGGTACACACGGGGGAGGATCCAGAGAGCCACCCCAGCCCAGAGTGACCTGCGGGGAAGCCATGCCACGACAGGCCCATCCCCCGCCCACCCACATTGATGTGGCAGAAGCAAGCAGTGCGCGAACAATACAGGCAACACCCCCCTATACTGCTGCGCGCAGAACCGCCGTGCGTGGTTTCCCCCAAGGGCAACAGCAGCAGCAGTAGGAGTAGTCATTGAGCAGGAGGCAGCAGCAGTGGGAGTAGTCATTGAGCAGGAGGCAGCAGCAGTGGGAGTAGTCATTGAGCAGGAGGCAGCAGCAGTGGGAGTAGTCATTGAGCAGGAGGCAGCAGCAGTGGGAGTAGTCATTGAGCAGGAGGCAGCAGCAGTGGGAGTAGTCATTGAGCAGGAGGCAGCAGCAGTGGGAGTAGTCATTGAGCAGGAGGCAGCAGCAGTGGGAGTAGTCATTGAGCAGGAGGCAGCAGCAGTGGGAGTAGTCATTGAGCAGGAGGCAGCAGCAGTGAGCAGCAGCAGCGGGAGCAGTGAGCAGGGGGCTAACTCTGACCACGCACGCACGCGCGCACGCTACCGGGAATCCAACAGCAGCGTGCGTGCGTGGTCAGAGACAGCCCATCCCACGACCTCGCTCACCATAATAAGCAAAGAGAGAGCCCATCCCATGCCACCGTCTTGGCCAGTGATGCCATAGCAGAGGGCGCCTGTGCTGTCAACCAGCGCCCCCCACTGCTGCCCCCAGCTGTGAGAGAGGTACAGATACGCCCGCCCACCTTGATGAGGGAGGAGAGCGCCCATGCCACTGTCTTGCTCAGCGATGCCATGGCAGAGGGCGCCTGTGCTGTCGACCAGCGGGCCTCTGTGTTGCTCCCAGAGGCAGCAGCGAGCAGGAGGCAGGTGAGGGCGGGCAGGAGGCAGGTGAGGGCGGGCAGGAGGCAGGTGAGGGCGGGCAGGAGGCAGGTGAGGGCGGGCAGGAGGCAGGTGAGGGCGGGCAGGAGGCAGGTGAGGGCGGGCAGGAGGCAGGTGAGGGCGGGCAGGAGGCAGGTGAGGGCGGGCAGGAGGCAGGTGAGGGCGGGCAGGGCGCCTTGATCCAGCAGCTGTGAGAGAGAGAGAGAGAGAGAGGTCATAACAAGGCCATTCCGTAGAGTTCTCAGTACTCACCTTAATAAGAGAGGAAAGCGCCCATGCCACTGTCTTGGCCAGTGATGCCATGGCAGAGGGCGCCTGTGCCGTTAACCAGCGGGCCCCCGTGTTGCCCCCAGAGGCAGCAGCGAGCAGGAGGCGAGTGAGGGCGGGCAGGGCGCCCTGATCCAGCAGCTGTGCTCGCAGGTCGTCTGCCTCCGCTGCTATGTTGCCCACCGCCCACACACACTGCTCCGCTATTGCGGGTGACGGGGAGTCTGTTGGTGTGGGGAGCGAATTTGATGAAGGGGGTGAGGGAGAGAGAGAGAGTTGAGGAGGAGGAGGAGCACAAATGGAGAGAATGCAAAAGGAAGAGAGAGTTGAGGAGGAGGAGGAGCACGAACGGAGAGAATGCAAAAGGAAGAGAGAGTTGAGGAGGAGGAGGAGCACGAACGGAGAGAATGCAAAAGGAAGAGAGAGTTGAGGAGGAGGAGGGAGGAGCACGAACGGAGAGAATGCAAAAGGAAGAGAGAGTTGAGGAGGAGGAGGGAGGAGCACGAACGGAGAGAATGCAAAAGGAAGAGAGAGTTGAGGAGGAGGAGCACGAATGGAGAGAATGCAAAAGGAAGAGAGAGTTGAGGAGGAGGAGGGAGGAGCACGAACGGAGAGAATGCAAAAGGAAGAGAGAGTTGAGGAGGAGGAGGAGCACGAACGGAGAGAATGCAAAAGGAAGAGAGAGTTGAGGAGGAGGAGGGAGGAGCACGAACGGAGAGAATGCAAAAGGAAGAGAGAGTTGAGGAGGAGGAGGGAGGAGCACGAACGGAGAGAATGCAAAAGGAAGAGAGAGTTGAGGAGGAGGAGCACGAATGGAGAGAATGCATAAGGAAGAGAGAGTTGAGGAGGAGGAGGGAGGAGCACGAACGGAGAGAATGCAAAAGGAAGAGAGAGTTGAGGAGGAGGAGGAGCACGAACGGAGAGAATGCAAAAGGAAGAGAGAGTTGAGGAGGAGGAGGGAGGAGCACGAACGGAGAGAATGCAAAAGGAAGAGAGAGTTGAGGAGGAGGAGGGAGGAGCACGAACGGAGAGAATGCAAAAGGAAGAGAGAGTTGAGGAGGAGGAGCACGAATGGAGAGAATGCAAAAGGAAGAGAGAGTTGAGGAGGAGGAGGGAGGAGCACGAACGGAGAGAATGCAAAAGGAAGAGAGAGTTGAGGAGGAGGAGGAGCACGAACGGAGAGAATGCAAAAGGAAGAGAGAGTTGAGGAGGAGGAGGAGCAGGAACGGAGAGAATGCAAAAGGAAGAGAGAGTTGAGGAGGAGGAGGAGGAGCACGAACGGAGAGAATGCAAAAGGAAGAGATAGTTGAGGAGGAGGGAGGAGCACGAACGGAGAGAATGCAAAAGGAAGAGAGAGTTGAGGAGGAGGAGGAGCACGAACGGAGAGAATGCAAAAGGAAGAGAGAGTTGAGGAGGAGGAGGAGCACGCATAGAGAGAATGCAAAAGGAAGAGAGAGTTGAGGAGGAGGAGGAGCACGCATAGAGAGAATGCAAAAGGAAGAGAGAGTTGAGGAGGAGGAGGAGCACGCATAGAGAGAATGCAAAAGGAAGAGAGAGTTGAGGAAGAGGAGCACGCATAGAGAGAATGCAAAAGGCCCATTCGAGACAAAGGTCGTCTCTGTTGCTATGTTGCCCACCGCCCACGCACACTGCTCCGCTATGGCTGGCGATGGGGAGGCAGGATATACTTTGTAAGAAACAGGGGGCAGGTTGAAAAACACTGTTAGCTAATGGGCGAGTGGGGGTGTGAGTGAGGGAGTGAATGAGGGAACGAGACAGTGAGTGAGTGAGGGAGCGAGTGAGGGAGTGAGTGAGGGAGCGAGAGAGCGAGCGATTGAGGGAGTGAGTGAGTGAGTGAGTGAGTGAATGGTATGGTACCATACCAGTGCAGTGGGCGATGAGCAGAGCAGCACAGGGCAGCACAGCACGAGTCTCCTCTGCCTCGCCCGATGCTATGTTGGTCACACACCACGCTGCTTCCAGGAGCTGGTGGGACAGGGGGGAAGGTGGTGCGGCGGGGCGGGGAGAGAGGTGGTGGGGGGGAGGGGAAAGTCAAGAGTCTCCTCCGCCTCGCCCGATGCTATGTTGGTCGCACACCACGCTGCCTCCAGGAGCTGGCGGGAAAGAGAGGAAAGAGAGAGGACAGAGAGGAGAGTGGAGAGTATACGAATGCGGGTCAACTCAAGTCAATGCTGGTCACACACCACACCGCCTCCAGGAGCTGGTGGGAAGCGGGGGAAGGGAAGGGGAGAGAGAGGAGGTGGGGGGAGATGGATGGGGAGAATCAAAAGTCCACTCAAGTCCACTCAGGTCACCTCCCCCAATGCTATGTCCACTCAAGTCACCTCCCCCAATGCTATGTTGGTCGCACACCACGCTGCTTCCTTTAGCTGGTGTGAAAGAGAGAGGAAGGAAAGGCGGAAAGCACATGCATCACCTCAAGTCAGCGCATGCATCACCTCAAGTCAGCGCATGCATCACCTCAAGTCAGCGCATGCATCACCTCAAGTCAGCGCATGCATCACCTCAAGTCAAGTCAGCGCATGCATCACCTCAAGTCAGCGCATGCATCACCTCAAGTCAGCGCATGCATCACCTCAAGTCAGCGCATGCATCACCTCAAGTCAGCGCATGCATCACCTCAAGTCAGCGCATGCATCACCTCAAGTCAGCGCATGCATCACCTCAAGTCAGCGCATGCATCACCTCAAGTCAGCGCATGCATCACCTCAAGTCAGCGCATGCATCACCTCAAGTCAGCGCATGCATCACCTCAAGTCAGCGCATGCATCACCTCAAGTCAGCGCATGCATCAACTCAAGTCAGCGCATGCATCAACTCAAGTCAGCGCATGCATCAACTCAAGTCAGCGCATGCATCAACTCAAGTCAGCGCATGCACATCACTCTAGTGGAGTCAACTCATCTCACACACATTCGACCCCATCCGTTCGCCAGACGATCACCCTCCCTCCCGTTCATTCCCCCCTCTTGCCCCCCACCCCACACCACCCCTCCTTCCCCCCTTCTTCCACACCTGCCCCTCCGAAGCTCCAAGCGCCGAGCTCTGCGCCAGCAGAGGCACTGCCCTGCAGAGCACGGCACTCTAACCCATCCCATCCCCAAACAGCTCCCCTTCCTAAGTTTCCCTCACTCCCATTTACCCCCACCCTTCACCTCCACACACCGCTCTCCATCCCCTCACCTGCTCCCCCGTGGCGCCAAATACCAAGGCACCCCGCCAGCAATACCAAGGCACCCCGCCAGCAATACCAAGGCACCCCGCCAGCAGAAATACCAAGGCACCCCGCCAGCAATACCAAGGCACCCCGCCAGCAATACCAAGGCACCCCGCCAGCAGAAATACCAAGGCACCCCGCCAGCAATACCAAGGCACCCCGCCAGCAATACCAAGGCACCCCGCCAGCAGAAATACCAAGGCACCCCGCCAGCAATACCAAGGCACCCCGCCAGCAATACCAAGGCACCCCGCCAGCAGAAATACCAAGGCACCCCGCCAGCAGAGGGACGGCCCCGCAGCGCATGGCATTCTTCCACACCTGCGCATGATAAGTCGAGCTTTGAGTCGACTCAAAACTCAAGGCACCCCGCCACCATATGGACGGCCCCGCCAGCAGCGGGACGGCCCCACCAGCAGCGCATGGCATTCTACCACACCTGTCCCTTCTTTTGAGACGTCTCAAAAGTCCATTCCCCACCCCAACCCATTTCCCCCCCCTGTGCTTTCCCCCCCCTGTGCTTTCCCCCACACCTGCTTCCCTCCCCCCGTTCCACCCCCTCACCTGCGCCTCCGGGGCTCCAAACGCCAGGCACTCCGCCAGCAGAGGCACAGCCCCACAGCGCACGGCAGCGCCAAGTGGCGGGCTGTGATTGGCCGAGAGCAGCTGGCGCAGCGCCTTGAGCGCTGCCACCCGCTCCTGCTGCACGGCTGCTCCCCCCGCTCTGGCGGTGCTGCGAGTGGTATGGTGGGGATGGGTATGGGAGGAAAGGAGAGGGATGGAGAGGGATGGAGATGGGGCTCAGACGATGGAGGGGGCTGGCAGAATCACTTGAGCGCCTCCACCCTCTCCTGCTGCACTGCTGCCCCGCCCGCTCTGGCAGTGCTGGGGGTGGGAGGATGGGGATGGGGATGGGGGTAGCATGGGGATGGGGAGGGCGGGGGTGAGGGCGGGGGTGAGGGCGGGGCGGGGGTGGAAATGAGAAAGAGTGGAGAGGGAGAGCACGGTTTACTTTTGAGTCAAATCAAGAGCCCCTCTCGTGCTGTACGGCCGGCCCTCTTTCTCATTTCCACCCCCTGCTCAGTTGAAATCACTTTTGAGAATTCTCAAAAGTTCTCAAAAGTGATTGCAATAGAGCCACTCGCGTGCTGTACGGCCGGCCCTCTTTCTCATTTCCACCCTTGCTCAGCTGGGAGTGGGTGGGTGCAAGCCCCGCCTCGCCCACCTGCCCCGCCTCGCCCACCTGCCCCGCCTCGCCCACCTGCCCCGCCTCGCCCACCTGCCCCGCCTCGCCCACCTGCCCTGCCTCGCCCACCTGCCCCGCCTCGCCCACCTGCCCCGCCTCGCCCACCTGCCCCGCCTCGCCCACCTGCCCCGCCTCGCCCACCTGCCCCGCCTCGCCCACCTGCCCCGCCTCGCCCACCTGCCCCGCCTCGCCCACCTGCCCCGCCTCGCCCACCTGCCCCGCCTCGCCCACCTGCCCCGCCTCGCCCACCTGCCCCGCCTCGCCCACCTGCCCCGCCTCGCCCACCTGCCCCGCCTCGTCCACCTGCCCGCCTCGCCCACCTGCCCCGCCTCGCCCACCTGCCCCGCCTCGCCCACCTGCCCCGCCTCGTCCACCTGCCCCGCCTCGCCCACCTGCCCCGCCTCGCCCACCTGCCCCGCCTCGCCCACCTGCCCCGCCTCGCCCACCTGCCCCGCCTCGCCCACCTGCCCCGCCTCGCCCACCTGCCCCGCCTCGCCCACCTGCCCCGCCTCGCCCACCTGCCCCGCCTCGCCCACCTGCCCCGCCTCGCCCACCTGCCCCGCCTCGCCCACCTGCCCCGCCTCGCCCACCTGCCCCGCCTCGCCCACCTGCCCCGCCTCGCCCACCTGCCCCGCCTCGCCCACCTGCCCCGCCTCGCCCACCTGCCCCGCCTCGCCCACCTGCCCCGCCTCGCCCACCTGCCCCGCCTCGCCCACCTGCCCCGCCTCGCCCACCTGCCCCGCCTCGCCCACCTGCCCCGCCTCGTCCACCTGCCCCGCCTCGCCCACCTGCCCCGCCTCGCCCACCTGCCCCGCCTCGCCCACCTGCCCCGCCTCGCCCACCTGCCCCGCCTCGCCCACCTGCCCCGCCTCGCCCACCTGCCCCGCCTCGCCCACCTGCCCCGCCTCGCCCACCTGCCCCGCCTCGCCCACCTGCCCCGCCTCGCCCACCTGCCCCGCCTCGCCCACCTGCCCCGCCTCTTTCAGAGGTGACTCGAACTCGAATGCCCTTGAGCGTTTTAACCGCCTCCTCCACTCCACTCGCCCCTCCTCCTCCACCTGCCCCTCCTCTTTATGAAGCACATAAGCAATGCACTCACTCACTCTTCAAACGTGCCCTTGAGCGTTTTAACCGCCTCCTCCACTCCACTCGACCCTCCTCCTCCACCTGCCCCTCCTCTTTATGAAGCACATAAGCAATGCACTCACTCACTCTTCAAAAGTGCCCTTGAGCGTCTTAACCGCCTCCTCCACGTCCACCCGCCCCTCCTCCGTGTAAGGTGCCCCAAACCGCCACTCAATCTTCAACCATCGCTCACCCTTCAAACATGAGCGTCTTAACCGCCTCCTCCACGTCCACTCGACCTTCCACTCGTCCACCCGCCCCTCCTCTTGTTGAGGTGACTCGGCATTCACCCTTCAAACGTCACTCACCCTTGAGTCGCCTAACCACCTCCTCCACTCGCCCCTCCTCCTTATGAGGTGCCCCAAACCATCACTCAATCTTCAACCATCACTCACCCTTCAAACGTGCCCTTAAGCCTTTTTACCGCCTCCTCCACGCGTCCCTCCTCCTCCACCCGCCTCCTCTCCTCCTCCTCCTCGCCCTCCCCCTCCCTCCCCTCCACCTCCATCCCCCCCTCCAACCCCCCCAACCCTTGCCCCACGGCGATCCCCTCCCCCCGCCTCATCCGCTTAGCGCGCACCAGCGCCCCCCGCCTGTCCTTGGATATAGCTGCTACGACTCCCCGCCTTTTTGCTGCTGCTGCTGCCGTGGCTGAGGTGAGAGGGGGGAAGGGTGGGAAGGGGGGGAAGGGGGGGAAGGGGGGGAATGGGGGGGGGGATGATAAGGAAGAAGTGCGGTTGGAAAAGGGGCAAACCAGGAGCATCCATGAGACGCACACCAGCGCCCCCCGCGTGTCCTTGGATATAGCTGCTACCACTCCCCGCCTTCTTGCTGCTGCTGCCGCCGTGGCTGACACGGGGAAGGGGGAGGGGTGTAGGGTGTGGACACACATGAGGTTGGGCGGGGGCGAATGAGGCGCATCCGCTTGGCGCGCACGAGCGCCTCCCGCCTGTCCTTGGATATAGCTGCTAACACTCCCCGCCTTCTTGCTGCTGCTGCTGCTGCCGCGGAGGCTGGCACGGGAAGGGGCATGGGGCTGTAGCCTACATCCCGACTTTTGAGTCGATTCAAAAGTCAGCACGGGAAGGGGCATGGGGCTGTAGCCTACAACAATCCGCAAGCCTCTCTTTTGCACTGTATGGGTGAATAAGGGAAGGGATGGATCGGGGCTAGGTGGCTGGGTGAAGGAGGGAGAGGAAGGTACTGGAGAGGCTTTGGAAAGAGTGGACCCTGTTTGAAAAGGGTTGAGAATTAGGGGAATATAAGTACGGGTGATGAGGAGTTGCTAAGGAAAGTAGAAGTGCTTTGGTTTACGTCAAACAGAAGGACTTTCGAGAAGAACCCGGGGCAGGGGAAAGGGGGGAAACGGGGGGGAGAGTGGGAGGAGAGAGGGAAAAAGGAGGTGAAGTGCCATATCATGCTACATCTGCTGTGGCTGGTGGGAGCGAAGCGTCGTTGCGCGTCGTACCAGACTGCTTGAAAAGATCGCGCCGATTCGCATGACCGTGGAGATGCGACTGCGACGGCGACGACGGCCCGTGCGACTGCATGGCGACAGAGCGATGAGTTTATTCGTCGTCAGGTAGTGGTGAAAAAGTGTCGGAGAACGCACAGGACGACTGAGGTCAGCACACTAGGAATCTAAAGACTCGACTTAAAGACCGAAATCGCGGCTAGTAGTAAATGGCCTCCTGACTCGCCTCTTCCACTCCGCCTCATCTTATGGCTCGCTGTTTTTGAGTTCCCAAGATTCTGGCGTCAGCAGGACAGGCATGGCGGCCAGCTGCACTCGGATGCCCCCATAGAGCGACTCTTTGTTGGATATAGAAACCGCAGGAATCTCAGTGGGATTTCATAAATTTATGCATAACAGGTTTCAAAAATTTCTGCATTAGGGTGCGATTTTGGTTTCACACATAAGCGCTTGAAGATCCCTGGACGGAGTGTACTTCAAGCTTCTTGATCGTATGCCAGCATTTGGCTGACGTGTCGGAGCTCGTTGCACAACCCCATCCAGTGTTGTGTCCCCAAGTTTTCTCAAACCCAAGTGTACAGTTTGGTTGCTGCTTCTGTACCACGAGACTGACACTTAACAAAGCAGCGGGTGAGAGCGAGTGACGGAAGCAGCGATGCACAGCGAGAATCAATTGAAACAGAACCTCGCACATTCTCCAAGCCTTTCAAGATTCAAAATTTCGAATTTGCAAATAACAAATTATCAGCATCTGTTCTGTCCTCGGCGTCATTTGCATCAATTTCGCGCCATTCGCCAACACTCTTCCCCCTCCGAGCGCAATCGTCACCTGCACGAGTATTTGCCAGCCAGCAATGCAAATCCAGCCCCTGCCTCTCAAATTTCCAAGCCTGGTGGGGTTTGCTTGCATTCATCGGCTTCACTTCACTCATCCCGTTGAGCTCGAATATAGATACTAGTATTCGAGGTGGTGATACTAGAAGTTGAGCCATCAGATGCACAGGACGATGGTTTTCTGGCATTTCTAGTCTGCTTGTTTCAGAGACGAAAAGTTGCATCGTCATCTTTTGTTAGGCGCGTTCAGCACAAAGATTTTATTCGCCCCCCTAACGAAAGGAACGACTCCATTTTCGGGAATGAACGGCGCCGCGGATGGGTCATGCGTGCTGCAGTTCGACGCGGCGACGGTGACGGAGTTCCTGCGGCTGCAGCGCGTGCTGATGCGGCAGGACGCGAGCCGCGCCACGAACGCCGACACGCTGTCGTGGCTGTTCGACGCCGCCAAGGCGCGAATCGACGAGCTGGCGTGGCGGGACGGCAAGCGCATCCGAATGACGACGGATATTCGTAAGCGCGTTCTACCGAGGTGACTTTTGAGTCGATTCAGCAGTTGTGCATATTCTTGTGAGACCTCAAAGGGCGTCTTAACAGGGCGCTTAAAGAATACGGCGCGTGTATGAATGTACTATTTACCGTCGCGTAATAGCCACGGCGCTCTCGTGAAACTGCCAATCTCGTCGCGCTCTGCCATTCACCGTTCTGTTTATATCGCACAGTTTTGAGACTTCGTTTCCCACCGTTGGTGGGTAACCCGTCTCGAAAACTTCGCCCTCGTCGCGAATCTCCTTGTACTGTGGAAGGAATGAGAGGCACTCGTTGCCGCAGGGGCCGCTCTCCTCTATTTCACGCGATACCGATGCGCGCATTCAGTGTCGAAGGGCTCCCTTTTCCGCTACCATGCTAGACCAAAAGTCCATACCAAAAGTGCCAGAGATTGTTTGTTTGGGATAACCCCATACCATCTTGACCCCACGTTCGTTTCGGCCCCATCCCCGCAGCTGACATCGCGGACATCCTCCCCGCGCCCATCTGGCACATCATCTTCCGCCTCCTGCTGCTGCCGCCCGCCCGCCCCGACGAACCCGCCGACGCCGCCGCCGCCGCCGCAGCAGCACATCCCAAAAATGTTTGGCATTCGTACTATGTATGTACATATGCTGCTACATAGTAGAAACGAGCTCGGAGGAGTAGGTACACTGTAGCAGCACATGTACGTACATACTACGAGCCCCTCCAAAATTTGGGATGCAGCAACAGCAGCAGCAACAGCAGCAGCAACAGCAGCAGCGACAGCAGCAGCAACAGCAGCAGCAACAGCAGCAGCAACAGCAGCGGCTGCAGCAGCAGCAACAGCAGCAGCAACAGCAGCAGCAACAGCAGCAGCAACAGCAGCAACAGCAGCAGCAACAGCAGCAGCAACAGCAGCAGCAACAGCAGCAGCAACAGCAGCAGCAACAGCAGCGGCTGCAGCAGGCACCGGCGCCGCGAGGAGGAGCCACGCCAACCACCGCCGCGCCACGTCGAAGCAGCAGCGTCGGCAGCAACGGCAGCAGCAGCAGCAGGCGAGGCTACAGCAGCAGCTGCAGCTGCAGCAGCAGTTGGCGCAGCAGCAGGCGCGACAGCAGCAGCAGGCGCGGCAGCAGCAGCAGGCGGAGAGGCGGGGCGCGGCAGTGGTGGTACTGAGGGACGCGCGGAGCACGTGGGGCGAGCAGCAGCGCAGCAACGCGGGGAGCTACGACCCCTCGTGGGCGCTGCTGTGCTGCGCGCTCGCCAGCAGGAGGCTGCTGCTCCACGTCCTCTCCTTCTCCGTGAGTACCATCCTCTCGCTCTCCACACCCTCCCTCCCTCCCTCCCTCCCTCCCTCCCTCCCTCCCTCCCTCCCTCCCTCCCTCCCTCCCTCCCTCCCTCCCTCCCTCCCTCCCTCTCTCCCTCCCTCCCTCCCTCCCTCCCTCCCTCCCTCCCTCCCTCCCTCCCTCCCTCCCTCCCTCCCTCCCTCCCTCCCTCCCTCCCTCCCTTCCTCCCTCCCTTCCTCCCTCCCTTCCTCCCTCCTTCCCGCCGCTCGCCAGCAGGCGGCTGCTCCACGTCCTCTCCTGCTCGACCGATGCTCTGTCGGCTTTTCTTCTGCTGCTATCTGCTGCTATCTGCTGCTATCTGCTGCTCTCCTGTTGCCTTACCAGCGTTTTCCTCTACTGTTCCGAAGTTCGCCGCCGTAGCTCCTTGATTCCCTCGATTGCTGAACCGGCTGTGCGTTGAATTGTTGCTCACGCGCTGCGTTGCGTTGCTGGAGTGACACGACACGTCTTTCTTGTCTCCCTCGCTTTAGATTCCTCTCTAATACTGAGACGCCCCCAATTCTTGACTGAACTGAGTTTTGAAGCCGTTGTGCATTGATCTTCTGCCCAAACGTTATGTCTTTTATGTCTCTCTTTGCTCTCTCACCTCGGAGGCCTTATCTCCCTTTCCGAGCCCCTCCCCATCCCCTCATCCTCCCTCCTCCCCCTTCCCCCACCTGCTCGACCCTTCCCCTTTCCCCAACCTCACCCGCCCCCTCCTCGCAGGCAAGCCAGCCTACCGCCCTGGCATTCAGCCAGCAGCACCCCGAGTGGAGCAGGAGCGTGCTCTACCTCCTCCGGTGGCCACACCACCAGCTATCCCTCTCCTTCACCACCCCTCCCCACCTGCTCTCCCTCGGGCCCCACATCGCATGCTCCCACCACATCCTCTCCTCCCTCTCCCTCAAACTTCGACGCATGGTAGACGGAGACGAGGAGCAGGAGCAGGAGCACGCACAGCAGCACTGGTCCCTTGCTTTCCTCAAAGACTGCTCGCAGCTGCAGCGGCTGAAGCTGGGCCGCGGCAGGTGGGATTTCACCAGCCAATGCGCCGACGCCACGTGAACGAAATCCCTCCGCTGCCTCACCATCAAGCACGTGGATTGGACCAGCCTGGACCTCGAATTCCTCAAGCAAATCACCCCGCAGCTGCTAGAATTCACGCTCTACGAGCCTGAGCCCTGCAGCCGCCTCGCACACGGCCCCCACGGGGCCCATTATGGCGGCTACCACTGCCTCTCCTCTTTCTACGTTGCTCGCCTCCTCCGCTTCCGCTTCCCCCACTGCGACCTCAAGCCCACGCTCACCGTCTCCCCCACGCTCACCGTCTCCCCCACGCTCACCGTCTCCCCCACGCTCACCGTCTCCCCCACGCTCACCGTCTCCCCCACACTCACCGTCTCCCCCACCCTCACCGTCTCCCCCACCCTCACCGTCTCCCCCACCCTCACCGTCTCCCCCACCCTATGTTGGATTATACGCGTTTGGCGTACATACGCGTGTCGTATATACGCCACCGTATATACGCTAAACGCGGGAGGGGTCTGATCCAGGATACGCATTTCCGGGCAGCTAAAAAGTTTCTCGGGCAGGGAAGAAAACCCTTCTGGGAGTGCAGCAAGGGGGGTTTCTGGTGGGTTGTGTTTCTCCATAAAAAAAACCTACCCATAAAAATTGCACTCGTACTGCTGCATCGGACGAAGGACGAACTACTCTGGTAAATTTCTGGTAATAGTTCGGCTGTTTGCTCGAGTGTTGTGTGCTGGAAAATCCCTCGCAATAGGCTAGGGGCGATTGTGGGTCAACAGAATCGCGTGGCAGGTACTCCGAAGATATGGGGGAAACGCTGTCGCTGAATCGGCGGGAAAACTACTGGAGGCTCTTCGTGTGTTGCTAGTTTCGAGAAGCGCGTTACCACATTTCGTCCTCCTCTCAGAACATTGGAACAAACCATTCGGGAACCTAAATGGAGTCGCGCCCAAGATTGTTGGGTTCTTTTGTAGCACTCGAGTCTGTCATAGTAACGGTTGATATTGGTGACCACTGGGATTTGCTTCAATTGAAATCACTCACTAACAGGAACACTTGACACACTAAAGTATCTACACCTAGCTATATCGTTCGTAATTCAATATTTGCTATTAAATAGAAATTCAGCAGAAACAAATTATACCAAATAAACAGCGCATTAATTCTAATCGGGAGGGCAAATTAGAAATTAGCATTATATCGATTGCATACAAAAAGACTCACTAAACATTGCTGTTTCCATTGCTAGGATGCTCCAAACCATCATTATTCCAATCCTTCAGTGCTACACCACCCAGGTCATAAAACCCACTCTCAGATACGATTCCAGCTTTGTTGAGCCAATTTGAAATCTGATCTTGCCTCTTGT